ACCTCACGGTCATCCTTGAGTTGAGTGTCGTTAATGCGTGACCAATCGTCACGAATGAAGAGTCTCCTCCAAATCATCCGCTTGGCTTCCTTAACTTCGTCGGGATGGCAGCTATTTTCAGCAACGAGAAGAGCCAGCCAGAACGGATTGGCGATTTCGGCCCGTGACTCGGGTTTCAAATAAATTAAAGTAAGAAGGTCGATGAGTGTCATAGCATCCAAAGCTTCATGTTGCAGGAGACGCTTCATGCCATCTTCGAAAATCTGGTGTTGGGCCTTTTGGCGACGCGGGATGTTCATGCTGTGAACTTCCATGGCAAAGTTGAGCGCGGCAGCATCGTCCACGGCATCATATGTGCTGGGAAGAACCTGGTGATATAGTTGATCCTGGATCTTAATCGCAACCAACTCTCTATCAACCTGCTTCAACTTTTCCTCAGCACGGACTTCATCAGCGTTGACCTTGAGACCACCGGCCTTGATGTCCTTCTCCTCAAGCTCGGCCATAAGAGCAAGTTTGCCTAGACTCAACTCAATCTTCTTGCTCCAGACTTGTTGCTCTTTCTTGAGCGCTAGATCGATAAGTGTATCGGCACTATGGCCGACGTCCCTCTCCTGTTGCACATCATTGATCCACGATATTCGCGCCAGTTCAGGCTTGCTACGGAGGAACTGGGTTTTGAAGCCGTGGTTATCGAGGTCGAATTCCAATACGTCTTCGACTCCGTGTTTCTGAAGCAGGAACTCGTAAGCCGGGAACGCGAAGGCCTGGCCGTAAGTAGAAAAGCTATTCTGCAGCTTAGTTTTCTTACTATCCCTAAGTCGCTTGAGATTCTGTGTTTCTACTAGGGAAAGCCCTGGCTCGCCAAGGCGATCTTCGAGGATCTGGATGTGATCAAGCAGGATAACAGAAAGAGCACGAAGGCACTCGTGTTTCTCAGCAATCGAGGCGCCTTCCTCCCACTTTCCGGAACGTGCCAACGCAAGAGGCTTCTCGAAGCGATCAGTTGCATACACCTTTGCAAATTGCTGCGACATGACCTTCTGGTCGGTTTGTTTATCCGACCAGCGAGCGTACTCCAGAACCGAAGTGAGCATGCCATCAATGAGAGTAGGGAGCTCCTCAAAAATCTTGGAAACGACCTTGGGATCCGGCTGGTTTGCTGCCTTGTTCGATTCTCCAGCGTCGTGGTTCTTCAGCACCCACTGGTCGGAGAGGTCGACGAGACGTTTAGCGTTGTTGGCGACGTACTGCGAGCCAGTCCAGGGCTCAGGAAGGTCATCATATCCATCGCGGAGGATGCCTAGGCGAAGCTCTTCGAATCCGAGGCCATAAGAACTGAGACTGTTCTTTCGGAAATCATGGGCTGCTGTGTATGTGCAGTTATAGACTTGAATTGCTTCGTAAATCATGACATTAACCTTGGCGTCGTCGAGTAGATTGTCCTTGTACAAGGTCTTGATGACTTCGTACGCCCAAGCAACGAAGAGTTCCAGACGGAAGACGTCGTTGATAAACCAGTGACGAACGCGATCAACCTCGCCAATCTCGGCGACGGGGTTGTGCTTCTGACCTTGATGGATGAATTCAACAATCGTGCCGACAAGACTCTTCTTGTCATTTGCCGGTCGTGCAGCAGTGAAAGCCTCATGTCTCTTCCAAAGCAAAGTAGCTACATGCATTTTCTCGGCATCGTACAGCAGGCTCCAGCGTGTCTTGCGGTTGAGATCTGCTCCCATAATTCTGAGCTGAGTAATTAACCTCTCAAGCGCATTTGATCGAGCTCGCAGGTTATCTTCCAATGAAGCCGGAAGAGTTGATATAAAGGGGGTGCTCGAACTTAAGATCTCATGACTAATTTCAAGAGCAGCTTCGGCGATTTCTTCATCAGAAAACTTGATGTCTTGTCGACCGTCAAAAATCAGGGGGTTGTCTTGCTTTACGCCGAAGAAGACTGCCTGCTCAATCTTGCTCTTTGCGGAAACCTTTGGTGGTTGGTCACTAGCGAATTTGTCCACATCAGTTGTCACAATGCGCACCGCACCAGCTCCCCTAACCATGAGAACAACAGCGGGGTTCTTCGTCTTGGGTCGATGCAGTCGATTCTCCTCGTGGGTAGAAGCCGATGCTATTTCTTCAAATCCAGAACCAATGATTTCATGTACGTCATCTTCTCGGAAGTCGATGACATCTTCAAAGGCGGCAGGTAGTATGTGACTGTCAATTTGAAGCTGAGATTCGGGAGATTGGGGCGGGACAGTGATAGATGCAATGACAGTTGCGCGATCGAAAACGACAAAGGCAACGAGTGCGGGTCGAGGAAGATATAGGCGCGGTCGTGGAGTTTCGGAGAGTTGAGATGATGAGAATGGCGCACTATATGAGGTTATGGGACGGATCATGCCAATTTGACAGTCCCAAGGGGTTAAAATAGCCTCGACCAAGGCGTAGCGAGAAGTGCTTCGCAGGGTCAAGCTGACGAGAACCAAGAGGTGTTGCACTGACGAATCATCGGTGGCCATCGCATCACTCAGCCTGCTCAACTCAAGGTACTTTGACTCCAAGCCCTTGGGGACATAAGTGAAGTCAACTGCTTCAAAAGAATCCTCGGGATACTCTTGAGATACAGGGTCGGTCTCCTGCAGGGCAGCAATAATTTCCCCACGTACATCGGCATCACCGATAATCTCGTTATGGCCTCCACGATGAACCCTCCAGGCGTTAAGTCGTCCTTTGCCGGTAAGAGCAACAATGTTCCTCTCGCCTGTTCGTGCAGACCTATCTGCTCGGACGGCAGCAATATCCCCTTTGAGAGATAAATGCTGGAAGGCGTGTCGAATACTGCCAAAGATACCACCAGTGGGAGGCGACAAGTTGTTGCGCAAGAACTGAACTGAGATGGAAGGTCGACCTTGGCTATCGCGCACGTTCATGTACGCAAGGCGCCCAGAGTTGAAGGTGAGTATGAAACCAGCAGATTCAGCGTTGGTAATAGCCACAACTTTCTCCCCAGAGTGCATTCCTGAGATGGTGTACTCTACGCCTGTGCGGTCCTTCTTCATGAAAACAAACGTGGCCGCGCTTGCAATAGATTCCCAGTATACAACCTTTCCGCTACCTCCCATAACCACAACTAAGCCAGGCTCTGCAGATGACGCGGATGGTGAGACGAGGCATCCTACAGGAAGGGGTTCGTTTGGTCTGGTAGTTGATGGAAGGCTGAAAGAAAAGGTCTCGGGGGATTGCGACGTGGATGTGTACGGCCAGACAAGGGCGTGTGTTTGGGTTAGGGAGAGGGCATAGCCCGTAGAAAATATGTCGGCGGTTTGGTAAGCTGTGACATTAGAAGTGAGCAGGACATCTATGAAAGTCAATTCATTTTGCGCATCAACTTACCTGACCAGTCGGAGCGGATCCTGTCAGGCAGGGCTGGCAGTTTGCTAACTGTGTATGCGTTGGTACTTGTCTACAAAGGGGCAATTAGTATGCGGCATCAAGCTGAAAGAAGTGGCTTCTCTATTCTTACCAACACAAGACTTCCATCACCTTTATTAGCGGCACGGTCTCCGTGCTTCGCCTTTTTTACACGAACGTTCAACTCCTTGCGCAAAACCGGGCTTGAAGGTTCTGGCGGCTCAATGTTTTTGTTCTTGGTTTTGGTTGGTAGAGTCGCGACCTTTGCATCGGCCTTGACCTCGACCATCTCCTGTTGGTTATCTGGATTGACAAAAGTCTGCTCCGTCAGAGGCAACCTCTGTCTCTTGGCTTTCGGTTGCTGAGTGGTGCGTTCGGAGCTCACAGGTCGCTGACGACGGCGTGAGCGAGTCGCAGTCGCTGGGCCGCCTTGAGCGACGGACGGGGAAAACATTTTGGGTGGATCGCAAGGTTGATATCGATGGATGGTTGAGTGTATCAAGAAATTAAGTCGCGAGATAGGACGTGTCGGATTAAAATGGCGATGGTGTCAGCCGCGTGATCATAGAGGCATTTTGCGGCGTGAACGTGACGATGATCGTGATGGATTCTGACGTGAATGGGAGGATGTGAACGGTGACTTTTTTGATGGGATGGATGGGATGGGATGCAAGAGAAAACTGGGCTTTCGAAGCCTATCCTGCAACGAGAGAGCAGTGACGAAGCGTGCATCGGTAGCCAATCGAACAACAAAATAGGTTGACGGTTTCCCAGCTACGACCTTGCCTGGCGCGTTATGATTGGTCGAATCTGCTCCGGTGCCTTTTTTTTTCCTCTGAGGTGTAGTGCTAGAGCTGCTGTGCTGAGCTGGCATTGCCTTGAAGCCCCTTGAGAGCTTCCATCAATTAGGCGTGCGAGCCAACCAGAGCTCGGACTACATGTGGCCCACTGAAGATCCATTTGCATGCAGACAGTTCGTGGCAGAGCCTCCGTTGTCTGAAGTACGTAGGTACCTTTGAGCTTGTGGTACCTTGCCTTAGTCACAGCTGAAGTCAAGACAACTTTGTGCCCAGGTACTTTATGCCTTTTGCTACTTTCATTTATCAAGGCAACATGCAATCAATGCCACCTCATGTTGCACCATTTATTGCAAATCATTCACTTATGATATTTGAATTATTTCCTAAAACTACCTAATTTATAATATATGTGATTCTCTATTTATTTATATAAGCTGTAAGCATTTATGTTCCTGTAGTATAATTTGGACTGAAGTTTAGTCATGTGAGTCGATGATGCGTATGACACCCACGATCTGATAAAGGTTGGATTGAATAGCAGATCGCGAGGTTGACCGATCGCCACTTGAATGCAACGTAGATAGGCTGAGTACTCATCCAGAAACATGTAATACATATTTAATATATGTGCCTTTAACGTCGCATTTTTCAATCTATCAATTGAGTTTTCATCCAAACCACGTGGTCACCCAAGACCCTGATTCATGTCTACCCTATGTCTATAACACTATCTATGTTGATACCAACTCATCCCTATACATCGTGTCGCTCAACAGCAGGCTCAAGATGAGGCGGTTCTCAACAGCAGTAATTATAACAGATCCCTTGGTCAAGTATCAAACACACGTAGCCGCCGGTTTTTATGCTCCAGACCCATCTCAGCATAGACTTGCCAGGCACTTACACAAGATATATCTCCGCATCAAGGATTACTCTCCACAAACCGAATATCGTCAACGCTTGAAACAAGTTGCCCGCTTGACAGAGGCGAGACCCAAAAACAATTCAGAAGAAGATGGGAATATTCTTGCATTGCACAACCACTCGATATGGAGGAACCCACTCTTCAAACATCTGCTCGCAACACCTGAAGGAAAGGAGAGTCTCGCTATGACACGGGTACTTGCGAACCACGAGTCAGCAATTGAGATAGATTCACCCAAGGGTTTGTTTTTATCAGGTGAAGTGGGCACTGGGAAGTCTATGTTGCTCGACCTACTCGCAGATGGCTTGCCAACTGAGCGGAAGAGGAGATGGCATTTCAACACCTTCATGCTTTATACCATTTCCCAACTCGAGCATCATCGAAAGACCAGTCCAAGTGTTAAGGAGGGTGAAAATGACTATTCTATCCTGTGGATGGCTAAGAAGCTGGTTGACGAGTCTCCGATCCTGTTCCTTGACGAATTCCAGTTGCCAGATAAAGCAGCTAGCAAAATCCTCAGCCATCTCTTCATTGCTTTCTTCCAGCTCGGCGGTGTTCTCATTGCTTCTTCGAACCGCATGCCCGAAGAGCTCCAGAATGCAATCGGTGTGGACTATACGCCCGCACCGACAAGAGGCTTGATCCGCAGGTTTTTTGGTGGTGCAGTACGTGCCCGAGGCGAACTATACGGATCAACTAGTGATTTTGCCAACTTTCTCGAAGTATTAAAGGCTAGATGCGACTTTTGGCAGATGGAAGGAGCCAGGGATTGGCGAAGAAGAGAGGAGACCGATAGCCCACTCGTTATGGCTGGGAACACTGCCAAAGGCGAAACGGTGGTGGAAGAAACCATCGCTCGCGACAAACTAGAGGGAATTGCTACGAAGCCGATCAACTATTACTTGTCAACAGATGAACATGACGCATGGATGGAGCGAGTAAGGACTGCAATCACATGGACAGACCCCAAATCACTGCCATGGGAGCCCTCAACTGTTGTGGTGTATGGCCGAAAGGTTCACACTCCTCGGCACTACAATGGCTACGTGTTCTGGGACTTTGACAAGATAGTCGAGACTTTCGGACCCGCTGACTATATCACAATGGCCTCTACCTACCACACATTTATCATCGACAACGTACCTGTTCTGACACATGCGACAAAGAACGAAGCGCGACGCTTTATTACGCTGTTGGATGCTCTATACGAAGCTCGCTGCAAACTCATCATCCGGGCCCAAAACCCTCCCGATACACTTTTCTTCCCCAAGAAGAGAGGCTCTTCGACTGGAAAGCCAAATAATCCAAACGAGCCCGACGACCTCATCTCAGAAACAATTGCCGAAGTATACCAAGACCAAATGTCTCCATTCCGACCCAATGTGGCATACTACGATACAAAGTCAAGCACTGCATCTTACGATCCGGACCAGGACTCGGACTTTGGCATACAAACCAAGCCCCTTGACTTTGCGAATAGAAGTGCATTCACCGGTGAAGATGAGCGGTTCGCATACAAGAGAGCAATCTCTCGACTGTGGGAACTTTGCAGCGCGCAGTGGCATGCCAGGACAGGAGATTGGTGGCAGCCGCTGCCCCTCGAGGCAAGGCACTGGGAGGGAGGCATGGTCACACAGGCTGTCCAACATCAAATCGGTGCAAGTAGGCTGAGTAAAGATGAAGGGATGGGTCAGAGTTTTGAAGTCGATGAGATGGCTGGACTGTCAAAGTGGAGGGTTGAAGATCTGAAGAATAACCCCGAAAAGAGTGTCTGAACAAGTCGAAGCCAGTAGAACACAAAAGATAAGCACGTATAAACACATAGCGGGACTTAGTACTTGAAAATGAATACATTCAAGTTTGTTTGTGAATCAATGAGTCGCCCGTACGAGGGCAGGATCTAACTAGTCTATGACCGGATATTCCGTTGTGCCATACTCCAAAACGCCATGCACCTATATCTTGCTTTACTTATACACTACTTCATCACAACTGAGCTCAGAGGCTTGTCACGCCTGGCGTCCAGCCTTCCCCTATTCTCTTCATATCCTCGGTAAACTTGCGACTCGTAATCTTTTTACCCCCTCTTCCACCCAATGGCGCATGCTCATCTGGGTCATAAAATGGGTTCTGCAGTAACTTGACGTACGCATGCTGCATGGCGCGGAAGACGGGCTTCAACTCAGCATCGCGCAGACCCGCAGCAGCGCCCCTACTCGCAGCTACAGGAGCGTTGCCATCTACACGGCGACCGCGCATGTCGACGACACAAACCATGCGAACGCCTGTGTTGGTCTCGAATCCGTAGGCAGCGAGGCGGTCGTCGACGGCGTGCAGCAGGCCAAAGTCACCCGAGAGGCCTACGCCCGAAACAGCGTTGTTCTTTGCGCGGAGGTCGAAGACATCGATGGTAGAAGACAAGAGGAGCGAAAACTGGAGAGGCGTACGGATTGGGGCGAATGTGTTTGTCCCTGGATCGAGCGAGGGGAAGATTGAGATATGGAGTGGGTTGTTCTATAAGAAGGACGATGGATTAGTGACATTCCTTAAGGAATGATGTATTAGAGATGGGTATACTCACGTTTCGACCGATAACGCCTAGGCAGGCGATCGAAGGTATCGCGGTGGACATGGTTATAACGGCTTGTTGGCGAATATGGAGGTTGAAAGAGGAAGCCCGGCTTAGTGGAAGCCTCCATGCTCGCTTCGTCCCAGTGGGCAACCTTAACTTGTAATCCCCACCTCCAATTACTTCCAAGGCCATCATGATGGATAGTTAGTAGCGAAAAAATATATCTTTAATGGTAAAAATTTGAGAAATAACGAGAGCTCTGGAAATAGGAAATATGGAGTCTATTTATTATTTCCAATTCGGAATATGATGATAGCGGCTGGAGGCTGGAATGTCTCGCTTTTAGCTTGTCTGTCTGAAACCGGTCATTAACTCAGAAACCATTACAAGTATGAGCTCTCACTACCTAATGATAGGCTTAACTATTGCCAAGTACGTATGTATGCATATTGAATCTTGTAGTAATCGATGCTATCAAAGCTGTTCAATTCGTGAAACCCATAATTCGCTCGCTTCTTATGCAGCGTATCTCCCATTAAAGTACACTCCAAGTAACATGATGTATTATGTAGTGAGCCGTTCCCATTAAGGGCCGCAGAACAGAGCGCTATAAGCGCGTGAATCCTCCCTTGTATTTTTTACACGATCCCCAATTTACCTTTACTCTGAATATTCGTCATCTTCCATTAGACCAGCGGTATCTTCGAGTCCTCTTAGAACCTCTTCAACCTCTGATGGATCTGTGATGGCCCATACGCCTCCACCCTTGACCAGATCTTTGCCACGCATACCGACCTCTTTGCCTACGAGGTTGCGACCGACCTTGCCTGGCCCGACGCCCACCCATCGTCGTATACGGGCCTCTTGATCCAAGTACTTGATGCTGTCCCACCAGCGAACTGTATCTAGACAGCCACGGGCCAGCAAATCTTTGAGCTCATTCTTGCAGCAAACTGGCCGTGCAGACACATTACTGACAATCGGTAAGAGCCCGGGGAATGTCACAATGTCCTCGTTTTCACGACCCTTGACTTTGCTGGGTTCTTCCAGTAGCTGGCGCATCACTGTGACGGCGGGCTTCATGATAGGACTGTGAAAAGGACTATCGGCCTTGAGGCGAACGGCGCGCGGGTCGTAGCCGAGAAATTGGCGGACGTGGGCAATGAGTGTCTTTATCCGTTCGATATTGCCACTCAGCACGATCTGATTCTTGCTATTTATGTTGGCGATCAACACCTGCTCAATTGGCGGCAGATCTGCTAGGTCCTCGGCGGAAATCCCAACAAACTCCCGGATGGCCTCGACAAGTCTGTCCATGTGCTCTGGGTGAGATATGACGGCGACCATGCCATATTCTCCGCCGTACTTTTCGATCGCATGTTGTGTAGCTTCTGTCATGGCCTCTGCCCGTTTGCGCACCAGGTTTAGACTGTCCTGGAAGGAGATGTAACCGCCAGCTACGACCGCGGCGAACTCGCCAAGTGAGTGGCCTAGTGTGACGTCGAAGTGGTCGGTGACTTTAAAACCGAATTCGCGCTCGAGAATGCGCAAGATGAATATGGAGGTAGCCATGATGGCGGGTTGCGCATTGGGGGTTTCAGTAAGCAGCTTCGAAGGCCCATTCTGAATAACGTCGGAGAGCCTGTAGCCCATGTATTCGTCAATTTCGTCTCGTAGTTGCGATGCTGTCGAAGGGAAGGCCTCGAGCCACGGAGTCAACATGCCGACCCGCTGAACACCTTGACCCGGGAAGAAGAGCGCCGTTCTTGTGCCGCCTCGATGCGTAGATCGCCATCTTTGCTGCTGTAGTAGATATTGTCTTTGAGGTAAAGTCTGTAATGACGGTCGGCTGTGTGTTATTGTTGTTGTAGTTGTCGTTGCTGAAGGAGAAGTCGAGGAGCGAATGTGAGTAGCTAGAGTATAAGTGCGGCGGCACCGCATCGTGAGCGTTGCCATTGCCGTCTGAGCGGCGGGGCAGAGGGTAGAGGTCAAGATGGACGGTGTGAGGGTTTCATTCTGTGGTGATTTTGAGCAAAGAGGCGAGAAAAGGAACAAATAGAGCCAGCCCTGTTCTTAACCGAACCTGAGCTGAACAAAATTAAATAAGAAGCCAGGCCACAGCCCAAGCTCGAAACTACGAGAATGAATGATCATCCTTTGGGGGGTCTCGGCCTAGGTCTGGGGTTCGGGAGTTTGCGTGACGTCGGGGTCATGTTTAGTGCCAAGGTACGTACCCCATTCCTCGGATTTGGGGGGAATTTTCATTCAATGCTCATGAGATTTGTCGGAAACGAGTTCCCCTTGGTCCATTGAGAGTCATGGGATGTCCAATCATATGACGATCGCATGCCGAAGCGTCGTCGCTACAGGCGCCTTTGGACCTTGAACTTGGGGCTCCGGGTCTACCCCCACACTTAGAGCCGATGCCCCGACCTGGAGCGGCTTCGGAGCTCCGTTGCTGTTTGGGTACATCCTCCGAAGGGTTTTCAACATTATTTTTTACATGCCATTGGATTGGCTCATCCTAATTATTCCTTCAATTCCCGCGGGAACATGTTCCGATCATGCACTTGCATTGTGTTTGTGCACATGACATGTCTGGGTAATGATTCTGTGTCGACTGTTGTTTCTGTCATGAATTCTAGTGGAGCGCAAATGGAGTATATGCAGCTAACGTCCAACTCTTTTTAATTAACATCGTATCTCAACACCCCCCTTGCTTATTGTCAAGTACTTGACTCCCTTGTACGGTTTGACACTCTCTCCCAGACCCCTACTCTTGCGCGTGTCCAACTGTATGCTTTCCACCTTCAACCCACTTGCCAACCATCCCTTGACTGAGAAGCTCACTGATGCCGATGTTGGCATCAAGATTTTGTTCTGTGCGATCTTCTTGGTGTCCTTGCCATCGCCTGTGCTCTCTTGGTCGTCTCTGACTTTGGCCATGGGTGCGCTCTGATAAGGTCCATCGAATGTGTAGTCGGTGTTAAATCCAAACCCATTGGGATCGAATCCCTCATCATCATCGCCTGCCAACGGTCCCACCACGGTACACCTGAGACCAAAGTAGCTTGTACCGCCTGACAGTTCCTTTGCAGGGATATACCATTCCAAAAACTTCTCGCCTGGGTTAAAGCTTGCGTCGCCTTTACTTGGTCGAATCTCGGATAAGTTCCTAACATCAGCTGGCAGTGGAATCGTCACGGTCAAGTCATCCATCAAAGGAGCTCCTGGTGATCCTGGATGAGGACCTCCAAGCCGTCCTCCACCACTACCTCTTCCTAGACCTGATGATGCTGGCGAAGGTGCTCCGAGAATCTTGTTGACTTGAAGACGAACCTCAAAGTCTGATCCCGTCGCACCTAATCCCGTTTTGACCTCCATATTAATGGGTAGTTTGAGATTGTTGGAACTGAGACTTCCGCTCTTCCCACTCGTAAAGGGCAACAGGTCCACTTCGTACCCAGCTAGGATAAATCTTCCATCAGGCGGAATGAAGCTTAACTCGCCTGGTCTCTCCTTCCATCGGTTAAGTCGTACGCAAGGGTGAAATACAGGTAGTTCCATTATACTGCCAAGGTTGTGTTTTCCAGACGGACTTGTAATGTTCAAAGTAATATCCGGAACACCTGATACCTTGGAAGTGAATGCGATAGTTCCATTGGCGAAGGCTGCCAGCGGTCTTCCTGAAGGAGCGAGCGTAACAGACAATGTCTCCACGATATCCGCGTACATCTCATTTGACGTGTGTCGTACGTTCGCTCTCCTCCATGGCAAAGCGGTCGAGTTTGATGGCAGAATGGAGGATGTGTTCGAATTTGAAAAGTTGGCGCTCAAAGGTGCTTTTCTAGACATGGGTTAGCTCAAAGGTCTGTCTCAGAAGCTCGATGATTCACGAACCCAGGCAGATTGATGCTTCCCAACAATTTTCCAACCCAGCCTTCCTGTTCAACCATTTCGCGTAGAGCATTGGGTTCTGTCGTGCTTATTATGCCGGCATCGCACATCTCGGTTAACAGCTGTGCGACAATATCATAATTGTTCTCAATTTTGACGGCCAGGAGCGGCGCGCCAAGGAAGTCCTCAAAGGCATCTATTATGCGGTGTAGGAACTCGAAGACTAGCAGCGGTTCTATCTCGGTTGACGATGTCGCAATAAACAAGAGGTTCGCATGTGTTAAGTTGAAGACAAGCGTTGGGGGACTTGTGTTGGGTAGGTAGATGAGGTTCGGTCGTGGTGCAGGATGTTCTAGGTAGAGGGGTAGAAGATGGGTTGCCGGCATGGGCCGCCCTGCATAGGTATGCGAGAGGATAGGATTCCTAGACGTAATGCCTGATTAGAAAGGACCTTCCCGAGTGATTTCAAGAGTTATACCGGTTATCATCGTAAATATGAAGCGCCTCAATAACACCGTTCATGGTAAAGACCAACACCTCCCTCTAGTGTTGACAGGCGAGAGCTCAGATATACTTTAACAGTGTGCCAACGGCGGAACAGCACCAACAATGACGACTGTAGGTGCAGACCCCTGCAGCGCATGACTCAGCGATCGATAGTATGTTTGTCCAATCAACGTTGATCTTTCTTCTACTCTGCAATTGAAACCCGTGATAATTCAATGTGGTCGAATTCTTTTTGTCAAAGATATTAATTTCACCACACGAACAACAATCACAATGGCCGGTGACAAGATTCCTACAGTCCAGTCTCTCGAGAAGCCAGAAAAGCTCGAAGATATTCTACGCCAGGACCGAGGCGATGACTGTCTGCCCTGCAAAGTTGTTGGTCAGTTTCTATCACTCGGCTTCACATTCGATCTTGTGATGGACTAACAAGGGGACAGGCAGCAGCGCATTTTTTGGTCTCGGAGCCTACAGCTATTTTTCTGGCATGTCACAGCTTGAGAAACAAAAGAACTTGATTCTACGAAGCAAGTCGCCTTTTGGAATGCGAAGTCGCAAGCTCGGCATCACCTCTATATCGCTGGCTCTTGTGTGGATGGGGCTCTGGAGGGCACTTAAATAACCAATCAATACTTTGTCGCCAGCTATTCAACGAACTCCCCTCACTATGACAGACATATCTGTACAGCACCTCTTCATGCGAAACCCTGCGAGCTCAACCCCATTCAAATAATATCTACAGTATTGTAATGTAGAAATACTCCGGTTCTGGTCTTTTGGTATCTCTTTGTAGAGATCCTCATATAGATATTATAGAAGGTGTTGAGTGTTTGAGTCAACGCGTCCCGACACGGAGTTATTGTGCTGTTCTGTGAAAGTGCGACGACGTTAATGTGCTTGAGTGCTGCACTTCATTATTTTATTATCAGCATGTTTAATTAAACAATTCACATGGACTCAATGTGTTCTCCTGCCCATTGATCTTGCATGTATAGTTGGTTTATGGTGGTTAATTTCGGGTTCGATGACTGTTATAATACTCACCCACTGCCTGCTAATCCATAGCTCACTCAGGGCACCTATTACGTTGCCACCAACACTACCTAAAATCTCAATCCCGGAGCCCCACATCGAATCTTTAACCAAACTTATTCCACAACCAGAAAAACGACAACAAGATAATCAAGCTAAGCCTCAACATACTACAAACAAACGCTCATTGTAGTGGACACTTAATACTGTCGGTTTCATTATAATACGGTTAAACGGCCATCTAACCCTAACAACTGACCGGTTTCGCGCCTCGTCATTCTCATCTCATCTCATCATGCCTATCACAATTCTCAGTCCTCAGCCTCCTACACCCAGGAAACCACAAGTGGTCGCTGCTGCAAATAATGACTCCGACTCCGAATCTGAAGGTGGCGCTGGCGTAGATGGTGATGAAATTTTCACACCGGGTACCGTGATTACATCTAATCCTCAATGGATGCGGTAAGTCTCAACATCTCAGACGTCACGATCGCTATCCTCTGATACTGACATACTTATTTAGTGGACACGGTACATATATTCCTGCCGGATCATCTGACATCACATCATCTCTTGCTGGTACTCTCACAAAGACAAACAAACTCCTCTCGGTGCGCCCTCTTCGCGCTCGCTACACACCAGAGATCGGTGACCTTGTCGTCGGTCGCATCGTCGAAGTGCAGGCCAAGCGATGGCGCGTCGATGTAGCTGCATCCCAGCTCGCTATCCTCCAGATCTCAGCCATCAACTTGCCTGGTGGAATTCTTCGTAAGCGTACCGAAACTGATGAGCTGCAGATCCGCAGCTTCTTCGCTGAAGGTGACCTAGTTGTTGCAGAGGTTCAGCAACTGCATCAGGACGGCGCCGCGAGTCTTCACACCCGTAGTTTGAAGTACGGCAAACTTCGAAACGGTGTATTTGTCGCTGTTACCGGTACTGGCGGCGGCGGCGGTGTTGTCCGCTCCAAAAGGCAGGTCTGGACAATGGATGTGGCCAACAACGGCGGCAAGGTGGATGTTCTTCTAGGAGTGAATGGCTACATCTGGATCAGTAAGCACATCGAGAGCGAAACGGCCGCTGAGGCTGCGGGTATCAACCGCATGGAGGAGACCGTTAGTAGCAAGGTCTACTCTAGCCAGAACGACCCCATGGATGTAGCAACTATGCGCGAGATTGCAAGAATCCGCAGTGTCATCTTGGCTTTGGTTGAGAACGGGTTGAAGGTGGATGAAGATACAGTGACCAGAGGATATAGCGAGGCTGTCGATCTGGGAAGAGATTCGACTGACGATGATCTGTACCTGGGAGGTGAGAAGGGGCGTCGTCTGGCAACTGCTTTGGCTGGTCACTGAGATATCTTAGATTTCAAAAGTCACTTTTAGACAACCATAGTCCTAATATAAGATACCACTACTTAACGAACCGTGAAGCTTAGTTGTACGATTTTCTTCGCGTGATTATTAATATTGGCTAGCTGCAAATGACATTTGAGATCAACAGGTCAAAATATGACTGTGATACATGGAAATAAAGAAAAAAGCCCAAGTGCTGGGGTGGCCACCTTTTTGTGTGCCAGATAATATCGATATATCGCCACCTCAATTCCTATTGACCTTGAAAAACAGGGATATCAACTACTAAGATAGATTATTATCGTGTGAGCAGCTGGCTCAGAGTACCTTTCTTCGCTTCCAGCACAGCAGCTGCAACCACAAGGAATGCCCACCTGAGAAGAGCGCCCTTAGCCTTCCTGGACCCAAGACCGAAAACCAGGGCGACGAAATACCCGAGTCCCTTGGTTTTGTTGCCGTCTCGGTCAAAGTTGGGCTTTGGTTGCGCAATCTTGAGACGATTCATGTTGGGCCACTGATACGGCATGTAACGGACACGGAACAGGGCATCAGCCCAGTAAGGGACCTCGGCGATAGTGCGCTGGTGGCTGAAGGTCCTGATGGAGTAGATGCCGTGATAGTTGCCCATTCCGGACTGGCCTACACCTCCCAGCGGAGACTGGGGAATCTGGGAGTGAAAGAAGGCGTCGTTGCATGTAGCGCCACCTGAAGTGACATTGTCCAGAACTATATGCTGTTAGATATGCTACTAAAAGGTTATGATCACACTTACCCTTCTTGTTTTCATCCTTGCTTCCAAAGGTGCTGAGTGAGAGAGGTGTTGGGTCAACCGAGTTGGCGATGTTGATAGCCTGGTCTAGAGAATCGACTGCCATGATTGCAAAGATGGGGCCAAATGCCTCGTCAACCATCATGCTATCCTCAACATCATCAACAAGAACCGCCGTTGGCTCCATGAACAGGGTAGACTCGTCCATAGATCCTCCAAGAACAATCTTGCCCTTAGTTCCGTCCAGCATCTTCTTGAGACGGTTGAAGTGACTAGCACTGACGATATGCGCGAGATCGGTACTGTTCTTGGCACCCTTGGGGAAAAAGGTTCGCAGTTGATTGTTAAGTTCTCCAAGGAATGGAGAAAGGACACTTCTCTCGACGAGGATGTAGTTATGAGACATGCAAACTTGGCCTGCATTCAGAGTCTTTTGCCAGAGAAGTCGCCGAGCAGCCAACTTGAGGTTGGCGTTCTTGGTGACAAAGGATGGGTTCTGGCCACCAAGCTCGAGAAGCACAGGTGTCAAGGTCTCAGCCGCCTTTTTGGCAATGATCTTGCCGACGACCTTGCCGCCTGTAAAGCAAATTTTGTCGAACTTTTGTTCAAGCAAACGCTGGGTCTCTGGGAGAGCACCATTAACGTAGGTGAAGCACTCGGGGTCAAGAGATTCATCAAAGATCTTCTTGAGCACCATGGCACTGTTTGGAGAAGACTCGGATGGCTTGAGAACAACACAGTTACCACAAGCAATAGCTCCAACAACAACAGGAAGAGTGAGCTGGAAGGGGAAGTTGAAGGCGCCAATGTTGAGAATGACACCGAGCGGCTCGAAGCGGGTGCGATGCTTCATGAGACGAAACTGAAGGGGAACATTGGGAACAGGCTCATCGCGCAGCCACTTCTCCATGTTGTTGGTCATATCAATGCATTCTTGCTTGCACCAATCGATCTCGGCCAGAACGGCCTCGTACTTGCATTTGCCAAGGTCCTTGAGGAGAGCATCTTGCATGAGCTCAGTGTTGTCGACGATGGCCCAGTAAAGCTTTCGGATCTGGCGCATGCGAAATTCAATATCTTTGGTGCGGCCTGACATGAATGTCTTCCTCACGAGATCAACCTTGGCATTGATCTCATCGAGGGGTGTGTGCTCCAGTGGGCCGATCGTGTAAGATTTGGTGTTGTCAACCATCGTGATAAGTGATGCTGAAAGGTGGCTAGTTAGTGAAATGAATTGAGTGCTAACGAGTCCGGTCTCGATGAAATTACAATATGAAGGATATATATCGAGCGTGCAAAGCCTTTGATTAGGAGAAGAGGTGATTGCGGGAGGAAAAAAGACAGGAACGCCTAAAGAGATGTTTGAATGAGTTGTGTTCAGTTGGAAGGCGATATTCTTGGCGGACGGGAGGTATTGCCTGTACCTGTACCTGTACCTGATTTTACGGGGCTTTCTCCTGATTAATTAGGCTGCCCCAGAGGAAGGTGATATTGGATTGGGTAGGCTCAAAAAGGCAGATTCGGCCAATATAGCAGTCATAGACTCGAATAGGACCTCTAAGAAATTTTCAAGGTGTCCCTGGTACTTGATAGCTAGATAAAGTCTGTTGAGGATAAGAAGTTCAAGATCTTGACATTCCCTAAAGAGAAAATGAGGGGCTTGTAGTATCAAACCCCGGACCAGCTCTGTCTTTCCGGTGTCCTCGGCACCCTTACATCCACGTGTGTTGGATCCAGCCGAGGCACAGTCTCTTAGCCATGAGGTTGTGCTTTAAAGCCTATATGGAAATGATCAGACTTGACAAGCTTTATTGACGACAGAGGACACTGGCGGTTTTCTACGTTAGATGATCTGTCGCGTTGATACAAGGCTGAAGCACCGTCGCCCATCTAGTGCACGCGAAACAAAAACCAACAAGCTTACAAGCTCACAGACATTCTCGTACATTGTCATTGGGCCAATCAGATCAACTTTTATTACATATGACTGTACAAGAGCATCATGATTTACATTATGTAGGGCATCTGATCTCCGTCGAAGATGCTCAAGCCCGTATTAGAACGCTCTGATATAACACTATTGGCCTGTGTTACCTGTAAGCCGTAGAAATCGCCGTCTTTTATAACGCTGTATCACTTCTAGCAATTTTGTCGCGTTTCAACCGTTTCCGCGCCTTCAGCAGAGGCTCTTACACGGAGCCAAAATCAATTTGCACAATCTCAATCTCACGATCCTGCTCCCATTAGAGCCTCCTTGTTGACACCTTTGTTCTCCAATACCCTCGCTGCCAACTCCTCTACCACATCCTTGACTCCATCCCCCCAGAGAGCTGATGCGACCCCAAATTTCGCATCCAATAGAACTGCTAGTTCGCTCCCCTCTTCTATCCCGCGTTCCCATGCTTGCCCCGCGGCCTCCGCGCCATCCGCCTTGCCCGCAACGACGGCCGTAGGCGGCGCCACTTCTTCCAGGTACGGAGCCAGTACTTGAAGTCTCATGCGCCGAAGCTCCTCCAGACTCTCGGACGATGAGCCCTCGTATAGCATGATGAGAGCATCTGCTTCGGCTGCTAAGCGACAAGATTCGGGAGTAGAGTTGATGAGCGTGGACGGAATGCGCTTTAGTTTGATGAGCGTCTGAAGGCCCGCGATGTTGGCTAGGCGCGAGTCTCCAGATGCTTCTGCGATGGCATCGTATCGATCTGTAAAAACTTCTTCGCAATACTGGGAGTCGCACACGTACGTTAACCATGTGTTTTAACCAGTGTTCGAATGAGTCTTCCTTGCATCAACTTACCCTTCGTATAAAACTCTTCTTCCCAGAGACCGAAGCTCCGAGGACGACGATTTCGACGGTGTTTTCTGGCTCCATCCTCTGCTGGCTCTTCAACTTCAGTCACAAGAAATCTTGTTGCGATCAAACTCGAGTCCACGTCAAAGCAATGGTAAATCATAATACGTTTGCTCACGGGTGTTATTGGCAGTCATGATGATCTTAGTCAGCAGACCCAGCATCATGAGAACATGGACTGGACCTCAATGTAAGGTTCGATCCAGGGCGTATCTTGTACTTAGGTACCTCGTACTAATCGGCCAGAAATTTCCAAAGATGCCTAGGTACTTAGAACAGGTTTTGGTGGCTGGATAACTAGCCATTGTCACGTCGAGGTCTGGCAACTGGTCAGGTATTTACACGCATTTTAGCTTTTGATTTGGCCCAGCTCAAGACAAGTTACAAACTCTCTTCATCTTGAACAAAGCGCTTATCCAACCCAATCGCAACGATTCACAGACATGTATTGTGAGACATTTTTTTGGAATAACCTGCAGCAGCTCGATTTACATGTTCTCTTATTGATACCATCTTAAACATACATCGTACAATTGTACATGCCCCGCCAAATCTAGCGTATAATACATTTCATCCCACATCAGACGTGTTAGGGGAATTTTTTCCTTTATCTGGTTCTATCTCCTCGCGCGGCTGCCACTTGCACTCTTTGCAGGTGCAGCAGTAACGAGCTCCGCAACCTTGGCCTTCTTCTGTTCCTCGGTTGGCTTCTTCAACAAGTGTTGGTCAATGGCCTGAACACCGTCGATCAACTGACCGCTCTCAGCCATCTTCACATCTTCAATGGCCAGACGTGAACGGTGCTCATCAAGCTGCTGTCGACGCTCAGGGGTCATGCGCCACTCCTTGGGGAATTGCGGCTTGGGCTTAACAACATGATGCCGAGTGTCGAGGGGAATATCCTCAAAAGTATCCTTGGGGTCCTTGGCCGCAGTGATGAGGTCGTCAATTAGGTTGGAGAGGTATCTCTTGTTCTGCGCTTGGTGCTCAAAGCTGTCGCTGCTCATCTTGATGATCTCTGTCTCGGGATTGTAGCGAGAGCCGGCGAGCTTCTTGAGCTTTTCGGTTTGGACGGGAGTCAGCTTCAGGTCATCAGGGGCGAATTGCACCACGACCTTCTTCTCGGCGGGGTGCGATTCACCCATGTAAGATGTGTATCGCCATCGTAGAATCTGCTTATCGGTAGGAGGCTCAAAGGGCTTGGCGTACTCTATTGAAGGTATCAATATGTGTATTCGTGTATTTAAATCCTCTACTGAACTTACTCGAAAGAAGAGGTAATTCCCACACTGCCAATCGGGCATACTTTCGCATCTCTCGGACTTCGTCAAGTTTGCCGTGAGCCATAGATGTGATATCGTCCTCGTCAAATTCCTCAAGTTCTTCCGTGTTGGTCTCGGGGTCCTCCTCATCGAACCAGAAGGACTGCTTGTTGGGCTTCTCTCCCTTATCGTCTTTCTGGATATCTTCCAATGTTGATCGGTCCTCGGATGCCCAGCCAGGATAGAAGTCTAACTTGTTTTGCAGGTATTGGTCGATGGAGTTGTAGCCATTTGCCTTGGCCAGCTGGTCCAATTGCTTAAGCCCCTCCGGTGTAGAAGCCTCAGCCAACGCAGCCTCTAGTTTCTTCAACTCCACAGGTCCAAAGTCTTCCTCCTCAACATCGTCTTGGCGCTGATCTTCCTCTCGGGCCCATCTTATCGTCGATGTGGTGAATGCCCGCTGGGCAAGAGGTTTTTGTCGGATGATCTGCCGAGATCGGGGAACTTGCTGGATTCTAGACGCCCTGCGACATGCAAGAGCGCATAGTCTTGCCGCTGCCGATGCTGAAGCCATTGCGAATCAGTCAAAAGGGCAATGGCCGCGTCAAATTGTCGTCGGTTTAAGAAAAGGTTTGGCGGCGTTCAAAAATTTGGCTACACCACCAAGCACAACTGCTTTCCCCACGGTCCGGCATTTAGCCGGGGTGTCCTCTTACATGAACCTTCTTCTACCCTATCGCAAATATATATATATTTGACTTTAACATTTCCAACAAACCAGTTTTGAAAATTTCCAAGAAATGTCTTGTTGATCATGGCCGTCTCTCATCTCGATCGGGTGTGCCTTGTCACGGTTGGTGCGACAGCCGGATTCAAGACTCTAATTAACTCAGTTCTTTCAGCCAGCTTCTGGCAGTATATCACTTCCCAAGGGTTTACCGAGTTACACGTTCAGTGCGGACCGGACAACATCTCAGCAAGGCAACAACTCGCTCTCCTCCAACATCAAGTCCCATCTGGCCTCACGATTGACATCTTTGATGTAAAGAGAAATCTTATGAAGGAGGAAATGATTCTGTGCAAGGCCTTGGAAGGAAAGCGACAACTAGGGTTGGTGATATCTCACGCTGGTATGTAACATAATTTTCCGAGAAGCCCTGGTTCACACATTATAGGTACTGGCACAATACTAGATGCCTGGAAAATGGGATTGCCGATTGTTGTGGTGCCAAACACACAACTCCTGGACGATCACCAAACTGAGATGGCCAAACATCTCTCCAAGGAGGGCTATGCTATCATGAGCTCTGGGAGGTATGTTAACTGAACAACACTAGATAAATACCTATTCTAATATGTTACAGCACTGAGGACCTTAGGGAAGCTATCCATAAGGTGGGACTCCTATGGGAAGAGAACAAGACTCGATGGCCTCCTCACAAAATCCCCTCGCAAGAAGAGCCTGACAGACTTCGCTTGTGGGATCTTGCCCCTGCGGAAGTCGTAAAAGAGGAGAATGTAACGATGGCGCACGATTAGTAGCTCGGGCCTATCAAGCGCATTTTCTGTCTGCGATCAGACTAAGCATGATTTACGACTGATGAGAACGGGCCTTCACTCTTGATCTGGGACGGTTATATGCTTGGTGTCTGGCGTTAAACTGGGCATTTATCTGATATTGTACTTCGTTTTCAGTCGTCTCTATATGGGCCGATTAATCTAGTCTAGGAAGTCGCATAGTTTAAGGCAAGTTCTGGACACTCCATATCTTTACGCTGGCATCGCCTCCTGCACTGGCAACCTTGCCGCCTTCAATCCAGGCCACACCATTTACACCGTCCTTGTGAGCATTGGCAGCTTTGATGCGCTTGCCTTGGTTCTTTTTCTCTAAACACCATACGAAGATGTTGGTGTCGAGACTGCCGCTGGCAGCATAGGCACCTGTGTCGTCCCAGGCAATCGAGGTAACTCGGGCAGTGTGAGCCGACCAGCGGTCTGCCACTAGCTCCCAGCTTCCAGCGCTGTAGACATAGATTTTTCCAACGCTGTTTCCAGCAGCCAAATGTGATCCGTCTTTCGAGAATGCAAGGGCCGAAATGGTACCGGTCGGGTTGCTCAATGCCTTGACCTCCTGGAGTTTGCCGTCGGAACCAGTGCTGTAGATGCGCACCGAGTTCTCGTTAGCTCCAACTGCGATAAAAGAACCAGATGCCGCAATAGCTCCGGGGGTGTAGTCCAACGACTGCTCGCTTACTAGCTTCTCGCCGGAGTAAACGGATACACCTGAGTAGGTCGCGACATAGACAAATCCATTAGCCGCACTCACACCTTTGGGTTGAGCTTGCAGTTTGACAGAAGAGCCCAGGAAAGTCTTTGCCGACTCATCAACAATTCGGAGATTGTCATCCCAGCCAGCGCTGAAAGCTTTGCCATCCGCAACGGCGAACTGAGCCACTTGATTCGTGTGTGCCTGGCCATCAACAACTGTAGCAATACCTGACTTGATATCCCAATGACACACTCGGCCATCAAAGCTGCCGGACCAGAGGTCAGCACCATTGCCATCCGATGCAGTTGACAAGGCGGTGATGCCTCTGTTGTGTCCGTAAACAACACGAACAGGCTCCTGCTTGCCTTCAGTCAAGTATGTAAGTTGACCCTCAAGGCTGAGACTGATGATGAGCCCGTCGCTGCGGCCAGGAACGAAAACGACACCGACTTGCTGATCACCAACGGTAGCATCCCCTCCAAACCTCCAGGTTTGAATGACGCTACCTGCATCAACGTCCCAGAGCTTGACAGTTTGGTCAGCACTGGCGGTGACGAACTTCTTACCATCTTGCGACCACGACACAGAAAAGATACTTCCAGTGTGCTCGCCCTGACCGATCTCCTTGGTGGGCTCACCAGTCTTTCCATCATAAAGCTGTATCCTCTTGTCGGCACCAACAGTGACTAGAGTGTTGCCGTCAGGGGAATAAGCGGCGCCTAGAACAAAACCAGTGTGCTGAGCGCTCTTGTTGTTGAATTTGTAAGGGGCTCCATGGTAGAATACCATGTTGCCGTCATCACCAACAGTAGCGGCACGGAAAGGACGCTGAGGCTTCATTGCAACAGCGTTAACTGACTTAGAGTGCCCGATGATCTCGCCAACAGAGTTTCCACTATCAGCTGTGATGCAGCGGCCGAACTGCTCGCGACCATCACCTACAGCAATGACACGCTGTGACTCGCCATCCCAGGCAATGTCATTTAGACGACCCGAAATGATGGCGTACTCTCCCCTTGTGCTGTCGATGGATTCAGGCTCCCAGACCTTGAGCATGCCACTCAAGTCACCACTGGCGACCTTGAAGCCACTGGGAGCGAAGCGTGCAACGGTTGTAGGAGCGGTGTGGCCGGTGTACTCTTTTGTATCGGAGGGATCATCGATGGAGCGAACAAAGATGGATTTTCCGCACTACGGGGGTCAGCGATCCTGTTTGTACCATATGTTCTGCTCACAGAAGCTGCTTCATACAGGATAAGCTATTCGTTGACCCTTGGAGTCGGCCGAGATCTGGGTTGGTTGACCACGGGTTGTAACTGGGACAGCCGCGAGGATGCGGTCGAGAGTGATGGAGGGGGAAGCCATGACGGATATGGAGTATGAGCTTGTCAGAAGAAGATATGCAGATGCAAGGAAACCAGCTGAAGAACCTGGGCTTGAACCTGGAAGTCAAGACGTCGTCAGCCGGGCTCTAACAGAAAGTGTTGTTGTGAAACGTGGGGGATGCGATGCGATTCTTAGGTACCAGATGGAGGGGTACTAAGGTATTGAGCTGGTGTGGGGCAATGGCGTAGGGAAACAGCTTGAAAGTTGTTACACTACTAGTGTAAAAACTGCAAATAATGATAATTTTGCGTTGTTTTATAGTAGCTGAGCGTGCGAAACAAATACCTGTATTAAATACGGATAGATGGATGGCTTATTTCCCAAGAGTCCATTTCTGCCTGGAGAAATTGCCTTGCCAGTTTAATGTTACTGCCTGCTATGGAAGTCAGTGTTGGATGTTTCCTACAATAGCAAGGTTGCCGCTACTGTAAAAGCCATAGCTGAACTGCCTTTCTTTGAAGCTCAGGAAAAGATAGACATAGAAAACTAGCACCCGTTGTATAGCGGCAGTCTCACTAATGTGGCTGAAAACGTACATCTTACCGAATCAAGGTAGCATAGAATATATACGGCAAAGGTCTATGGTCAGTTGAGTTGAGTCAGGTTGGTAAACAGATGTACCGTATTATCCTTTATTTGGATACGATTGCGTTCTGGTCCATCACGTTGTGTTGTTGTCTTGTCCTCGGCTTCGATATTTATGGACCACAGAGAATGTAAGGCTTCCGAGGCATCCCACGTACTACATACGTAGTGAACACACGGCATGTCTCCAACACTGGCTGCATTGCATTCAGTATTGCTGGCCATTCCTGCAAGACCGCCTGGTGGGTCAGTTGACTCCATTTCATCAACCCAAACGATGGAGACAAGTCTCAACCTCGAGTTGCTTACCATGATAAGATACCCAGACATATCTCAACAGTTTTTTAAGGTGAGCTGTTTTGTGAGGTGAGAGGGTACTATGTACATACACCGATGAATGTGGCTGGGCAACCAAGCGCACGGTATGTACATCACGAGAAGGCCATACGATGTTACACCGTCAAACACGCAGCGTACATAAATAACTCTGGTCATCTGCATAATGATAGCACAACAAGCCAACACATGGACACAGGGAGCTGCATAATCCCGCGGTTCAGCCTCCTCGTCCCCCTGATAGAGCTAGAGCGAGAGCGCACTAGCAGGCCACCATCTGCTCCATGAAGGGACGTCTCCCGGAGCAATAGTCAAGGATTAACAACTGCTAAAGCCTCCCGTTGGAGAATTATCAGCGAACGACGCATGGACAGGGGTTTCGTCATCTCCACTTTCTGACGGGCTATCGACAACAAAATGTACATCGTGTCTTTGCAGGTCTCACTCAACTGGCGGTCGAAAGATTTTCTTGGTGACTTTTTGTTTCACTGCGTCACTGTGGCTACCAAGGGATTGAAAATGAGCATCTAATGAAACACATTCATGCCATGGAATTGGGGCATATGACTGCCTCCTTCAGGGATATACACAAACAACCTTAAACAACAAGCAAGCACAACACAAAAAGCGCCAAAGCTCAAGCCACAAATAATCAACCACGATAAAAAAAAATAAAGCTTGATCGACTGGACTGAACGGTCAGTCTGTCAGCCCCTGTAATTGTGCATGCCATGGGTCCTGGCCGGCCGCAATGGTTGGGGGTGGGACGGTAGAACAGACCAGGCCAGCAAAAAGGCACGATACTAAAACCAGACCCTGTTGTTAATATCCCCCGTACTCTCGTCTGTATGATTAAAAAAACGCCTCTTCCTCCCCAACTTATATATCAGCTTCATTCCTGCTTTTCCCAGTCTCCATTTCTTTCCATCATCCTAATACCTACTCTGTAAACTAATCCTCAACACTCCTAAACAACTCACACAACCATCATCATGAAGTTCCTCTGGTCTCTCGCCCTCGTCGCCGCTGTTGCTTCTGCTCAGTCCGCTACCGATTCAGACGCTGCTGCCCCCTCAGCCTCCGGCGGATGTGACGCCGACTTCATCGTTAAGCGATGTCTCGAAACCGAGAACGCAAAGGTTGAGGAGTGTAAGCCCAACGACTGGGATTGTCTCTGCCCTGCTTACGAGGCCGTCGCTACGTAAGTTGAACCCAAGTCAATGCACAATGCAAAACATGATCGTCTAACATCCTCGTAGCTGCTTCAACAACTGCCCCGACGACCCTCGTGCTGGCTCCGCCAAGGGCCAGGTTCAGATCAACTGCCAGAACCAGTCTCTCTATGGAACCTCCACAAGGAACACAAAGACCAGCTCTGCCACAGCTACTGCCTCGGAAGCATCCGCTACCGAGTCTGATGATACTGAAGAGACCGGCACTGCAACTGAGTCGGCTTCCGCCGCCGAGAACACCAATAACGCCTCTAAGAAGGCCCGCAACACTGCTGGCGTTCTCCTCGCCGTTGCTGGTGTTGTTGCTGCCATCCTGTAATTCGATTTTCAAAAAGGGGTTATGAGTCCCATTTGAATGGGCTACGGAATTTATACGAACCTTATGGTAAAAAGTTATGCATCGACGGAATATTAAACGATTAATCATGTAATTCATTAATTAATAAATCAAGGATCAAACCTTGATCTAATTTACTTCTAACAAGCATCTACATAATCATGTAAATCACCTTGCTTACGCATGTTGCTGAAGCTAGATGAGTGACCGTCCCGTGCTAACCTCGGAACTCTAATAAAAATAGGTAAACAACATTCTTTGCCCATGTTGGGTAGCGCGACTGACAATCTATTTATACGTTATATATCTACCCTATTAACCATCAGCTCAAAAATGTTAATATGAGATCGGCTAGAAACATATGGATGCAAAGAAAACCGACGTATTCAAAAGCAGGGTAATGCAACGAACATATAGACTGGCTCATCAACTTTTGGTCTTCTCCTATTTAATATTGACTACCTCTGCTGGCTTGTTTAACTATTGTATTGCCTTACACAACAGGTGGAGCAAGCATAAGCTTTGACATAATGACAATCGTACAACATATCCCCTTCTTCGAGGAGATTCATGGCTTGAAAAACAACAGCAGAACAAAAAAGCCCATCAGCAATGAACCAGACACATGGCCCAGTTTGAAAATTCTGTCCCAAAGCGCCAATAAAATAAACAATATACGTGCTTCTCTATTGAAGGCAAAACGCACAAAAACACAATATTTCCCAGAACGTGTAATCCCCCAAGGCGCCCTCATAGCCCAGGTTTTCGTATGTAAGAGGCTGTGACCATGCAGCCGTCGTTTCTCAATCGTGACCTGTTTCCAGGCAGTGTTCATAAAAGGGTTGACTAAAAAGTGATATTGTTGAAAAGTGATGTTTCAAGAAGAAAGGTGAATCCAATGGTTGGTGGCTGTACGGCCGGTGTTGATTGAGCGACTGGCACATGCAAAAACGAAAGATTCCCATAATTTAGACCTTGCGTGGCCGTCTTTCTCTGGCGTTGTTCTTGACAGGCGTCATCAGAGTGATGTGTTTCGAATCATCTTTACGAAGCCTTACAGCGCCCGATACACCGCTAGACTCTCGGCGCAGTGAGCGCGGGTCTTGGTCGTCGTCAAGTGTTATTTCAGCCACGTCTGATACCGACTCCGTCTCAAGAGCATCACTGGCGCCAGAAACTGAGGAGCCATCATCAGTATCGTCGTACTCCCCGTCGTCACTAACCAGAGAAGGTGCATTATTGCTGACCATCGTGTTAGGACTCATGTCAGCATCCTCCATATCGAGATCTTCATCCGAAAGGACGACAGTTGTGCCGCGTGGTGCAGAACCTGAAGGGGTCTTGAAAGCAACAGGAGCACGACCTTTGTTGCTGGCTGAACGGGCTGTGTCCATGACGGATGGAGAATTGGTAGCCTTCGCAGGCACGCGCATTACGATGGGTGTTCGTACGGCAGAAGAACTCTTCATCTCATTGACCTCGGAAGGTGTTTCAGCAAGTTCAGACTCTTCACCGGAAGTCATATCTTCCAAATGCGACTTTGTCGTGGCATCTGCAACTAGCTCACGTAGACTACCGTCGAACTTCCGACTTTGCAATAGACGTGATAGATGGGGCATGCCCGGAGCTTCTTCTGTTGAGATTGCTGTTTGGGCCTGGCGCTGCTTATCCTTATCGGACGACGAAGGAATGCGTGTTACACCCGGTAACTTGCCTTCATGATAAAGCCTCAAAGAATCAGAGATTCTTGACCTGAGAGCGACATATGCCTGCTGTTCAGTTATGTCAGGGCGGGCAAAGGGATGAACAGATGCAGTAGTTGGAGTTTGTGCGGAGGGTGCAGCTGACTTCTCTTCACCAACTCCTCCTCCCTCCGCAACTTCAATGGGGTGCCCACTATGCACAGCTGCTTCTTCGTGGCTTTTGAAGTCACGCTTATGAGCGATTCGGCAGTGGTTGATGAACCCTTGAGTACTTGAGAAGTTCTCACGATGGCAATCGAGACAGACCAACTTGACTGTCTGCCCATCAGCACGCTTCAGTATACACGGACCAACTTTGTCTTTTGGTTGGGGATAACCGCTGGACAAAGAATGTAGCTTCTGACTGGTAGCTCCACGAGCCGAGCGACCTTTAAGTGCGCCCGTAGGCTCAGCAAAATTGTTTCTTGTCGTTCGTCCCTCAGCAAGGGACATTCTTGCGCGCGAAGCCTCCTGAGTAAATTGCCACTCAGGTTGCTGGCCATCAAATGAAGGATCGGGAATCAGCCACTTGGCATAATGTCTGGCATACGGACCATCGACAACACCGAATGGAGGTGCCCATCTCGGTACAGATTCTCCGGGACGTGACTGCATAGTTGGACCCTTACCAGCGCTAACATTCAGCATCTGTTCAGGGGTTGGGCAATTCACAGGGTAAGGAATGAGATGACAGCGTCGTAACTGTTCCAGAGCAACCTGACACTTTGCGAGTTCCTGGTTGATGAGTCGAAGCTCATCATGCTTTAGCAAAATCTCAAGACCAAATTGGTGGCGGATCTCATCACGAGCATTTTCCAAACTAGAAACCGCAGGGCTTTGGTGCGCTATCGCGTCGCACGCTGCAAGAGTATCGACGCTGGTGGGTGTATCAGTTTTTATGCGCTTGGCGTGCGCATATATATCTGGAGATTCATCAGGGCCATCGATGCTTGGCCGCCTCCTCTTGGGAGGCTGCGCGCTAGGTGATGCTATTGCTGTTGTTTTTGACAACGAGCGCGGTTGCAATGGCTTTATTAATTCTGCAATCGGTTGTGGAGCCTGCGGCGTCTTCTCACTTCCCCGTGATTCAGATGTGAAGAATCGAAACATGAGGATACCTTGACTAGATGTCAAGGAGGAAGATTTGATGTTGCGACAGTAGAGCCGTAATCACCTTTAATAGCAGCAATACGACAGGCAGAAATGCACAGTCACAGATGCAAAGCGTAGGGTGCGAAGGGTGGTGTGGGTTTGTTGGACGGGCCCAAGGCTTAGCGCAGCTGTGGCGCAGGCAAGGCTGACGTAACTGAAAGTCGGACAATCGGAATCGGGCGCAAAGGGGGTGATGATGTGGCCCCTCAAAACAGGTCAGAACCGGAGAGGAGATCGGGTCAGCCAGCGACAGTAGCGACCAGGGCTCAAAGCGACAAAAACGAGCCCGAAGACAGAAAGGAAGTAATCGAGCACTAGCAAAAGCCTCGACTTGTTGTCTCTGAGAAAAAGGTGACAAAGAGGTATCTCTTTGAAGGTGAGAGTGTGTATGAGGGAGGGAGATTGGGAAATGAGAGAGCGTGTAAGAGGCAAGATTAGGTTGTGGTAGTGAGGCAGCAATAGAAAAGGCAGGAACACGGGGGTACAGGTACAGGTGCAAAGGAAGGTGCGAAAGGGAAATCAATAACGGGGGAAGAGGGAAAGTGGAATGGAAGGTAAGTGGAATTGTTGTTGCGGGAGTCTGACGCCGCGTCCAGGGAAAACGGGGATAAACCCAAAAACCTCAGGACAGGAAAGAAGGGGGAAGTAGGTGGCACTTGCGTGATGAGATGAGACCTCAGACTCTGGGCTGGCTCGTTCCCGTCGACTTTCAGTCAGTGCAGCAAAGCGTAACAACAACACCTACTATGGAGCGAGGGTGACGACTGGACGCTTGGGTCTCGTCTTGTTTTGATGGTGCTTGCTTGTGTGCTGGGTTTCCTCCCTGATTGACTGAGAGATCGACGGGCAACCTCTTCTGATTGAATGAATGATAGGTTGTCTTCCCACAAAACGCAGACCTGAGGCGAAGCCTGTTGGGAGCCGTCGAGCAGGCTAAACAAGCCTGAGTCTAGGGGGACCTTGGGGGGCTAGTGTAGGTAGGCAGGCTGTTGGCGGGTGCGCCGGGGCGCGATATCAAACTGTGGACGGGTTTCTGGGTGAGTAGACCAGTGGGCATCCAAGCAACAGGGGCAGAAAACGAGAACACGCTGGAAACCTGACCAAGGTTGGAGATGCCCACTAAATGAGCCACACCACCACTATCTGTGTCTGAAGCAGGCAGGCAGGGCAAAAATTATAAACACCATCTTTGAGACGGTGACGTTGAATGGGAAAACATAAGCCTTCATCTGTTGCCAGAGTTTGGAGCTATGTGTGAAACCCAGACTACTTGCGTTAAATGCGATGTTATGAGCAGGCGTGTGTTAATCTACAACGCCATAAATGTTTGTTTACTGCTTCAAACGTGTTTCGCGGGCTGTCAACTTAATTATACCTTGAACTAAGATCAATGCCCCCCTGGTCTCGCTTCCCTGCTTGGTTGCAAAACGATAACAAACGGGCCCCAGATCGAATAAGCTCGACGATAGGACAGGAAGATATCCGCGAGTTGATGGGTCCATATTGTCGGTGACTCTGGGATTCTGATAATATTGCTTATTAGTACTCTGTACATCGTGGTGTTTAGTTGAACACTAACTCATCACGATCCTACACGAATTAGGCCCAGAACAAGAGTTAGTCGCATCCCTTTTGGTGAACGATATTCACTGGTAAATACTTTTGGGTGAACAAACCCATACAAAGCATGTATGACCAACAGTGACACAAAAGTATAATAGAATACCTAGAAAAGATGGGCGGGCCCCATACATCCCATTCCATCTCTTGTGCTTGGCATCCAAAGCTAATTGATTGTATCGCCAGATGAATTCAACGACTAAATCCATCTGGCAATATCTCGTGTATCTGCTGCTCTTTCGTAACTTGCAGTTCTCGCTTGCATGTCTCGCACTTTTGTCCTCTTATCACATGTCGTTGCTTCCCACCAGGCAATCATTCTTTCACTCGGCTTCGGGACGAGACTTGGACGTCTGACAGTGCAACCATCCCCGAGACATGTTTGGTTAGAGCAAAATATATTGGCGTGTGGTACACGGCTAGCTTGGGATTCTTTTTCTAAGTTCCTGCAGCCACTTCCAACCAGCTCGCTTAAACTCCACTTGGCTTGAAAGTCAGACTGGATTTGCTAATGTGATGCTATGTTGGTTGGTGCCTCTCGACTTGCAACAACCTTGGACTCGATTCAACACCTCGTCGTAGAATGAGTCTTGGGTCCAAGCTCCTTCGGCTTCAGCTGTGATGAAGCTGAGGTGCAGTAGTTCTGAGCTTGACTTAGCTTAGTCCATCGACGGAGAACGTACCGGGATAGCTTTAGTAAGCGGAATGCAGTCTGCAAGCTGAAGGGAGATTTTCCGAACTGTCGTGAGGTGATTCTTTGAGGTTCTTACGGAGCCACTCATCCTCGCCCCACAGATAATCACCAGAATCGTCATCCATGACATCGCCAGGTAGAGTGTCTTGAGACTCAAATCATTCAGGCAGCAGGCAAACCCTCAACAAGACCACGAATATAGATGAGGGGGACTAGCAATGTGCCAATACGGTATGCCCGATTTAAGGTATCATAGTACTTAGAAACCAAAACTGAAGGGCGATCAAACTCAGCTAACAACTGTTTTTGGATCCTCAGGAATTCAACTCCATCCATCCGTGGCACAAATCCTTCAGCCACATTTACCAGGTACGAATCTAAGTTTAGAGTCATGATAGGTATAACCGCATTATAGTTTATCTTCCACATGTTTAAATGCGGCTCTGCATTGTACTTTCGTGGTTGTAAAAGCCCAAAACTGACTCCATCCCTCACTCTGTAGCTACCTATAGTCATATTGCAATCATTGTATAGAAATATTTTGCTTCAAGTGCTTTAGTAGTTAGCATGAACGTCTGTATTTGTCTATTCCAATTAATAGTCATACACAAATAGCCGTATTGCTTGAAAACAATATATGCATAGATAGACAAGTACCGCGTAGTCTACAATTTGAGGATAAGGGTAATAATAACCCAAAGCGACAAGATGGTTTTGGACTTAGATGCACCATGTTCTACTACGTATAATCTCATGATCTACTAAGATAAGGAGCATTGGGGATGGATGGATGATATGCTGTCCAACAAGTAGCGCCTAGAAAGCGCTTAAACGAAATACTTGCATACTTGCGCCCCGCCAAACTCAACCTCCACAACTTTTTCGTCTTGCACATCAGCCTCGTTCTTTCAACTTTGATACGCAACAATGTCGAGCGCAAATTTGACCCAGGGCTCAGGGAAGAGAAGGCCAGATACCAACCCCGCGCAAAATGTGCAACCGACAAAACGATCCCGAAGCGACGACATTCCGACCCAGACATTTGCCCTTGCAGCTCCCCACGAATCTATCATCGCTGAGCTAAAACCCAAGTACGATGTGCTTCCTGCTTCGGTCATATCATCGACACAAATTAAGAAGCGTATTATACATGTCACCAATCACTTGCTAGCACAAGGCGACCGTCCGCAAATAGCTTTGCTGTATGCGCGCACGGCTGATGTTTGCAAACTCATCACCGTGGTTGAAAAATGCAAACGAGTTTTGAGCGAGGAAGGGAAACAATACTACCAGTACAACCAACTCTTCGATCACCCAGAGAAGCCGAAGCGGAAGGACATTGTTGAGGAGACAATACTCGAAAAAGGTACAATGGACGAGGAAGACGATGATTCCGGCAGCGACGATTTCGAAGTCACGCACAGCCGATTCGAAGACGCCGTGCTGCCTTGTCCTTCCCAACGGACCATTAAGTCAATGAGGGTTTTCCTCTCGGTCGTCCCCATACCGGAATTGAAGTTGAAGAAAGGCGTCACGGTCCAATCAGGAACAACAAAACAGACTTGACCGGATCCCCGAGTATACATCTTGCATCAATCTCTGATATTTCTCTAAGGGGGATAGTAGGCCGTTCGGCGCTGGCAACAATAATTATTAATGGCAACGGAAACCCATGTAGCGCATCGTTCAAAATACCCGGCGCAAGGAATAAAGTACTCTGTTTACAAGTGTTTATTAGAACCTATAACACTGCACAAGGAAAATATAAGAAGACCCGGCTCGAACGCCAACAGCCCATTGTAACTTGATATGCATCCGCTTGTTTCATCTCATACGCTTCACCCACCCCGTTCACCCACTGTTTCATATTCCGTCCGATTGCCGCGTTGCGGCTTTTGATGTTGTCATTCTGATTGAATCTAGTTGGAGTGGTTCTTGGACTTGTCGGTGATTCGGAGGACAAAGTTGACAATGACAGCCAAGAGAAGAATAATGGCTAGAACTGTAGGACCGAAACGGTCATCGAAACCGGCCTGTCCCTTCATACGTATAGACTGGGCTCGCCAGTGGTATGTTACCAGTGCGTATATCATGGTGCACATGGCAACGCCAGTGAATAGGAACGCGGAGATGAAGGCAACTCGGTCACCGAAGTTGAGCATACCAATGGCAAGGGCACCGAGGATGACGGTGAAGTTAAGCCATGATAAGAACGTTCGTTCGTTGGCGAAGAAGACTTTGGGCTCGACTCGAGTTGGCAGGGCGATGCGCTTGCCTAATGAAGAGGTTAGAATACACAAATATATGATGATCCTTTGGGCAACGTACCGGGGGTGGTTTGGAGAAGAGGCTGAGAAGACATGGTGAAGTCAGTTGTTGATAATACGGCGAGTAGCTAAAGTAGCAAGCGAGTGTTGTTAAAGAAGCAAATGTACTTCTGCTGAATACATGTATAGCTGCACTGCGCTTGTGAGACAGATCAATTGATCAGTTGATGATGCCGATGGAAGCGATTGGCGAATGAGAGTTTAACTTGGCAAGAAAATATTGACGGTTGAGAGAAAAGGTTGAAGTGAAGTCGTCTTTGTTATGTACGACATGGTAGCGAGGAGCAGATGCGACAGCCCCACTCCTCGGTCTGTTTCTGCAAGCTTGATCCTGTTTGAGCAGGCACGTGGTTCATTGGTTGGATAAAATAGCAGCATGCGACTGCCCTGTCCGGGTACTGTCAAAATATCTGCAGGTACGATGGGTACAGGCAGACCTATTCCCACAGGCCGTAAGAAATTCATCAATTATGATATTCTTTCATTCATACATATCTTCTGTAGACGCTCGCTGGACTATTGCATATGACAAGCCATGAATCAGGCTGTGATCTTGATCTGAGACGCTTACGGATAGGCACCATGCCATTGAGACATCAGTGCGCGTCTCCATAGTACCCAGCCTGTGAGCAGGCTTGAACTACTTACTATGACTTGGGTGGTAAAAACCAAAAGAAAGCAGAAGTTGAGCGAAGATGCATTGACATGTACCTGCCTATGTCAAACTCCAATTAACAAGCCTTAACTTGCAGCTTGGCAAATCAGTTAGATCTGAGCAGCCCAAGTCTTGACAAAGATCACGTGCACATGTCTATCTTCAAGCTGGGGGCGTACCTACACCGAAATAGGGAAAGACTTTCTGTGTGCTAGGTGAGCAAAGGTAAATAAAAACAAATGAACAAGACAAAAGCATTTGCTTACAAGATAAAAATATACATCTAAGTGCTTTGATTGACGCGTGACAATGGCGAAATAAGAACAAACATCGAATAAACTCAATATGAATTGCGCATGAAGAACTCACTTACCGGTCCAAGGTAAGGAAGGCAGGGTAAGCATGGAGTGCCTCTGATAAGAGAGCGCCTGCTGCGATGCTTGTTTGTTTACTGACCGACCATTTTCTACTCGTACCTGGACCACCACCTGAACTATCTACCTATCCATCTAGTCCTCCGCCAACCCCAGTTTCTAAACTCTGATTTCTCAACTACATACTTACGTTTACTTTCAAAATGGCCACTCCTGTACGTGCAGCAATATTTAAGATTACCTTGACCATGCACATAGCTAATCTCCATCCAGCCGATTCCTGCCAACCGTCTCAAGCAGATCGCCACCGACGTACGTTGCTCCCCCAGACGATGCTTACCGCCGACGCTGGCAACACATTATTTTCCAACACGCGCGTACTGATTTCAACAACAACAGGCTTGCAACAGCGCCATCGGAAATGCTGAGTTCTACGACCACGCTAAGACTGAGCAATGGAACTCGACAATCATTGTAGGTTGAAACGAAATCACTACGCCGAGTTCGCATCAAATACTGACCGCATACCTATACAGAGCTCTGTGTTAAAGGCTGTGATCTCCGAGTCGACCCCTGAAGGTGCTTCCGCTCCTTCGTTCAAGTTCGCCTGCAACAGCACCATTGTGCAGCACCTCGTCCCTACATCCGCTCTGAACAAGCCCCGTGGCGGCACCGAGACCCAGGCCCAGGAGCCTCACATCTCCACCAGCTCCGAGGCTACTGCTACCGACGGCAAGCCTCACGTTGGTCGACGAGGAATGCACAGCGCTACCGGTGCCTACTGGGACGAGAAGAAGGACGGCATGTGGACTTTCAAGTACGACGGCGGCGAGGGCAAGGGCCTGGACGTTGTTGTCATGCTCATCTGGGTTGCCATTTGAGCTGTAGACAAAAAGATGGGCGCCCATGGACTCTCGTCCTGTTCTGAGCCGAGTTAGCTTGCTTCTGACGTGCGCGACCCCTGATTCAGCTATGGCGTTGAGGGACTTGGGAAGCGTGACATTAGGACTACGAAGGTTACGATCGAGCTTCCGGTTAAGCTACCTGCCGACGACTTTGGTGTTATTGCAGACCTTGGATGTACAAAATGCGCTGGAATTGATAATATTCTACAATGCCAGACGGCTGGATCCAGCCACGATTCTTCCGTTTATGGTGCCGCTCGCTGGGTAATGTTGAGACTGAAGTAAACACACCTGAACATAGAGATCATGCATAAACTTTTGACCTTGCACTTTAACTCGCTTGCGCTGCGTGAAATGACCAGGTCCCTCGTCCAAGCATTGGAAGTAAGTAACTCATCTTTCTTTTGATGTTCGAAGCTGAAAGGACGGCTGGTGTGGGTGAATGGCGAAACTTTGGTTTGCATCTCTCCGTCATCGTATGATACGATTACCGGACTGAAGGAATAACATATATGTATACAAAAGAAATTACCTACGTGGCGGTCGATTGAAACACCACATACTATCAGTTTGGCATTATTGAGAATGCAAGTTTTGATGACGATGACACCTTTCTTTCTTTCAGCATTAGAGTTGTACTGGCAGGTTTTGGAACCCCGTTTCCTACAGGAGGGCGTAGTGCTGAGGTAAATCAAATGGTCACCAACCCGTATCCAATTAAATCACAACTGTCTACCTTTCTGTACCTGCTGGGAACTGCCCTGAGCGACGAGTATCGATTGCACAAGATGTGCAACCACAAACGATCCTTGGACAGTTTGTTGTACACATGATCATTTGCACAACCAAGCGGTAGTTGTCTACCGACTTGAGGTGAAGATTCCAGAACTATCTCCCGACCATCGTGCAACAGCGCACTATACCATCGGGGGTGGTAGAAATCAGGAGATATCGCCCACGCGATGGCCCTTATTTTGGCATCAGATAAAGCAAGCAACTACTGACCCTTGAACAACAATACGGTAATTGTATGGACATGGCTGTCAGATCATATATAACATAACAGGCGGTGTTCGGGTGCGACCGCGCATTGGCACAACACCATGGTGACTGCCAACGGTCCATACCTGCATAGCGTTGTGTGTACACAAGTATTGAACATTACAGGTCATCTAATGAGAAACGTATCTGCAGGAGCTGCAGATGAAGTTTCTACAGGTGGCTTCCACGCGACAGACACACAGACCCTCCTTTCAATCCTTCTCGAAACGACAATGGCCACCATATAATTGATTGACAACTGATAGTTCAGCTTGGCAACAGAGATCACAAAGCCATAGATGCATCGATAGCTACCTTACAACACACCAACATGCTGCACGTACATGTAGGTGGGTATTGTAGTGTTGCATCGGGGCCGGATGGAAACTTCATCGGCAGCACAACGGACGATCACGACTCAATCCATTTTAACCAGATGTGCCGCGTTAGACATAACAAAGAAATCACTTAGCCTCGGGGGGAGTGGGAATTCCGCAACCACCACCAATTCAATACCATGAAGTCGGAAGATGAAATTGCTTCAACAGCAAACAGTCCTATAGCAGTACTTCCTCCAACTAGCAACTGCAGCTGCAAACCCAATCCCGCTCACATGATAGTCAGACAAGAGACAGTCTCTTGAGAAGATAGAGCTGTTGATAGACAGATTTTGACTTTGATGCCGGCCTATGAATGAGCATATCGATATTTTTATTTTGCTTAGTCTTGATTCAATCTCGATCTCTAGACTCTTCAGCTTTATAGTCCTTTCGATACTGACTTCTTGCTACTAAAGAAGCATCAAGATTTGTCCAGACATTAACGACCCTGAATGACGATCGGCTCCGCTCCGCTCCGCACTCAGCGGGTCTCTCTCTTGGTGCGCTTGAATTGAGGGGACTAGGGGACTGTAGCTAGTATCCATAATGACGTTGAGACTGGGGTTGAGACGACTTTCTTGGACGACGGCTTCGACATGGACGTCGTTCCGAAAGGATATCAGACACAGAACCTAAGAAAGGAGGTTGCACGGTCGCTGCAAGATTCGTTGTCAGTCAGTCTATCACACCAAGACAATAACTAGACCTGTCGCGTTTTCGGAAGGCTTGAAACATGAGAAAGAGGTGCCTGTCAGGCTGTATTTGGGTACGATCTTCCCCACATGACATACTGTACAGCACTCTGCGACATCACAATCGTCTGGGGAAAGACTTTTCTCGCTTCTTCCCGTCGTACGATGACAAGCCGAGGACCAATAGGTACTGTATGTAATAGCAGTAGGTAGTACATTGTTATGGCTTTTGATCACCAGGCCCAATTCCCGAACATGGATCGACCTCCGGATAGACTTTTACCGTAGTACATATCATAGCGCCTTGCCACAATTTCTCGAATCAGGGCCCCCGGTATCGCGCGGTCTTCGGCATCACCATTCTAGGTACATCAGATAGCCAGTAAAAAAGATTGATAGAGAGAAAAAATAGAGGTGGGAAGCACACAACTGTCTGTGCCTCAGACAATCTAGCCATGATAGCATTAGCTTAAGTCCCTGGGCCTGGCCTGGCAGAACCAAGACAAACAGAACTTCCAATCTCGAATTGGCCCACTATGGTCCCGGGACCCATCACACCACCCACCAAAAACCAAACGGCGTCGACCGACCATCGGTTTCCGACCGGCGCTCCTGGCCTGGACAATTCAATCTTGTCGTCAGTTGTCTTTATAACCGAATCGCGTCGCCACTTTACAAAACCAGCCCCTGCCCTGTATTGAATTTTCATAACAACAACTTTGAATTTATACCCTCTTCATCTGCTCATGAACTTGCTAGTGAGGCTCCAACCTCATCAATACTCATACAGCCGACGCCGATATACATAACATCATCACACGCATCAAGAAGTGGACCACTCCCCTCCAGTTCACCGTATTCTCAATCCACATTACATCACATTATATTATATCACAGTAACTGTGACTGCACTCAGCAACCATACGCACTATACACTTGACATTGAGCAAGAAAGCAACAATGGTTCAAGTACTGACTGATCCCACATTCTCTCCCGCCGGGACACCAACCTACGAGGCCACCGATGGTCCTCTCATGAAGCGTCCTAGCCTTGGCAGGACTGACTCATCAACATCGATGACCCGAGAGGAACATGCCAAGCGGATGCAGGAACTCAACAAGAAGAGAGGAATGATGAAGGCACCCAGACGAGGCTGGTCAATGACCGACTACCAAGGCGACCATGTCGCTGCATCACATTCTGGCGCAGCCCACATTGAACGTCAAGCTCCTATCCCTGAGAACGACTCTCCTTCTCCCACCGAACGTCAAGAGCCTGTATTCCCCGAGGCTCCAGTTGAGAACCGCAAAATCCAGGTTGCCCATCGACCCAAGTTGCCTCCCCCTCGCCGTTCATACTCTGTGATGGACTATGAACCAATCCCACAAACTCAGCCACAGCCTCCTAAGGATCATACCCTACTGGACCTTCCTTCAGAGCTTCACTACACTATCTTTGATCACCTCGACCCCATTGACAGTGTTTGTTTCGGTCTCACTAACTCCAACTTTTACGATATTCACCGACGATTGCACGGCACTGTGCCCCTTTCCAGTCGGTACTCGGGGCCAAACGACATGGAATGGGCTTGGCGAGGAGCTGGTCCTCTTGTTCATCGACAAGAGAGAGATCCCGAGAAAGAAGGTACCATTGAGCAGCTGCGTGTCAAGGGGCAAGTTTACTGCAGAAAGTGCGGAATCTCGCGATGCGAGCTACACCGTCATCTCAAGGACTGGATGCCCGAGGGCTCCGAGTACTGCTCTATCAAGGAGAGCTTCGGAAAGCCCGCTGGTGAGGACTCAAAGCCATACTGCTACATGAAGTCACCCAAGAACCCACACAGATGTGGACGCCATGGAGGAAAGAAGGGCCAATAAACATTCTAGACCAAGACAAATCAAGAAGAAACAGGTGGAACGATAGAACGAAAACAACCCAGAATGGGTATGACGACATGAAAACAACGACGACGGCAAGAGAGCCGACAAACTCTGGATTTTTTGTTACTTATTAACGGTTGCGACATCATATGAGGAACATTCGGTTATTAGCATGTGCATGCAATTTATTTTTATTCAAACTTCGCAAGCATAGATGATAAATGTCATTTTTGGCCAAATCACTCAAAAGCACAATGAGGGGAAGACTCAAAACAGCAGGTGTAGTTGATCATTCTCATATCATGGCATGACGCAATTCAAATACCTTTCCTATTAGTGATAAGATGTCATTGCTTAAGAACCAAAAGCACAAATGGAGTGATGCCTCGGTGCAAGCGTCCGGGTTAGTCGGGTAAATAATAGATCGACTTATGATGCAATTTTAAAGATGGAGATGGATCTACCAACATGGCTTAAATTCCACGCGCGTCAGAAGCTGGAATAGACGTCATGGCTCTTACCTATCGGTATACGTTGTCACTGGCATATCGGATGTTAACAGTAACAAACAGAATCTTTCTTGTATAGAGCTTTTGTTATCATGTGTCTCTAATCCGTTATAGAAAAGTCTACCCATTCCGTTGTGTATGGTGTAAACTCGTCGACTACCCGTTCTAAACTCTTCATCTAACAACAGAGAAGCGAGTAGTAATTCTCTCCAATCCGCTCTACTCTAACCAACAGACCGACCATGCAAAGTTGCGCCAACACAGAAATTGACCGAAAAACAAAAGAAGAAAATACCCGTCTGCGTCCAAGGTGTGTGTCCCTTTATCATAGATAGTGGAAATTACCCGAATCCGTTAACGCCGTTCCATAAGGTAATAATGACAAACACCACTCATAGCCATACTCTGCCCCCTTTGGCAGTGAAATAGAAATAGAAACGAGAATGCACGTCGTGGTGCTCCGATGTTTTATCTGGGGTCCTTCCAGTTGGGTGTGCAGTCGCCCTTGGCATCAATCCAGTCGTTGATGCCCTGGACGAACCAGCCGCTCGTCCATTTCTCCTCTGGCTTTGGTTCCCTGCGAGGCTTTCCTCTCTTGAAACTTTTGGCAACGCAGCAAACGTTGTTGTGGTAGCGCCATTGGAAGCAACGGCGGCTGCCATTCCAGTTCTTGTCGCCCCTCTTTTGGTTGTAACGGTTCTTGATCATTTTGTTGCGCTCATTGTCATCCTTGAGGCCGTAGTAATCATTCTCAGATATGCCGAGGCCATCACTTTCACAAACCTTGGCACAATGCTCTTTGGAACGGTGCGCCTGCTGCTCGACGGCATTCTTGTCACCCTCCTTCCTTTGTCGATTCCTTTGGTGATCCGAGGCCTTGGCTTGGGCGTCAGCGCCGAAACCGATATAGCAGACATCATCAGATAAGTTGTCCCATTCATCGTGTTCCGATTCCAGCTTGGGGGCCCAGAACTGATGGTACATTTCCCGGATTTGAACAGGGCCCTATCGTTTGATGTCAATTACTGTTTTCCTTTTCACAGATAGTCATAAAACATACCTTCTTCTGTCGAGTCTTCTCAAAGTGCCAGGCATTGCTGACCTCCTCGGGGTCCATGTGGTGCATAGTCAGGAGGGGCTCGCACCAGTGGTTGTTACCAAAGGGCAAAGTAACCGGCTTCTCGCCGTTGAACATTGGGTGCGCCTGTTTGACTTTCTTGCCTGTCTCCATGACAGCAAGGGACATGAGGTAATCGCCACAACATTCGTGCGTGGCCATCATGTCGTACTTGTGTGCCAGGTCAGGGATCTGGGCCATCTTCCTCATGGTGTCACCATGGATGACATAGCCACTACCTCCATGAGCAAAGGGCTTGCCTTTGAGCATCGCGACACTTCCGACATACGGAGTCTCTGTGCCATTGACCTTGTTGCGAAGGTACCACACCAAGTTCGGCCAGAAGACGTAGGTATCGGCCTCAGCGAACACATACCACTCCTTATTAGGGCGCATCTCCCAGGCTTTCTCAACCATATGGAGGAATTTGTACTTATCAAGATTCCAGCCATCCTTGCCGGTCATGTCGGCGGTGCAATACTGTTGGGGGATTGGGCAATCAACCTGTGCCTTGTAAAGATCAAACTCTTTTCGGCCTTTCCTGACATCGTCCTTGACATCCTTCAGGACATCGTAGATTTGGTACTTATCAATTTGTTGGTCCTGTCCGAAATGGTTAGCTCAGTTGTATCGCTCATGGAACTGTGGCTTGATATAAAATTCCATAGGTGGCGCAAAGGGTCCCCCTGCGTCACCTCCCTTGAAAATCCAAAAATAGTTTACTTACCAAGTCAGAAAATAGGAGATAGTCGTCCAGACATTGCAGACTCGTCAGGAGATGGGCCGGGAGCTTGGTGAAAGCTTCAGTAGCACCCGTTTTCATGACAAGCATGATGCCATCCGTATTAGGGAATCCTTCGCAAACACCAGTCCAATTAGACAGAGGGCCCGAGGGAACATCCAATTCTGCCGTTTGTGAAGGGGTAAACTCTCCTGCGACGCTGGTCGTGGAGCTCACTACTTCAGAAGCTTTAGTTGCCGTTGCGCCATTGCCGTCTTCGTTTTCCAGGTACTCATGTTTCTGCGCCAGGTCAGGAACCTTAATTTCGCCAGGTCGCTCATCATCGTTATCATGAAATTTATTCTCGACTTGATGGGGCTTGTCGCTGTTTCCCTTGTGCTCGTTGAATTCATCACCCTGCGGCTTGATCTCAATGCTCTCTGGTTTGTTGGTCTCTTCAGGTGCCTCGCTGTAGGTTGGTGTGCTGTGGATTTGTATGCTAGGGGGGAGTTCGCTCTCGGTGCTGCGATCGACTTCAAGCACTGATCCATCATCGTCATCGTTCAGTCTTCTATCGCCTTCTGGCTGCTGGGCTACAGAAGGCGTCTCGACGTTCTTGGGGGGCTCTTTGTCCTCCTCGCCAGTGTATTGGGGTGAGTCTGTATCGTAAGAGATCTCTCGGACGGGTTCTTCATCATTTAATATTTGCTCGTTGGTCGTTTCGTTGAGGTTGGCGACGAAGCCTTCTTCGACATCGTAGGCAGCACCCTCATGGCTGAGATATTTTGTCAGATGGCCGTAGACGCCCGGGGAATCGTCGCTGAGTCGATGGAGGGGTATAACAAGCAGCAAGGTCAGGACGACGAGTGTGACGGTGATCAACCTCCAGCCTCTAGGGGTTCTCCAGGAGGAGCTTAAATGAATACCCATTGTCAAACGCTGCTGGTGAAAACAAAACTGGAACAAAATACATGTAAGGAAGGATGGAGTGAAAAGAAACGAAAAAGGGAAACGAAAAATGAGAGTGGTGCTGAGAGGCTATAAGTTGCAGCGGCCTGTAAGAAAGAATGAGGGCAGGACAGGGATCGAGATAATGTGACGACAGCCCAAGAAATGGAATTCGACAAAACTGGGATCACGTTTTGTGCAGCTACTCAAAAGTCTTGTCCATTCATGGATAGGATGGGTAACGTGTCGACAGATACTATCGTCTCCACATCAGCTTATCCTACCACTCCTTCGTCTCGTATCTGTTTATTCTATTTGCCCGATATCTGCTTGCCTGAGAACTTCAACACTTTCGTAAGTGAAGCACAAGCCTGGGTTAAGCAAGGGCTCTCCCTAGTCTCTGATCACTAGTCAAGCCCAGGCTTGACGCGGCGTCCCGGGAGCCGCTAACCCTGTCTTGATTCTGAGTGGGCAATCGTCTACATACGATTCAGGGGTGGTACAACAGCATTCTACTGTATACACTGCCACCATGACGGGTCTCAGCCGCATTGGAATGCGTTCGTCTTGAGAGGGATTCTCTAAATACGAGTAAACGCCCGTAATTTCAGAGGGGTTGACTTCAATGTAGTGCCGCAATCCATTGCCGATGAACGTTGGAATGCCTGTACCTAAGCGGTTCTGTCCAGAGCGTGTGTAATTAACGCGATGTACAGGTTCGCCGTAATCAAAACTTTGCTCCCAGCGTACACTAAACGACAGATTGCTCATGGTGCCTGGGCGTCGCCCCAATGCCAATAGTCAAACCTGTGGCTGGGAATCACAGTTTCCGAATGTCCCGGAACGAACATTTCAAAGTTGGCCCCTTTTTCCATTATCCAATACGGACGTGTGGGTATGTTATCAAATAGCTCGAGGAAGAAAAAGAAGTAGCAGAAGAAGAAAAAATGATCCCTGGATCTAGCCCGGCATCAATAGTTTCTGCTGAGATTGTTTCGTTTATCACCGGTAACCATCAATAGTGCCATGTAGCGCTTCTCTAGATGCGCTTTAGATCATGTCAGGGACGCCAGGCCTTGACTGAGTGGGGGTTCTTTTCCTATTTCGCATTTGCAGCCGTTGATGGCTTGCAGAAAAAAGGGACATAATTTTTCTGCCCCTGTGGCTTGCAGCATCTTTCAGCGCAAGTTCAGCTGCCAGACGCAATACTTCGAGTAGCCGTTGGGCGAAGGCTGAGAGTAATCAATTACAGAACTCCCCTTGTCGCCATCCCTTGCGCCAAGATAGATATGCGCCATGTTTTCCTTATGGAGGTCTGGACAGCGAACCTACGTTTCAAACTTATCTGAAACCCAAGTCTGAATCCGCCACAGACCCCGGCCAGACGCAAATGACGATCACATCACTCTGCAGATTCTCTCTTAATTATAGTTGAAGAGACGCGCGTAACTAATCGTACTGCAATTCATGATCTTGTCGCTTGTGTGTGCCAAGAGAGATCTTCGTGAATATGGCGTTTAGCAGCCAGCTGCCCATTAGCCATTCGAGAAAACCATTCTTTGCGATTTGATCGGCTGTCAGAAGCTGTAACACTTCTGCTTACCTGCTTGGATGCTGTATAACCTGTCTTTGTTCCACGTGCACCAAGGCGGGATGTCGGTTGGAGTGTGCAGTGCAGTTGTATCCGATGGAGAACAGCCCCCGACTACACATTGATTGGTGGCAGAAGCGGATGTTTGATGCAAGATAGCACGTACTCAGCAGGATCGAGGTCTCACATAACGCGATTATCCGCATGAGGTGACGCTGCAGAAACATGGGGGCCGCGGACTATTCAATGCACGTATGGGGAAATTGCGTGACATGTTTGCGGGGGTAATGATGAGAAGATGAACGATTAATTCCAAGAGCAGGTGTTGATTAAAAGTCAGCCTGAATTCGACAAGACTTGGTTATGGTGTTAGTGTTTTAGAGATCAACGCGCTTAACAACAGACCAGTTGCTCCTGCCTATCGCCGAAACTGTCTGATTGATAAGATGATAAGCATCTGCCACCAAAATGGTAAGAGCAGTAAAGATCAACCAAGGTTACTAAGGGAAACGCGCCAAAAACTTCCAGCACGTGCAAGCTAGGCACTAATCCATTAATCTTCCTTTTGAGCTTATCTTTATGTTTCTGGGGCTCCAGGTTCTATGTATTGCTCATCATGGAGATCCTTATACAACAGGCTCATCACACTACATACTGTGCTCATCGTTTAGCAGTTTCGAATTTCGATTTGCGCGACTTCGATCGAGTCATCATATCCAAACGTGCGGCGCCATGGAGGCCAAGCAATTGCGGTAAACGGCTTTACTCAGCTCGGCATCTAATCGCACCGCTTGCGCCATTCCTTCCAAAGTGGTTCCGACCCGAACTCTGGTTCGTCCATGGCTTTTCTTCATAGAATCATAGACTTTTTGTTTACTACCCTGCCAGGGTCTTGCAACCCCGCCCCACCGAGGAACGATCCGAACAAGACAGTCCGGATCGAGCAGCTAACGAGGACCCCTCTTCTCTCTGAATGGTGTTAGAGAATCTATGATGCAGGATTCGTCAATAGACAGAAGCCTTTCCAGGGCAGACGCCCAAGTTCCAGAGATGACACTGTCCAGTCTCCTGTTTCTTGCTCGATCTGAAGTCTATTAAAGAACCGCGATAGTGATAGTTAGGCCCTCCGGATAGAGCCGGACTCTTGTCGCATCCACTCATCTGAGGGACTATGTCTGGATCGGGTTGCTAAAGGCTTTCGCAATCGAAATCGCGGCCAATTGGACAAGGACAAGCTCTCTTCCTCCCCAGATCTCGCTTTCATAAACGTAAGCTATCCATGACTCTGGCCAGGGATCGAGCAATTTCTTAAAGACGCAATCCGCCATCTCGATTTTACTTGACCAACATTAGACCTTCTCTTCTCTCTTTTCCATCTATACTTACTGTTGGTTTCTGGCAGTGCACCGCCAGGCTGTGATCTTTTGGTCGCTATCAAACTTTGTTACCCAACCACTCCCGTTGAAGATAAGGGTTTTGTGGGTTTCTAATTCGCAACGGAAACATTGAATCAAATCAACTACATATTGTACGAAAACCTATACAGTCAAAGAGGCGCTCGGCCATTACGACGAAAGGCCAGTCGGTTTACCCCAAAACGCTATTTTTGCTTTCAGGTTTCCCAATCAACTCACTTTCAAGTCTCGGTATCATGACAACTTTACCGCAACCTGGCCACGGGCCTGTCCAGACAAGTGCAGTTGTGGTACTCGGGGCTTCCTCATGCCCTGCCATGCCTCCTCCCTCTCCTCCTACCCCGTCTTCATCGCCGCCGGTGGATGCTTTTTGTGAACCCATTGACCCATTGGCTTTGGACCGAGAGCTTCGAGGGGAGTTTCAGACTAAGGACCAGCGTCTTCAGGATGGGCTCCATGTGCTCAACACAGAAGCAGTAGCTCTAAGGAACCTTTCACGGCTTTATGAAACAGATCCTGTAGCCCGCGATGGCTTCAGTCAGACAGTACAGGCTATCACACGACAGCAGTCAACAAATGGAAAAGTTGTTGTCATTGGTGTGGGCAAATCTGGACACATCGGACAGAAGCTTGTGGCCACTTTCAAGAGTCTTGCCATTCACGCTGTTTTTCTTCATCCAACAGAAGCCTTGCATGGTGATCTAGGTATTGTTGGGCACAACGACACGCTCATGTTCATTACATATTCCGGCAAGACTCAGGAGCTTCTACTCATGCTACCTCATCTTGATGAGTCTCTGCCAACTATACTTCTCACATCACACACAACACCTGACACCTGCGAATTCTTCAAGCACCGACCTAACACAATCCTGCTTCCTGCACCAATTCCAGAGCCTGAGAAGACTTCGTTTGGTGTATCCGCTCCTACTACATCGACAACTGTTGCGCTGGCCATCGGCGATGCAATTGCAATTACGGCTGCAAAAGAGATGAACGCAAACATTGCATCTCTTTTTGCAAAGAATCATCCCGGTGGTGCTATTGGCGCTGCAGCTCGACAACCTCAGACCATCGGGGAAATTGCCATCAGCTGGTGCGATATTCCACCCGCGGCGGAGACAGTGGAATCCAGTTTGGGCTTCGACTTGCTACGTGCAGGCCTTGACTCTTCGACAGGCTGGGTCAGGGTACAGGATCATGTTGCCTCACCCAGCACGATACGTGGAATTGGAAGACATGATTTGAATAAAAGCTTAAAAGACATCCCAAGCTCTCTCGTGTCCAAGAGCAGCATGATATCACTCTCTTCGGACACTGCGATTCGTCAAGCACAAATCATCTTGAACAACATACAGTCGTCCTTGGATGATGAGGATCTGGTATGCACTCGTGAGTCTGTCGTGGCTGTATTAGAAAGGGGGAATCTGGTAGGCGTTTTGGAAGCTGGCAGCATTTTGGATTTTAAAACTGAGGCACCTGTGTCGAGATGAGAGCGAAGGCCCTCGGGCTAATGTTATTAGGCTAGAATTCTGTCTGGCAGGTCTAGACTTGATGTATTATGGAAGCGCATTGGCGATTATGACTGGGAATCATTCTGGACGGATGTCTTTGGGTAAAGACATTATATGGGGTTTGGCGTTTTATAGACAGGTATATGAGCATTGGACGGGCAGTAAGCACACCACTGTAAATCTGGATACATCCTTCACTGCATCAATTGATCTGTTCACTTCAAGTCATATCCTTGTTACTCAAGTATTGTGGTGCTCAGTCCATAGACTAAGGTGGTGTGCCAATATTGTCTTGGCCAGGCACGTATGGACGTGTTGAATGACAGCCTGAAGCCATTATGGTTTTATTAATTTGGGAATATTCAGTTAAGTTGATAAATGCCCAAAACTTACAAGGCACTATATTTTGAGTGACGAGAAAATCAATGTACCAACCTGCTTATAAATTCCTTTGTGTTTACCCTAGAGTATCGATGTCCACCTGGTTCTCAATTAACTATACAACCCAGTAAGTTTTGCAGCACTACAGAATTTCACGTGCTTATACAGGAGCCTCAATTTACACAATCAAGATTGCGGTGAGTTTGTGGCGTAGTGCATGCATCTTTGGGAACCATTAACGGCCTCGGCATATGCACAGTTCATGGCGAGAACGGGCATTAGGTATATTGATCGTGCTGGCTAATGCCGTAGATCATTGCCTCGAAAATTCCTTATCATCAGCAAACCATGCCAAGTCACCACAGACACTGGACCAGATTATGCTGGGAGCTGTCGATGCACAAAGGCTCACATGGTTTGTGACAGTGTAGCAATTGTTGTCAACCTGACAAATGTTTAGATTATCTTTGAGCATGTTGCCACAGCCTCAGAATATTGTTCTATTGTCAAGTTCACAAATCATAGCATCTTTGAGTTATACTGACTTGTCAGAAGCTTCTCTCAGGACACAGCCACTTGTAACTCATTTGATGACACACGAGTTCTAACGTTGGGGCTATTTTAGATCCACAAGCCCTCTCATGTCAGTGATACTTCCGCGTCTACCAAGTTGACCGATACTTAATAAGCTTGTTGGGTAGGTTGTTTTAGTTTGTGGGCAGTAATATGGGGTTCATATTCGGACCCTTTCTGACTTGATGTGGTCACTTGACATGTTACCCTTTGTGTGAGGTGAACCAGGACCTGAAGCACGCACATGCATGCAATACCACGTCGCATAGTGGGAATGCTGTTGTTTGCAGGCATCCATGTCTAAACAGTACAGCGCAATCGGTGCTGGCAGTCAAGCAAAATTATGGTCTAATACTCGTCACCAGTGAGCATGACCAGTGCGTAGTCAAAGATCAATCTCCTCTGCAAGTGAAAAGGATTAGTGATTCTAAAAGCATTGGCTTTCCGCACTGGCGACCGGTGTATGTGATCAATTGGTTATTTGGGCAGTGTGTGATGGAGGCAGATTATGGATGCCCTTCTTTGAGTCAGGGACGGGGCTGGCGGTTGGACGGCTGAGTCAAGTTGTCTGGAACCAGAGATCTAGAACACGATCACTTGTTATTTGCTTGCATGGAACATGGAACAAACTCAGAAGGTGCGGGAATAAGACAAAGACCTGTTCAGGGCATGCCGTTCTACCCGATAACGACGGGTGTCAAGAGTTAATCTGGCAAAGACAGGCATGACTGATTACCGTTTATGGACTACGAATTACATTCCTCTCGTAACTTCTGCAATGGAAGTTCCACATGCATCGCACACGCACGGTCCATAGCTAAGGCGGCTGTACGGGTTGTGGGTAACATACGCAACATACCCCTGGAGGATATCTTATGTATTTCATTAGAAGGGACCTTTGTCGAGAGGCAAGTTCTGAGTTGCCTACTCTGTATATATACACACGGATATAGCAGGGGCAACTTTCAGGGTCTGGCCCGTAATAGAACTGGGTTTGCTCAAGATGGATGGAGACAAGACGGGGGATACCCATAGAAACCCCCAGCATATCGTTTATAAGAACCAGAAGCTGAGGGATGAGGTTATGCCACCCCATGGTTTACCGCATAGGTAGGGGTAGAATATGCATATTGACAGACCGAGATCCCAATTTGGTATATCTGTATCTGCAGTGCGTGGGATATTTACGTATAGGCTCTCAGCTACCATAACTCGCTCGGCCAATTATGTTTCTTGCCGTGCTTTTCTTCAGACAGCTCATAAAGTCCTCGAAACCATACACACCTCGGAGCCCCATTCGTCTTTGGCGCAGACAAGGAGGCTCAAGGTAATCATCCAGGAACAGAGCTTATTCACTGAGCCGCAAAGGACAAGGGTCGCGAGACGATTGTTTGCCAGGGCCAACCGTTAGATCGTTGCTAGTTATTTTACGGCGTGTATGGGTACATGGCGGCTAAATACCATACGACCCGCAACGATCTCCAGGCTCAAAGACGTTTATCTGGAGCAGGTCTTGCAGACAATGTTGCATATAGTTGCACATGCCAGAAGTTGCAGGGCGGATCCTAAACAGGTTTGCCGAAACGAGTTTGCCGAGACAAGAGACAACAAGAGAAAACTATCTTTGTACTACACTCGTTAGTGCATCAAAAATAGACAAGAGCCAAATCGCGTATCTGTTTCCGTGGCCATCGCTTATGGTGTCGACAGTGGAGATGGCGGCTCAAGAGAGCCAAGCCTTTTAAGGCGGGAGGAAACTTGGAGCTCTCATAGTGATGGTTAAGAAAAAGACCATTGGCTTTTTTTTATTGATTCTCCTCTTTTTCCTTTTGTCAGGTTCCTGTCACTCCCAGCGGATTAAAGGTTTCCTGTTATTGGGTGGGCCCCTGCCAAGCTTCCTTGTCGACAAGACAGGACCAGTGAAACCAGCACATGGTTGATGCAAGCATGGAGAATGGTGAGAAATGGTGCACTAAAATTCCTGGAGAAGCATGATGACGGAGTACTGTTATGGGTACTCTTGAGCCTCCCAGGGCTGAATAGTAGACAATCGCCTGGACCGTTATGTCTACTGTCAACGTCCCACAATGAAATCAGAAAAACTTGCGAATATGTACGATGATGGCCGAGACTCACTTTAGCCGGGGAGTCATGGAAAAACGCCACTCGACGTCCTGCATCAAAGCAACCCATAGTTAATCGATAAAAAAAAAGACAAGGGTTCATGACCGTGGATCGGGTAGGCAATGTAAGAAGAAAGGGTACAGTTAACTACCTCTATCCCACTTTGAGAGAATAGCTACATCCTTAGTAGGTACTGCCTAATGTTATCAATAGCTGTCGGTAACAATAAATGGAAGGAAGGCCCCGTTTGTAGTAGTTGCCAAAAGAACATGCCTACCTTTCAACTGTTGGTAAAAATTCGGGCCTTTCCCATGGGAGTGATTTCTGTAAGAAGCTGGCCTAAGCCTACTTAGCCTAGGTACCAATCTACGGCACCACATTGGATCAATCCTACTGTATCACGTTTCCCATGATCGAAGCCGAGACATACATGCATACAACACGACGCGGCACTGTCTGTACGGTACTTTTGAACTTTATCCGCTACCAAAAAGAATTCTCCTGGCGACACGGCATGGCACTCTTTCTTTGGTGGGAACGGCTTTCTAAGTTGACGCCAGGAGCTCTATTCTCTCTACCCCTCTCTATTACTAATTCATTAGAGTTAGACATCTCCAGCCGAGATATGGCACACTCCCTGCAAGTGCAAGTCACTGATTAAGAAAAAGGTCCAGATTATCGCCGTGTTTCGTCTATGTGCATACTTTTGGCACTGAAGCTTGCCTGTGCAACTGTTCCGCTACGACGAACACCAAAACGAGGACCCTTGATCCTCCACCGTCTCCAGAACCCGGAGACCCACTACCCCCGTCCTTCAGGTCGACTGGTAGAGTAGAATCCAGTGCATATGTACCTAGCTATAGTAGGTTAGCAGGTTAGGTTGTCTGCGTTACGCTACAATGGATTGATGGGTCAAGCCAAGTCTAGGATCTTGTCCGGATGGGCGTTACCGATGCATACAAAGCACGCGCTGAGTGGATAGACTTGACAGGAGTGGTAACAGGTGGAACAGGGGTGTATGACCGAATGGCTGAACGATAACTGACTGCAGATAGTTATAAACTTGAAAAGTTTCCCACGCATCGTCTCGCTTGAGCTTGTCCGCTTGTTACTCTTTGCACTCGTTTGACACAACAAAAAAGGGAAGAAGAAAATCATCCATCGCCAACAATTCATATTATCTTCCTTATCAGACGAGGGATCTAGCATTTCAAGCCTCTCTTATTACCTGTACACTGTTTTCGGCATCCTCAGAAGCCGTGCACTTGTCCGAGACAATACTACCAGCGCACCCAGCTACTCTTTGAGGAATTGCCTTTGATTGACTTATCTGCCGCTCATTGAGAGAGTGTGTGGTTCACCTTGACTAGTTCTGCACTCTTAAAAAAACTCTTATCTCACTCAGTACGAGGGGAACCATCCTTGTCGGAGAATTGAGTTCACAACTAGGTTGGGTCAGATAACAGGTTCTTCCTTGGAGGGACTCACTCGTGTTGATAACGAGCAAGTCCGATATAACCTCGGTCTCATCTACTATCGAGTCTTGTCTTAGTCAATCTTACACAAGTCTCAACGAGTTTATTGCAGGCTACATTTGCAACTTGATTTTAGCTCGCAACCGTCGCAACGCCAACGCCCGCAGAAACGGTTCAAGTCAATTCGAAGTGACTCTCTGGTCTCCACATCCAGCTGCTAAAACAACCCAGTCCCCTGCTTGGGCCACCGACGATAGCCCCAGACAATTGCCATTTGGGCCTTGATGACCCCATTGCCTGTCCTACGCAATAGGCCTTATTTCACGAGTCTGGACCTCGAAGCGGGCTGTGTCTCGAGCCAAACAATCTGTGCCTCATATCTCGGGTACGTCATTCCCTTCAGACTCTCTTGACTTGACACCTCCGTTCCTTACATTCTCGCCCCTGTCACTCTCAAACCATCGAATTATTCTTATTTTTCACCTAAGGAACGAATCATCACAAATTGTCTTGGCTTGCGCATTTGACTTACAACAACTGTTTTCATCCTTTAATTAACCTATAAAAAGACAAACTCCTACTATCCGCCATCGGAAATTTTAATCTGGTCTTGGGCAGCGTCTACCGCTCGCTTCTCCTACCTACCTATTCAATTCTGCTTTGACTCCCCCTCCGACTCGTGCTCGAATCGCGAGGACTTGGACAAGGCAATTATAATTGCTCGCTCCTGCCAGTCCTTCTCTTCCTAAAAATCAATTGTCGCGATCGATATGAAGTTCGGGGAGCATCTCGAACGGGAATCCGTTCCAGAATGGAACCTTCGTATGTTGAACCCCCAATCTCATTGGCTCGATTGCATCAAATTGACTGATCGTTTCCAATCCAGACAACCTCGACTACAACTCCATCAAGCATGAAATCAAGATGCACACAACGCGCGACCAGGCTACAGCCATGGCCATCCCGGGCCAAAAAGACGAAGCGTTGAGTCGATTCGAAGACGGCTTATACATGGAACTTGGTCGCCAGCATGAGAGATTACAACTATTTGTCTCAAGCAAAGCAGACGAGATATCCCGCCGCTTAGGTATGTTTCTGACTTGCAATTGTGCGCCACAGCTTGGGCGGCACGCGATCGCATGCCTAAACTGACATCCCTACTAGAGTATCTTGAAAATAACATTGGTCGATGGGCGTCAAAGAACCGAGATGGGCTTGCCGATGATTCAGCAATCAAACACCAGAGAAGGTTTACCAAATACGAACGTGAGCTTGTCCGCTGTGGCGGTGACATCCAAGCCCTCCAACGCTTTGCCAATGCCCAGGCCGTTGCTTTCCGAAAGATTACTAAAAAATATAAGGTGCGTGCGCCATCATGGCTGCAAGGTACAAGCACATTTGGAGCATGAACTGACTGATTGGTTTTCCGTCTGCAGAAATGGACTGGTTCTACAACTCTTGCCACTCGTTTATACGAAAACATCCTCTCCGATCCTAAAAGCTTTACTCGTCGCGACTTCTCCTCCCTGCAACAGCGATATGACGACATCACCTGCACTCTCAACGCCGCTGCTCCCGTATTGAGTGAACCTAGCTCGCCAGAATCAGCAGCTCATCCTTATCGCCGCCAATCCCTCGCAGGTTCTATCAATTCGGCGCACCGTCATTGTACCAACCGTTCTCAACCCACCTTCGAATTCCTACCCCCGGCACATATGGATGAGCCGGTCAAATACTGGAACGAATACGACAATGGGAGCGAGTGCGCGGACAATAACAGTGGATATGCTATTTACATAAATCCTGAAGAAAGCACCAACTTCCCTGGGTTTGACTATCTGCACGGTATCTTTACAATTCCTCTGAACAAAGCAAAGGGTTGGTTTAAGCACAGTAAACCCGGAGAGCGGCAGGGTCTACTCGGTGCAAACCATTCGCCTTACCAATATTCCAGCACAACTTTTAATAGCAGCGAGTCTGACGAAGAAGCGGGATATGCCAGTTCAGACGGCTTCCCCACAAGCGGATACGCGACTCATTACGCTCTTCCCAGTCTCGGCCAACAGCAGGCGTACTTGTACCGTGAAAAGACGCTGTTTTGGGGTACTGTCAGTTCCTTCGCCGTGTCGTTCCTGCTTCTACTTATCACTGGCACCCTCATCGCTACCGGCCGACATAAACTCCGTGCCGAAGTCGATGCAGGAGTCACTATTGGCGTTGTCGCAAGTTTGTTTGCCTCTTGTAGTGCCCTCGGTATGACGCTGTACCGGCACGACCAACTATCCTTACCACACCTCATGGCAGTATGGACTACCTTCATCGCTTCTTGTATCCTGAATGGCATGCTGCTAATACTTGTTGTTGGAAACTCCCCGTGATATTTCCGGGACAACTTTACTATATCGAGATGTATGGCTTGAGAGATTGTAGCTCGACACGGGCTTTTTTTTATTATCGGGGCTTTCTCTCTCATAATCTACTAGGCGTTGAGCGTATATCAGGAATAAGCATTGGTACTGAGGCGTTCTGTTTCCACGTTGCGGAATACAAATTTGATCATGTACATAAACATGTCTTTTCATATACACGCACAAGTTCGACAATAAACATATAGAAATAATCGACCTCGCTGTAGAGCTGGCACAACAACGGTTATTCAGAATTATGCAGCAGTGGCTTAAAAATGTATGAAATTGCCAAATATGTTCTTGATTCTGTCCCAGTAAATTCACCACCCGTGAGTGTCCCTTCTGTGAAACGCATTATATATGTGCGAGGCTTGCTCGTCGCAGAGCTCGGGCAGACAGGACTGATCCGCCCGCTTCAGTCATCCATGAAGCACCATTGCGTCTCATCAGAGTCCGCTAGAAACAGTTCAACCTTGTTAACAAGTTGTCCTGTACAGAGTCAGAACTTGATGCGTTATACTGCTTTATGCTCCATGGCTCGATTCTTGACAGTGTGTTTTGCCAGTAGCCTAAAAACTTACCAGCAACTCCCCATCTCTTAGCAAAAAAGTGCAATGACGCAAAGATGTTGTGAAATCGTGTATCAGCTTCGGGGATTAGATGCTCCAGGTGACTTAACACCATGAGGCAGTGGTAAGCTGAGTAAGGTGTGACAGGTGAACAGGGAGCAAGGAGGTGAGGTCGATGGGCAAGCTGGTCGTTGAGGTCGGTGGTGGTGTCGGCAATAATGCGGATGGTGAAGTTGAGACCGGCGATGGCTTTGGGCGCGATGTCGCCGGCAGTTGGGGAGAAGGGTCCGGCGGATGTTATAGTATTGGCGGCGCGGAGTTGGCGACAATAGAGGAAGAGAAGGAGACTGCGTCATTGTTAGTTTGGTGCAGGGACGAGCACCAAGGTATTTCTGCTACTTTGACTGATCGGTTGAGCTTACCATGTGCACGTCGCGAAACATTCATAAAAGTCACCCCAACGAGAAGTCTGCATGATCATGGCCTCTACCAAAGCCCTAGTTGCAATATCGAGCTCGACATACTCTTCCAACAGAGCATTTGGATTCCCCTTTGGTTTAGGAGAGTAGGCTCTTGTGTAAAGCATTGCACATTGGCAGTTTCTCTGGAACGGTCCAAGGGGTACCGAAGGTGCAATACTTGCAGGATGTCGCTGAACGGAACGTGTAGGCGACTGATTCTGGTCATGCCAGATTAAGTTGCTCGTCGGCAACAAGTCATCTGCATCCGGGGAGGGCACCTGAAGTGGCATGTGGATAAGAGAACAGTCAACATGAATCAGACGATCCAACACAAAGAGACTCCAGTAGACGCAGCGACGTTCTTCTTCTTCGTAAGGTATATTAGCCTCCCGTTCGGCCTCAACATACTTTCCAGGGCCAATGTGCAGAACGACAGCCATTGTATTGGCATCTCCAATACTGACATAGGCACGCATGACATCACCATGTCCGAACTCAAAAAGGGCAAGCAGGATGGAGCACTGCACAAGCTCAATGCTAGGAGCAGAAAGACCACGAAGGACACTCAGAGCGCGCTTGGCAGCCCTATAAGCAGGCATCTCGATCATATCCTTGCCCTCATTGACGTTGGTGCTTGCAGCAGCAGCCTCATCGTCGTACTGAGAGACGAGTTGCATACAGACAATCAGGAGAGCGACAGCAGGATCGCGAGGACCTTGATCCGCACCGGAGCCAGAATTGGAACTGATGCTATCGGTGCGAATAGCGAAAAGTTCCGGATGAACTACAGAAAACCAGGGGTTCATGGTTTCGAAGTAGCGCTCAATGGCCTCACGCCAAGGAATATTGCGTGAAGACAGCAATGCCATGATCATAGGGCTGGAGACATCGAAGGCAGGATCGAATATACCCTGTCCGTAAGCTTCCTTGGGTGTAGATCCTGCAAGATAGCCTGGTTCCACAACAGCGGTAGTTGGGGCCGTGTAGATAAAATCGTAGGAGCATGTAGTTGCAAGCCTGAAAAGTCAGTTCTAATCGAGGAAATAGGAAAAAGATTCAGGGTTAATAGGAGGAAATTTGCGCACCTAGTACAGCGAGAACAAGCAGGCAATGCTTTGTCACATTTCTTTTTAGTGCGAGTACATTTTTCACAAGCTCTGTGAGCGCGTTCAGGCTCCATCGGAGACTCAGAGCCCCGTGAGGATGACACGGAGCGAGACATGATGGTTCTTCTTCTGGGATCCGTGGTGGCTGATATGTAGCCCGTAAGATGGGCTTAAGCTTGAATGTTTGTTTGGTGGGCGTAAGTGGTAGGGAGAGCCAAGCTGACTACGCTTTTAATTATGTCAGATAGCAAAAAGTAGTGGGAGAGTGTGAACTACCCAAGTAGAAGATTGTGATAGTTGTATACTTTGGACTGGTGCAAAGATGTGGATACAGTTGTGGTATACTTGAATACAAGATAGATGGGCAAGCGAAGTCTAGAGTGATAAGCAAAGCTAGAATTGAGAGTGGTGGCTGATATTTATAGTAGTACTGGTACTGGTATCAGAGGAGAGAGATGGGAACAGGTACAGAGTGTAAGAGAGGACGAGACTCGAGTCATCAGAGCCGGGGATGAGGGCTATTTGACGTTGAGTCTCGATAGAAACAAAAGATGATGCCCCCCCGGGCCACGAAGATGGATAGATGTCGATGGGGCTCTTGATGCTTCCAGGCCTGTGGCCAGAATAGGCCTGGGGGTGGTTGCAGATACCGTCCAGTCCCGTATTGTACGGTACGGTACTGTATGATATGGTCTGAGAGTAGTAGTTGTGAAGAATGATATGGATCGCCTCAAGGTTGTACTGCGTAGTGCTGCACTGCGCTGTGCTGTACTGCACGTTGCGGAACGGTAGTTGGCAGACCCGAGAGACGGGCTCTAGGTGCCTGCCAGGTTCCTGGTCTGGCAAGATTGACAGGGTCCAAATCTAAGGATGACGTCTAATCGGTTAGTAAGCTGCTGACAGGGGTGGAACAGTTGTAGGTTTGAGGCTGTAAGAAAAGGCTGAAAATGTTGATTTGAAAGGATGGGTAAAATATTGGAAATTAGGACCTGACGCGAATAGAGTCGAGTCCTTGCCCAGGAGCGTAATAGTACCCATGTAGGTACCTGCTAAGGTAGGTTGGAGTTTGGCCCCCGCTCTTTCCATACCTACCACAGGTCGGTACTGTAGTGCAACTAGGATGTCAAATAAAAATGTAAGAGAGTAATGATACTAATGATGCAGGTGCCACATATTCTGTCTATAACGTTGTGACGCAAAATGGCTGTAGGAAGGTACCTACCTAGGCAGGGCTTCCAGCAGGATAAGACAAAATGAATTGCCTTCAGTTCAAGTCAATAAGTGCAGCCCTAACCGATTCCCCACGATGGCTGTGACTCGGACAGAGATAGCTCTTTCCGAGGGGTAGGTACCCAGGTAAGTATGGCGAACCTTGGAATCTGTCGGTACTATGCTGTACAGGGTCTAGACGATTGCGGTTCCAAATTCAATTGATTGATCTCTGTCCCATTAATCATATCTCATGTCTCCAAAATGCCGGGTCGCACGTCACACTGGTACAGTCGTTACGGTGCCTCTGCACCAAAGCTTACATAGTACTAAAACCGTCCTTCTCGTCGGTTCGACTATGTCTATTGAGTACAAGGAGCTACCTTGGTGCTATAGTGCTGTGCAGACTGATGGAGGGAACAGAACGGGGAGACCGCTGACTCTCAGCCCAGTGAGGCCATGTCAGCTCGCAGTGGATGCATCCAAAATCTCTTGCGATTACCATGGACCCCCGGGACGGTTGCTAGCGCCAAGCTTAGCTGGGCTTAGGTTCAACGGGGTCTGGAGTTTAGTCGGGGTCGACTTAATCATGCCCAGCTAAGCAAGCTGGTGGCATGACAGCCCAGTGTGGGAAGTCCAGTCAGTAATCACTATCCTAGATCTCGATCTCGCCCGACACGACAACTTGCGACATATCAAATCACTTATAAAGCATCATCGAGCTAGAAGCCCACTTGCCTTTCTAGAAGCAGCTTATTATTGATTACCTAGGCACAACAATTTACACAGGCATAAACAATGAATGTCCAACATTCAACTTTAGCGGAATGACATCAGCGACGCAGGGTGGTATGTCCCTATCAAGCACGCAACATCTGCTTTTTCGTACATAACGCGATAACCCATGTTTAGCTGTCTAATTAAAGAAACAGCTACACCTCGTTTACATCAAACAGACGTCGACTACTATGCCCGAGTGAGTTGGTTCACAAGGCTACTCCTCTTTACCCTTCGCGGCCTTTGGGGGCCCGAACGTCGGCTTATCTCCATCCGAACAAAGTACGCGTTCGACAATACCAAGCAAAAGATTCAACTCTGCTTAGAACAGAAAGGGAGAAAAAAAAGTTGAAGAGATGGCTCCATGGAAGGAGAATACGAGAGGCTAGTTTCAGCCAAGCCATGCTGCAGCTTCCTTCGCTCTTCCTGCCCTGCCTTTATCTCAATGCATGGCTAAATTAAGCTCAAGAGAGCACGACCGTTGTAGCGTTTATCACTCATCGCAACACTACAAAAAGAATATGGTGATGCTATTCAAAATTCATCGAGCTGAACAGTTGATACGACCCCAACAGCCCCCAAAGAGGATACTCAAGGCAAAAGGATGCGCTACCCGGGTTGTTTTTCGGAACTAAGCTCGACAGTTGACTCACCCGGCGTAAAACCCGTTATCGTTATGGCAGGTCAATCAACTCCATCCACACCTTCAGAGACATGACTTTAAAAGGTTGAGAAACACAACAAATACTTGGGCAAATCGCCATTGCCTTATCGTACAGAAATACCTCAAGTTGGAAAGCCGTATCACAGTTGAAAGTTCAATTAGAGGCAATTTGTCGGTTTGATCGAGCCGACTCGGAACAAACATTGCCCAAAAGCACCAATTATTTCCGGGGATTTTACTCATCCAAGACTTGCCAACATCGCAGTATACAGACTACTCTCAACTTCTATCTTGTTTGTTCAACGAAGCTACCGGCACTGCCATCAAATCCTTCAAGATGGCCACGACGCAGATCCTACATCGTATCCGCCCGGGCACATTATCCGACGTCAATGTTGCTACGGATCTCTATCTCCAAGGTTTCAACAAGGAGTCCCTACTCGACTACATGTTTCCCGGCCGCCACCAAGATCCAGCTCCTTTGCAGAAGTGGGTAGCTCGGCGCTTTTGGTTGCGCTACTGGTCACCAGGCTACGTTCTTACAATGCTCGATGATGCTAAGGGTGAACCCGTGGCTTTCTCGTGGTGGCATATTCCGGACGAGTCCGTGTCCATCACTGGTCGATGGCTTTCAATTCGTATGTCTCCATGCTATTTATTATCCACTTAGCTCTGTATCAACCCCTGATCATGTTACTTACTCGGTTTAGACGCCTGGGTTGCCCCTCTCATGCGGGCAGTGTTGAAGTTGCACTCTTACCTCTTCCCTATTCGTGGTGTTGATCCTCATCGTCTCGGTATCTACGACCGTGTTTTCAGTACCATTGAGCCAGAAATTCTCAATTCTCCTCGTCGTAGGTCGGCTTGGTATCTGTCCAGCCTTTCTGTCTCTCCTGATGTTCAGGGCAGTGGCTACGGCTCCCTGCTACTCCAGAACGGCTTGGAGGCGGCCGATCGTGCAGGTGTTCCCACTTGGCTGGTGGGATTGCGCGGGCTGGACCAATATTACAAGCGTTTTGGCTTCCTTGAGGTGGCCAGGGCTAACGTTGGCGAGTTGAAGGACTGGGACGGTGGTATTGTCATGTTCAGGGGGGAATGAAGCGGCAGTTCGCCTTCATCGCAAGCCTCCGAACTTTTTTTCTAAACAGCTACGACTTGTCAACAATGAACCCGAAATCAGGAGCTAATGATTTATTTTGCTTCCTTGATCTATCCGACTAGTACCAGGCGCCTCAATCAATAAAATTCATAACCCTCCCTCATAATCGTGCCCCATAGCAAATACCGGCGGCGGAGCGAACCGTGACTTCCGTAAAGCAACCAACTCCATCCCCTTTCGTACCAAACAGTACCGCAAATTGCCCGTTTCAGTTGCAATAGCCTCTGACGTGAAACTATGGACAGCAGTGTACGGGCATGAGCAACAAGCTGAGAAAACAAATCGTAAAGACACCAGGCATCAAACTAGCGTCACTCATGCAGCAAGAATGAAGCCCAGAGTATAAAAACAAACGCAGATCATATAACCATGAAGCTGACACCCTGGCGTATGCCGTAGGATGAGGACGCAAGGATATAGCTACACATGCGGCGTATAGTGGCAAGTATCATTCGTTGTCTTGCCCTGGCTACCATTATTCAGGGAGCCTGTCCCCTTTCCTGGCGACCATTTTCGGAAGCTCGAGCGCCTTGCCAGCCATTGTCGGTTTCATTGGTCGACCAATTGTGCTGGTATGCCTTGATATTTCCGCGAGAATGCTCGACGTCGAAACCACCCGTGGATGAAGATCTATTTGGAAGACCGGAGTGGCAGACCGCCATTGGATACACAGTAGAAATTCCATTGCCAGCAGCTCGATCAACACCAGACCACTCTGAAGTTTCCTCCTTAGGAAACTGGTGCGAATAATGAAGGCTAGCCTCGTCAACACAGGCCAATGTATGCTGCTGGTATTGGTTCGTAGAGCGGCCGATCCTAGCGTTCCACTCAGTTTCGGGAGGATACCAAGAAGGCTGGTGGGTTTGTAGATGCGGGATATTGATGTAAGAACGTTGATCGGGCATTGTTGGGTAGTTAGAGATGTCTGCGCTGTTCATTCTAGTGCGGCAATGACGTTCTGTTGGCTTTCTATACGGGTAGACACTGGCTTGGCCTTGGCTGGAACCGGAGCCGAAGGGATGGTGGTTTAGATGGCCAGAAGTGGATTGCGGATCGATTATCGAGGCCTGGAGCTCATGGTTGTCCCGACTGCTGCGCGCAATGTGTCCCGATAAGTATGGTGCAAGACCCTCGCGGGCCATTGCCGGCATAGCAACCGTACGATTCGGGAAAATCCTGTCAGTAAGTACAAACTCGCTCAGCCCATGGTGGTAACCACCACCGTGAGCCGTCTGAAGGAGAGGAACACTATCGCATGAACCTTGGTGATCGGTTGTGGGCGCCTGCATCTGACGATTAATACTGTAATAGCTTATTGAGGGTGGTACTGGGTTCTGACTGTCATGATAGGCAAGACTGGATCGACGATCGATATCTGGCCCTGGGCCCGAATCGGCGAAAGGAGACCGAGAGCCAAACCCGTAAGAGGTACGTCGGCTAGGCACATTGTCAATATGCGACTGAGGCTGGTAGATAGTTCGAGAGCTGTCGAAGGCAGCGGGAGGAGTAGACGAAGATGTCGATTTTTCGCTGCTACGTTCGCTCATGTATATTTCCTCCTGGACTGGTTCGAGGGGCGATGATTCTTTAACGAATGAGACAGGGGACTCTGTTGCATCGCCAGTGTTCAACGAACAGCCAGGGTGGCTGGCAAAAGATACTTCACCTCCATTTGCAACTTGAGTCAGAAGTTGGGCAGGTGCGTTTGTGAAAGCGTCAACAACTTCTGGAAGAAACTCGACAGGGGGTACATCCTTGAGTGTTCCCTGTTGTATTTCATGGTGAAGACGTTCAACAACGTCCAAGATCTCGTCATGCGTCTTGCCCTCCCCGAGACTTTGCATGATCCATCGAGGAACGAGGTCTCGACCGTTTGTGTCTGCCATACGCTTTACCTCACGTCTACGAATCGAGAAGGTCCAGGATCGGATGGCGATGCCTTCCTGGTTGATTCCGTTGGGGTTCTCCATTCCTCGACTCCAGAAAATCATTCTGACAATCTGTTCGTATACCATACCGATCTGAGTTACGCTGAAATCGGCTCCTGTGCGGTAGCGGATCCTCTGATAGTGCTTGCGGCACATGCATACCCAGACACGCTCAGGTATGCGACGGGTGCAGACCTTGTTGCGACCAAACAGATGTGAGATAACCTTGCGAGGAACGGAGCCGGTCGTGCAATTTTCAACTGCCATGCAAATGTCGCCCCCTTCAAGAGGTGTATTAACATCGACCTTTCTGAAGCGACGGCATGCTGCGATAACGCGATCGTTCGAGTTGGAATGGGGCATCGCTGAAAAAGACAAATACGTCAGTGAAAGAAACCTTGTGGAAGCTGCCGCGAACGTACTTCTGTCGGGCAAAACCTTGCCACTCTCTTGTGGATCGAAAGGGGACTTGGCATTCACACTGGGGGCAGGGGAACGCTCTTCTGAGTGCGTCCAGGGATATTGCTCAAGACCTGGACGCTCATAGACTGTGTTGATCTGTGGTGACGGGAGTGCTGCAGTCTCAAACTGCCTAGACGTAAGTGGTGGCAGAGTCGTCGGGGTCCGAGTAAACGGCTGAGTAGAACGCTGAGCAGGGTTTGGCGCTGAGATGGTGCGCTTATGGACACGGTCCACTGGCTTCAACAGATGGTCTTTTGGCTTCAAGTAGCTGGAGAAAAAGAAGTGTCAGTATATTTTCAGTGAGGCTTTATAGCTTGAAGACGGCACGAGACAGAGGGAGGAAGTTGGCAGGACACGGATTCTGGAAGCCAGACGAACGAGTCCAACGAAATAAAGCAAGAAAGGTGACGCAGAAGGTGGCCAACCACACAATGTGATTCACGGTCTCTAGGGCGAGTTCGCGATAAGATGAAGATGCTTCTAAAAGACGACTGTGTTGCAGTTGAAACGATCTGGTCACTCCCAAGCGTCGTCCATCTCAGAGGTGTCTTTGTCAGGCAAACGCTGATCCAGTAACAATAGGAATCCCGTCCTTGATTCACAAACAAGGGTGTCGTTCCTCTACTGCCTCAGGCAAAGAGGCATTCGTCCCTTTTTTCAGCCTTGCAGACAAACAACAGATAGCCATTACCGCTTGAGCAATGTGGGGAAAAGAAAGATGGCTGCTCTTGCGCGCAAAAGGAGTGGGCAACGTGCTGTGAGGAGGTGTTGTTCAATAGCTGGAGTGAACCCACGTACCTTTGATCTCCCGACAATTGACTGTATTTCCTCCTTACCATCCTAGCCTCTAGAATTGAGTCAGAAGGGCTTCCCAAAGGCCATGGGCCGACCGCATTAGCACTATGTGGTAAGCGTATCTCTGGTTTCCCAGTCGGAGCAGTAATGACTGGTGGGAGTGGTGCTGATAGTCTTGGTAAACGCTCTAGCTTAGCTTCCAAGTCGGCGATTCCAGACCCGATAGCATGACTTCCGTTAATCGTAGACACTGACGAGATCCTTGAATGATTCGCAGAGAACGTTGACGAACAACAAGACGAGAAACTACTGCGGCTATCCGAAATCCTATGACTCCCTGGAGCTGGTGACGTATTATAATCGGTCCAAAGACTCGACCTCGAATCAGGTTAGCTTTGAATGTACGTATGCCATGGCCTACAGCATGGCTGAATCACAAACTTACCTCCGTATGTGCTGAGAAGGGCGACCTTCACTGTGATGACTAACACTGTTAGTTTTTGGTATGCGGTCGATGGAAACCAGAGTGCACCTTTTTGGAGTCCATACATCTTGATGAACATCTGGAGTAGAAGCCATTCTTCTTGAAAAACTGTCAATTTCAACCCAATTCACGCATGCCGGACTATTTCCCTGAGTTTGCTTACCGAACGGGCAATGTGTATGGAGCCGATGCATCCATTGACACTTTCCTTAGGGCGTGGTTGGGTGCATTCTGTAGCCGTTGGCTTTCCTGCTGTTCTCCCCATGAAACGGCCGAGAAGGGTGATCGTGAAGATGGTGTTGAAATGTTATCCTTGGGCAGAGAGTAACCTCCAGCGTCCCAAGGCGTACGAGTTCGACTGTCGGATCGTACGCTTGACGTTCTAGACTGAGCACTCTCTGGTGGTGGGGTCGACGATAGGAATGATGAGCCTCTTCGTTCCCATTGTGCACTATCATGGTGTGTACTTTCTCTGCCGGCTCTTGCTTCTGTATCTAGTTCATTGAACTGGTTGAGAATCGACTCAATCTTCATGGCTGAAGGTGATATGGTGTGTTTTGAAGGGCTAAGTATTAAGGTGTTTGAGCGATTCTGGGTAGGTCAGATTTCGAGTAATGCCAGCAGCTGTCCTAGAAAAGTAATGACAATGGACCTTATCTAAAGGTTGTAGAATCGAAGTGAGGGGCCGTGTTTCTGGTCGTGGAGGGCAATATGGACAACTACAGTCTCATGGTAACTTTTGTTGAAGAGTGCTAGAAACGGGATCAACCACGTTCTGGGGTTATTAAAGATTAGAGTGGGAAACACTCCACAAGTTAGGGGGATGAAGAAAGTAAAAGGACAAAAACGAAGTGATTGGAGAAGCAGTTCGTTTGTCCGTCAGGGGGATGTCTGTTTCTTGTACGTCTTCCAGAAAACCAGGGTATTGGTAGGGTGCTGAATGTAATGAAACTTGGCAGATGGTTGCTCTTTCGTGTTTCTATGTGGAGGGACGGGGTGTTAAGAGGCTAGAGTGTCAGATAGATCGAGGCCTGACCCGCCGAACTGAAGAATTCAGGTTGCAGATCCAAGGGCAAGGTATATTGCTCTGTTCTCGTTCAACAGGGTCCTCAAAGCTTCAGATCACCGGAGCCGCTTTGTTTGAGTGTCTCGTCTTTTGACTAGTAAGAGGGAAGACAAGGAAGAAGCTTGAAGGCGAGTGCCAGATTCAGCGCAACAGTAAGTCAGAGCGTGATAACACGCGATCAGGTAAGGGGAAAGGAAAGAGATGAGACGAATCCACCACAACAGAAAAGTAGGTCCCTAAAAGCTTTGACTATGTGGACAACGCATGAAGTGGTAGGTAAGGTTCTGAAGACGGTAGTCGTTTGGGGTTACGACTGGGGTTCGGGGTGTCAGGAACGGAGGGCTGAAAGGGTGTGGACCAAAGAGACGAGGATCACGGGTCAGGGATTCTCGAGACGTATATAATTAGTGGGCTCGATTAGCCCGGATCGGTGTTCAAAGTAAAGGGGAAAGCTGTAATGCCAATCCTGGAGATGACAGAGTCAGAAAAAACTAAAACGCGGGCTTGCAGCGGGAACCAGCATCATCATTGTAAACATGCTGCGGCAGTCGGTCCTCGTCCGGTGGCACAGGCACGGTGCTGCATGCATTAGGCGATGATGATGACCAGACAGAGGGATGTGTACTTACACCTTTTGTTGACCTGTGCCAGATTCGACAGATTGCTGGACTTCTGTCGAGCCATATGTCAACTAGGAAGCACGCAGGTCATCAAGACATCGACAGAACAGCTCTGGCAAGGTGGCACCAAAGACGGCTGCACTGAAAAGTTCGAGAAGCAGCCCGGCCAAGCATCCCCTTTGTTTTGCCGGGACTTTAGAGCAACGGTTCGCCCTTGACTGGTTAGCATGACGGGTTTGTGTAGATCATGGCGTTGAGAGCCCCGTCCGAACCATGATCTCCACAAGGGGATAAATTGTCCGTGCCAGGGTTCAAAATAGTCCAAAAGGTGAAAGGTTCGACTGGACCAGGGTGCTCCAGGATAGGCGGGCCAGTCTCTCAACTAAACATATCGTCAGTACAGTAAGTAGATGAATATGTAATTCCCACAGCAGCCATTGTACCCCTTTCTAAAACCGCTACGCTCTGTGGAGGTTGCCGGGAGGCGCAGCCGTATGTTACCAGTAGATTGACACATGTCCCGATGCAGAAAAGCTTCCTTAAGAGGACCTTGTCGCCTAATAAGCTTCCTAAAAATGGTTGTGTAACAAACCGGAGCGTCTGGGGACGTCTTTCATGCCACCAGAAGAAGAAAAGTAACACACGGAAAGCCGTTACAACGTGGTAGCTGAGGCCGGTATGCTTGTATGCATGTGGTCAAGCGGTTGACCAGTTGACACCGGGAGATACCGATACCAGGTACTATCATGGGAAACGGATGAAACACGATGCGCTGCCAATTTTGGTGTTATCTTACGGCCAAGGCTTATCCAGTCCAATGAAGATGGGATAGATGGTGAGGAGCTGGAGAGGTGCATAACAGGGCCTGGATGATTACTCTGTACAGGCGTCACTACCAGATTCTAGCCATTGATTGCATCGATGTCCCGTCGGCTACCACACCATTTGACATGACGTTGGCGAGATGCGGCTCGCCTGGACGAGAATCCGGGTCTGACTTATCACTAGGCTTTATCCGACGAGGGTAATGGTGAGAGACGCCGCGATGAATAGCATGTTTGCTCGGGGAGGCACAGCTATGAGCGGCCACGCATAAGGTGGCTGCCGAATAGCTGGAGCGTAGACAGGGCAAATTGGGATGATGCTGGTAGCTGAATTCTGGGTCGATTGCGTTACATGGTGCGCCAAACGGCGAGCTTTGTCCTGGCTCGTCGAAGCTTCCATTGACAACTAGGCCGGTCGTGGTTGAAATTACGGCAGTATACATCTCCCACATCAACAGATTGTCGTTATGATGATTTGCTACGGTTGTTAAGTAGGTGTGGGCTGGTTGGATAGCGTAAAGGCGAGAAACACCAAAGTAGCATGGTACTGATCCATGTGGACCCCCTAAATATTATGTATTAAACCCTGAAGTTTTAGCCTCAATCCGACCAGGACTGCTGCCAGTTAGCCAGCCGACCAGTGACGAGGGTTATGAAGCAGAGCCAACTAGGATGTCACAAGCTGTTCCAAGTCAGGATAGTGAGCTCCATGCCATCGTCGTCGTAATGCAGTTGTAGAGATGCTTGACCCAAATGACAGTCAAGAAAAATTGATAGCAAATGTGGTTTGGTTTGCGAAAGAGGCTCAATGGTTAAGCTGCTGTAACTGTTGGCAGCCAAGAGCAAGGCTAACAAGTGGTTTCAGCTCTTGTTCGGTTCAGTTGAACTGGGTTGGGTCACACCAACAGGGGTCTATCATGCGCATATCTCAAGCTGATTTAGCCGCGGCGTAGAAGGGTAGCCGAGAAATAGGGTAAATGGATTGGGTCGTTTGTTCGGTCCGGTCTTGAATCTATTGGGGGGCATGTTGGCGTGGTAGAGCCAGATGCAGTTGAAGATCGTTAGTCTCCAACTCTGACGTACATACCTGAGAGCAAGCACTCCAATCTTGGAATTTCTGATATTAGAGAACTATTAGGTTGTGTAGTAGAGTAGAGTAGTCTAGGTACCAACAGGCGTATACAGATACCAAGATAGGTTAGTACCTAAGTTACCTACCTAATTGAGATGAAAACCCGCTATCGCTTCAATTAGTCAGGATCCAGGGTGCTTTCCTTCTATTCGATGCCCTATGACACTTGCCTAACTAATCTGACCCACGCAGCACTTTCCAAACGGCTAGCTTAGTGGGATTTACAAGATGTCTACCTCTTTTAGCAAGTTCTTGAGTCAAACGTTATGATAGACTGGCTAGCCTATAAGAAAAAAATCTTCATCTTTAATCTCTTTAAGCTACCTAGTCCGAGCCAAGCTGCCACAACACCCTCCTACGCGAAATTCCCCAGATGTTTCTCTCTATTCCATTCTTGTACTGGCGCAGCCGCGTTAGTTACTAGCGTGTGTTACAGTACATGTGGATGTGGATGTGGATTCAACAACGCTCAGTTTACAGCACAGATGTTCGCTGATACACGCTTCGACTCATGATAGATCCGGGCGCTGGTTCAGCTCATGATTTTCGTCTCATGTATCAAGTCGAATCTCGGTGTTTTCGTACTTAGGTTCAGCCAGGGGTTGATTAATTGCTTGATCTTCAATTGCACTTCGGCACGATGCATTGAACCACCAACTTCTCAAACGCGGGCGACCCTGCCCTTGTCCTCATCCCATAGCCTCAGCGGAGGAGAAGCCGGATATAGAACAGCCTGGCAGATCTCTAGAGCCGGGACGAAGAGACGAAACGCCGCCAGAACCGCGGCAGACCATGACTAGAAACGCATGGTCTCAGCGCTGCTTCGATCATCATCCATCCCATCTGTCCCCATCTTGCACGATCCATCGCGGTTACGCTGCCCGCAAAGCCCAGACTAATGCTGTATTCAAACGAACAGTTCTTTACTTTTTGGGCGAGTTGCATTGACATCAAGTTGGAAACGATTCTGACACTTCTCGGAAAGCCGATCCGACAAGGAATCCTACGTGCGACAAAAATAGGCAGGGGTAATCAGCCAAGAATCTCAACAGACAGCCAGCCACTCATTAACCTTGATATGGGCGACTTGCATCTGGATAATCGTCCCGGCAAAGCATATCATGACGCTGGATTTCGTTAGCTGCATGGACGTCCTAGGTACAAAAAAGAAGCTGTTCATCCCAGCCTATCTGCCACCCACCATAGTTAAGCGTATCTGGCCTGGCAGCTGCCATTTCTCGTGTTATTCTTTTCGTCCCTCTTCTGTTTGTTTCCTCTTTTTCGCGCATCTGTTGCAGATCCTCTAATCTCCCACCCTTTCTGTCTGGTGACATTCCGTCTCTGTTTTTAGAAACGCCCCTGTTTATCCACCGTTCTGTTGCAGCACATCCCTCAGACTCTGGATTGGCTTTTTTTTTTTTTAGACGAAAAAATTACTTCTGTTGTATCTTGCACAAATACTGTTCAACTTTGGCAGGCCGGGGAAACGCCCGGAAGTATGGCTACTCAATGAATAGCGTTCAGAGATATTCTCGACTCAACAGGTCAATACATTTCGTGATGCTTTCTATTACCTAGGTAGCTTGCCAATTGATAAATGACATTTTGGCATCCATAACAATAACCCACTTACTATCGTTACTTGACCTGCCACTAATGCAGGTCCTACCTTCCACCGTCTTGGGCGTTCCGGCTCCTTGCCCCGGGGGCTCAGCTGCATCGAGGAGACTAAGATAGAATGGAATGAACGATAGAATGCGACTAGACTATGTTTTGCCCTCCAATGCCGACGGGGAAGCCAGGCAGGCTACTTTGTACTTGGTCACAGCGCTAGTTCAGCATCGGCGGACGAGCCTCCTTAACCAAGAGACTGTTTCAGGTCAGTCAATGGAGAGCAACAGCACCGAAGCTTGTTCGGCACATGTTTACTAGTCTAGAAACCGTGCCGCGCTCAAGCTGCGGGACTTTGAGACATGAACCATTTTTCGGGTCTACTAGCCTTCAAGTTCTAAGTTGGTTCTCAATATACCATCCATCCACCGGTGGGATATGCTTCGGATTATGGTCAACGTCGGAGCTATAGGGTACGCAGATACCGAATGACTATAAGCATATCTCCCTAATCTATTGTTTCGGGATCCACGCTCTTCGCATCTCAATTGTCTTTTAGGTTTAGTACAACGACATGGTTTGCAAAATCCCTGAACCCAGAGACCTGTTTCATGCGGGGGCTGCTAACAGACACAGAGTCAGAGTGTGTCGCTCGATACCTTGTTATACCACTTTTGTGTCTACCTACCTATGCAACAAAGACCCGAGAGACCACCGAATACTTGGCCCAGCAGGCCATAGGGTGGAGTCACCCGTTGAAAAGAATGGGCTTCGGACTCAATATAGGCTATAGAGAACACGCATCGCATATGCTCTTGAATCATATATAGTATTGCTAGGCAAGGCAAACTAGTCCCCATGTTCTGATACATCCTGATTCATGGCAGATGTAAAGGCGCTCAAGGACTGGGCTTGCTTGATGTCCACTACCAATGATGAGGGAAGTTGGAAACCCACTAATTGATTTTGTAATGCTGATCGCTCCTTGGTTCTGAGTTGCGAGTACACAGCTGCGCGGAAGCAAAGAAGCCGAGATCCATATTTGGAGGAGACGCTAGAACAGCTGAGGAACGAGGCCCCAGTCGTAGATTCTCAAGGAGGGCGACATACAGAAGTCCCGTGGCTCTAAGACTAGAGAAAAGCCTGACCAGAGGATTTCCTCGGTGGGTAGATGATACCGTAGGGCTTGTAGTGCCAGATCAGCACTTCAAAGTTGTGAGCTGTTTCTGTGTCGGTCTGTAACCAGTATTAGGCTGGCCCTTCTATATGTGCCCCTTCGTCTGGCTTGTGCCATCACATTATCTAGTGGCTGTGCTGTATCTCGAAGCCGGCTGAGACTGATGCAATACAAATGCAATACCTAAGTAGCCAAAAATAAAAGAGCCAAGGCTTCTTTCCCCTCGGGAAGAAGAGTGTTGAACAGCTTTTGATCGCCGCCGGGAGTCGTCTCATTATCAGATGCATCTGGTGGGCAGTGCTCGGAACTGGGGCGTTCCTGGCAAAGAGTGCGCATATTATATAGGTTAACACACTGCGTAGCGAGCTTGTTCCGGTTATAATACTACGTCTTGTCATCCCATTAACTCCCAGAGAACTAGGAATATCCATCGAGCAAAAAATAAGACTCAACCCCAGTCCTGTATTAGGCGACATGCGAGTTCTCAGTCGTCATTAACAGAGTATGCCAAGAGAACGGAGATTTTCTTCGGATGACAAGAATAACTTGGGTTTCACAGAAGCAATATTCCATCATTCAGTTGCGTCTTTGCTTTGTTTCAAGTAAGCATATACTACTGCTTAACATGGGCGTGAAACGTGTGCCCACTAAATCCCAGTCATTAACGCATAAGTTATATAGTTCTGATCGCTAGATATGGCGATCGAAACAATATCCTTGGATTCTATCTGCTGCGGCTATGCAGGTATATAACCATCTCTAAGTTCGCAGACCCACGCCAAGCAAGATTTTCTCGATTATTAACGAGTAGAAAATCAGACCACTCTCTTGGCCGCATCTCTATACAAGATACCATGTTTCTGTTGGGTAGCGTACGTGAATCTGTCACGAGTTAAGTTGGAGAGTAATACCATCAAACTTGGTCAGCTCCAACCAGCCCCCAAGGCGGGCAAAGAGTCCGCTTATAGGGTAAGTTGAATCAAAAAATCTCTACGGTCGGCCCATGTGTTTTCGAATGGTTATTCAGAGATATAGGTTGAGGGTTTCTGGCGTATAATAATAGACTAACTTGGCGGATTGCTTCTATTTTCATCGATTACCTACTACTTACCTGTTAGGTAGATATCTATCTACGTAACCAATTCCTATACACCAAGGGCACAACTATGATAAAACATCAACACTATGAATAGCAGTTAAAAAATAAAGAGAGAAGAAAAAACATACAACAGCGGGTATTGGCTGGTCGTCACCGAACCAACTACTAATCCACCCCTTGCGAGCTTGACGATGGGAGAGCGGACGGGATCTCGTATTTTCTGGCAGGTATAGTCGTATGTGCTAGAACGAGCGGCTCAATGTGTTTATCAACAGGGTGAATGCCTCTCGTAATTGATGGTGGCAAGAATGAAAGCCATGCTATAGGTGCTCGATACTCTATGTGTGTTTAAACACCTGTACTATGGCCTCTGAGGACTCCTTCTACACCAATGAGATATATACTCCATGAAAGAATCTACCCGGTATTAACAACTCCGGAATTCCGATGCCAGTGGTGGTATGCTACTCTTCAAGATACTCTCCAGTCGCATGCCACCGTCCAAACCTCCCCCTTCATCTCAATATCCCACACTGGCTGTCCCACCTCAATGACACTCCCAACACTCATAGGCATCCTCTGTCCTAGACCCGTCAGTCTACCCTCACCGGCAAGCAAGAACTTCTTTCCTTCGGACGTGCCGGAACGACCTCTAACCAGATACATGCTTTGACCTACTCGAACTTCCTCAACTGTCACGTTGATGCTTGAGGCAGGGGCTGGCACTACACCTTCCCAGCCTTTTACCTCAGACAGCCATCCTTGTAGTTCAGCGGCGAGTCCTCCGGCTATGTATTTCGCCCCTCGACGCTGAGGAGAAAATACTGCTGGAACACCGTTCACTGCGGTGTCGAGTTCAACTTGTTTGAAGCGTGGTGGTTCGCGGAATGTTGGTTGATGAAGTGCCTTCGACTCATCATAGGGAAGGATAGCATCTTGAATACTTTGTGTAGAATCCTGTGTCTCTGTGTGCTCTCTCTCGTTCATATCTTCTGGGTCCTCGTCGGAGTCCTCGTCGACCATATAGTGCTGCTCTTCTACTGGGCTTGACTCTTGCATGGGAGAAATTGATACTCTTTGCCGTTTCGACTCCCGCTCTTCTAACGGAGAAGCCTCGTGCGGTAGGCTTGGCGCGTTGGAAGCCTCCCGGTCAACAAAGCCTGAGTTTTTGATATCTATGTCGTTGTCCGATACGGCTGAACTAGCATCTTGCGAAGCTGTTGCGTCATCGGACTCGACCTCAATAGAATCGTGGAGCGACTCATACTTCCTCGGTGCGAACTGATCGCCCTGGCTGTCTTGAGAACTACCTTTGGGGCGATCTTCGACTTCTTCAACGTCCTCAATGTCAATGCCAGCTCTTACCTGTGTCGGCCTAGGAACAGAAGAGGAGGCGAAACGAGGGGTTGACTGAAACCGCGGAAGTCCGGTAGGAGTTTGAGATGATTGCGTAACCCTCTTTGGAAGAAGAAACCTTCTTGGCGTAGGAGTCTGCAATAGGTTAGCAATGACTCTAAGGTTGAAATTAGAATGAATGAGATATTACGCTTGGAGGGGGGCTCATGGTATAGGGTGGATGGGCCGCTAAATGATGCAATAGAAAGTCCATGTAGATAACCCTTCCTGCACTGGTTGATCGTTCCGAGCAGGAATTGACTTATGTAAGTCCTTCGCAGAAAAATATTTCAAATGTGTCGACAGCGAGTATATAAGTAGTATGGAATGGGTAGGTGAAGCTCGCCATAGCGTCGTTGAGCGACGGTAAAAGCTCGGGCTGGATGATTAATGCGAGCATCACTCATGTCTTGTCGTACATCATGAACAGCATTGAGATTCAATATTGACTGATTAAAGTCTCACACCTTGGATTCAACCAAGTTGTGCGTAGGGTCATTTGAATGTGACGGGATCAAGGCTTGGCTCAGTAAGCCAAAGCTATACGCGTTGTTCGCCTTCTAATACCTATGCAAAAATAGACACTCCAAACTCCTAGAAACACCCTGTGTAGCTCTCATACCTCCTGCTATCTAACACGGCTTAACGGTGATGTTCCTTTATCAACATATGCTGTAATCTTTCCGCGGCGTTCATTAAAAAGATCTCCAGAATCCACAAAGAGAGATACTAGCATCAAGTCATACAGTTGTAAGTACCAAGCTTGTTCTATAGCTTAAGATTAACCGTAGGCCAAGTCGAAGGTGGTTTCGTGGCCATTCTTGGTTGGCTCAGTGTTCTTGACTTGGTGTAGCATAACAGGAGGCAAGCATGGACGTCCATGCTTCTCTTCCCACTTAGGGCCACCAATGCCTGTGTCTTGCCAGCCCATCCAGTTGTTGTAAAGTCGGTTGGGGGGTATTGCCCGGTAGTACCAGGTTGACCCAATGTATCTGCGCTCTCGGCCCCAGCCCATGGGGCTACCGCGGCCACCACATTCACCGTTCTCGCCAGGGTTGAACCATTTGTTCAGGAATTTTCCATCCCAGTCACGGTCCATGAAAACAGGATGAGGAGCATATACTGCCTTGAGGCCATGCAGAAGGGCCACTGTTTGCGGTGTCATTTCTGAAGCAACATGATTGCCACGGACATTCTCAACATGCATGATGTTTAGTAGCCTCTTTGATACACGAGACTGTGTGACGATGGTGGTACGTCGGGGAATATCCTGAGACTTATGGGTTGAATCGTTGTAGCCCCAAACCTGGTTGGCGATAACCCAATTGCTGTTGATAGGATTGAACATGGGCGACACGGTGATAACATCAGCATCTTCACCAACTCCCCATTCATAGTTATCTTGACTGGGACTTGCGACAGGAGGCTTGGGTCCGATAGGATTAATGAAGGGGAACTCGGGAGCACCCCAGATGGTATTATCACCATATCTTTTCTCGATGTCCCGACGGAACTCCTCGTCATAGTTGCCATGATAGGTAGGGATATACCATCTCTCATTTCGTTCCCACATGCCCTTTCGAGGCTGTTTCTTCGCAAATTCACCAAGCTTATCCAAGAGGTGGTAGTGGTGACCAGTAAAGCGGAAATCCATCTCCCAGTTCCAGATGAAATCGAACTGGGGGAACTCTTGGCTGAACTTTTGGACGGAAAGCCATTGAGCAGTGTGGACGTTCTTTGATTCAGGATCGGTCAGCTTCGGGTAAAGCTGCCAGACTATGTCGTCATTCCAGAGAATTGTCATGCTGCGAAACTCGGGTGGCACACTCTGCGAAAGAACCGTTTGGTAAACATTCTCGTTTTCAAAAATACGCAAGTTGTTGTCTTTGACCTGGACCAGCAAGAAGACTTCATACTGGCCTCCGGTTTTAAGAGATAACTCAGAGACCAGCGCCCGAATCGTTTGCTTGTCGTTCTCGGTGTAGTCCTTTCCAGTGTATGACCGAAGGAGAATAGCAGTTCGAGGCTCAGAAACATGGCCCTTTGTAGGGGCTCTGGGATGCTTCGTGTGTTCAGCAGGTTGCTTCGGTTGTGGACTGGCTACGGGAGGTAGAGCCTCAACGTTGTTCGGGGCAGCCTGGTCCATACTTTCCGGCTCTGCTGGGATGTCTCGTTTCGACATTTTCTCCTGAGCAGGTTCCTCAGAATGTTCAGGCCCGTGAGGCCCGATGACAGTCTCGGGATAATTATTGAGATACTCGTTGACCCGCTCTCGGTTCATTTCAAAACGCTGGGCATTTTTGTTGACACACATTCGTTGAAGATCACCCCAGTTGACGCTATCAAAATTGAGGGGTTGTGGTTCACCGCCAACCTTCTTAAACTGACGATGTAATCCGTAGGGACCAAGTCGAGTCTCTCTCTCCCAGCAAAGGTTAGGGTCCATGTTTAAAGCATCATAGCTGCCGAAGCGGGGCAACGGCCATTCGCGAGGTCGACCCTTGAAGACAAGCAGGTCCTCAACAGGTTCTCCAGTGGCACCCTTGCATGGGAAGTACTGAGCGTGCCCAGCCTTCTTCCAGGCTTCACTGTTGTAACTGGGGTAAGGGTTGTACCGAACAGGCTTTTCAGAGCTGTACTCTACGTCGGCGTCGGGGTCGAATTTGAGATCGGTGCTGAATTCCTCAGGTCGAGCTTCATGGTTCTCCAGATTGGCCAGAGTCTTTCCGTAAATATGGTTGGAGCTAGGGAAGCTGCGATCGTGTTAACAGACATATCACTTTGTAACACCTCAACTGCTTACTTGGATGTAACAGAGTAGGCATGTCGCCATTCTTTTCTCATGTCCTTCTCGTGTTGGAGCTTGCCAAGATCTCCAAAGCCTCTTTCTTTTCCATCAGTCTCAAACCCAGGTTCAATATCTCTGGGGTCCTCGCCATCGGTGGGGTCCCGCCAGTCCTTGAGATCCTCAGCTGTAAGTTCCCAAAGTTGCCTGTGAATGGATCCATATTGATCCTCGACTTCGCCTTCTCCCTGCGGCTGGGAGTTGCCGCCTTGTTCGACGACGGGCGGCGGTGGTTCTTGAACGGTGCCCGGGGAGTTGGAAGGAACTGGGATAGTTGTAGTGGGCAAAAACAACAAGTAGTAAGCGGCCAGCATCGCAAAGACGATGATAATCATAGATCTAGGCCGTAGCTTGGCGCCGAACAAGCGCCGGCTTTGGGGATGCCATTTCTTCATGATGGGCAGCAATTATGTGAGCCGGCTGATCCAAACAGAAACCGAGTTGTGTCGCAGAGGAAAGTTGAAGCTGGTGTCGCAATTGCAAATAAGGTGGTCAATGAAGTCGATTAAGATTAGGGGTGCATGGCTTGTTGGATAGTTGGAACGGAAGTACTCGGTCGGGGAGATGCAAGGGATGTTGTTCGCAGGGAGATGTGGTCTAATGTCAGCTATCTTGAAATTAAATAGCCTCGTTCGATCGGTCGGTCGTAGAATTGAACGCTTCTCGAAAGAGTGGCGCGGCTTCTGTCAAAGACAGCCAAAGAGAAAATAGACTGTTACAAGCAAATGCCAAGGATGCGCAACTAAAAGAGAAAAACAAGTCACACGCTGCGTCTTTGAAGGACGATGCGAATGATAAACCAGAGGAAAAAGGGAGAGAAAAAAGGTCCTGAAGAAGGGAGAGTTAATGGAATGGGTGTGGATGACGACTACCAATGGTCGTAATTGGGACGTGTAACTAAGGTTTCAATCTAGGGGGGGATCTACGGTAGGAGGTGGTCCAACGTTGGTGCCCACAGAGGGGAGCTGACCACTAAGCGTCCAGCACACAAACAGTTTTATAGGAGATTGCAAGCGAAATCAAGACATGATTGGAATGTTTACAACAGACGACGCACGATATTGGACTTTGATAATATGGCGTTTCCTTTGAGCTTCGAGTCTTGATACGAATTGGTAATTTACTGTTTCCTGAAGAACTGGCTTGATACATGGGACCCTACACGCGGCTTTGCAAAAGGGCCTGCAGCCCAACCACTACACATTTCGTGCCGACAAAACACGTTGGTTTCTGCGTTAATCCACGCTTGAACCAGTCTCCAAAGACTTTATCTGTTATCTATTGGTTGAATGCCTATTTTAGAAATGGATTGTTACTGCCATAATACTCAGAATTTTACCTGGTGATCTATCCCCCAGCTTCTTCACCCGTTGATGATAGATGGCCATGATTCACAGGTCTTTGAGCTAGCCATCCGCGAGAACAAATAGGAGACATTGATCACAACAATTTACTTTTGGCTTCGTCTTTCAAGTGTTTGAACAGTGTTTCGATTTCGAGCAGACTTCCATCAAGGCTCTCACTAATACACTACACTACAGAGACTCGTGCAAGCATCCGGCCATTGACCAATCCTTAGCCAAGATGCCTCAGATACAGAGTCTTCTAGGACACCATGAAGCTTTGAGGACTACCCAGGCTGATACCGTCATCTTCCAAAATAGCTGCATGATACTTGGCGTATCTACGAACAGTAAAGGGGGAAGCTTAAAAACAATGGGGGTATAATAACAAAACAATGATGCTAGCCAACTCCAAACAAGATAACAGCAAAACCAGGTGGTGTCAAAAACATTCTAGACGCAGACAGGTGATATTACAAGATATAATTATGGTCCATACATCGTCGTCGAGATTCAGGTAAAATAGTTAGGTCGTTACATCATGCCAAGTCGAGTGTGTCGTTTGTTCATTCGTGGCCGAGGACCCTGTTGTCCAGGAGGTCCCGGAGCAAGCCTGTTTCCAGGCGGCGGCATACCGTACGGTGGTCTTGGAAGTCCCATACCAGGACCCATTCGCTGTGCCGGGTGGCCAGGGAGGCCCATCATGGGAGGTCGTGAACCGGGTGGCGCTCGGCCTGGAGGTGGCTTCGCTGGGGGAGGGTAAGACTGCTGCACTCGACGCCAAGCGTCTCGCTCACAGTACGACTTGCCCTCTACCTCAAAGTAGCCATCCGAGAGGGACCGACCGCAATCGAGACATCGGAAACAACCAACATGGTACTTGATTGAGAATTCGTCCTCGAGGTATTGGCCTTCAATTCCCCTCTCGCAGCTTCCGCAAAGGCTGCCGTTATGCTTGTGATAATGGTGTTCACAATAGGGCTTGTCGTTCAAGACGTAGAATTCGGCTGATTTGAAGGGTTCGGAGCATGTCGTGCAAACAAAGCAGGCCTTGTGGTATTTGCCTGTCAACCTTCCATCTGCGGATGAGATACTCTTTCCTGTGATAGCAAGACCACAAGCTTTGCAGTTGCCTCGGGATCGTACGGGGTCTTGTGTCGCTCTCCGAACAGGGGGCGACAGAGCTGGAGGGAGGGTTTGCGCAGGCGTGGATAACGGGCTGGTATTAGAGTAGTGATCTTGAGGTGATGGCGCGTAAAGTGGGGTTGGCTGAGGATCGTCCCGTTGGGGAGGTACCTCAGCTTGAGGCTCGTAGCGGTTGGCAGAATCAGGTCGCTCGCGGGATACATCGAGTGGTGACTCTGCAAGCGGTGATCGAGCACGTGCAGGCCGCATAGGGGCATCGGCTTGTGTATTCTTGGACCCTAACGCTTCCATTGAACTCTCGAGATCTTCCATTAGTCCGTCCATAGCTGAGAGGTCCGAGGGATCACGTCGAGGTTGAGATCTTGTTTGGCTAGTCTGAGAACTGCCGTTGCTCTGGCGGCTGAATGTAGAGAACCCAGAAGATGTAGAATCCGAAGGTGTATGGTAAGGGTTGTTGACACCAAACTCAGCAGCAAGATCGACAGATGCCGAGTACTTGCTGGATTTTGACGGGTGCAGAAGACTCTTGCGCGGCGGGGGTGCTCTCGAGGTATCTGGTCCCATTGATGGTCTCTTGGCGTGTCCAAAGCCACTGGAGGCAGTGCGCTCGTGTTTTACACCAGGCGCAGAAGTAGTTCTTAATGGTGCTTCTGACCGAACAGCCAGTTTTGGGAATGTGTCAGAGCGGTTCATAATTCCTAGAGGCTGAGGCTGAAGCAACTCGTCAGCCTCAGAAGGGCGTCCGAAACCCTCGTAGTCATCCCGTGTTGGTCTTCGAGGAGGGCCAGAGACATCGTAGTTGTTGTCATTGGCACTTCCTGTGGGGGAGGGCGATCTTTCATTTCTTTGATTATTGAAGTAGTCTCTCGGTGATGCACTCAGGAAGCTTTCCGACTTGTCGCGGCTCTCTGTTATCTCCCTGGGAAAGGACATCGCCGAAGGACTACGAATGGGATCGAAGGGACCTGGGGCAATAGTGCCCACTTTCTTGAACAGTGATGAGTTGGCTCCTCCGTTTGGACTCACAGAGCGAGGTTGGAAGTCTGGGCCGTGCTTCTTCTCGCCAAAACCTCCATAAGCTCCAGGACGGTCGATGGGGCGCGGTGAAGGCATGATAAGATCGTCTTCATGTGGTGTTGGGACGTCGTCGAAGAAGCATTCCATATCATTGATTGAGGATGTGCTGCGCGGCTCACTATTTGGTGTCAACTGCCCTTTTAGCAAAAAGGGATGATCTGGGAGGTTATTAGTCGGGTTTCTTTTCCTTCTTATTTTATACCTTGGTAGACAGGTAGCCACTTACTGGCAGCATTGACATCTAGTGAAGGTGGTATGTGGCCCGGTTTCTCAGGAGATGCTGGGCTGTAAAGACCCGGACTAAAGGGTGCTGGGCTGTATGGAGTGTATGCCTCATACTTTTCTGGTGGAGGAGAAACTATTGGATAATCGATTAGTTCACCTGGTCGATGAGACAATCTGTGGTATTTTCCTCTCTTACGTTCAGGCTCTGGCGGGGCACAAATATGGTCTCCCATCATAGAAATTTCAACTTCCCGACTACATGACGAGCATTTGATAGTCGGGAGAAACATGGACTCTCGTGGGAGAGCCATGGTGGCGGTGTGAGTTGTGTTGTTGAAGCACAATAGGAGTCCGGTTTATTAACGCGATGCTGAGAAAAGGAGCAGTGGAAATGCCGGCTTGCGCTTTTCTAAAAGGTCTTGAACAATGTGACGTATGAATGCCTTGTTGAGGTTGTTTCAAAAGATGGCGCGTGGTGTAAGACCTTTTTAGATTTCGTACCCCAGGCCCGTTCTGCGACCGGTGTCCCTGGGGTTGATGACGTGAGTTTGGAGTGCCAAAAGTCAGTGCGATATGAATTTTTTTCGATTGCATCCAGAGAGTCGTGATGTTGAGGTACTTTTCGTCTTGATTTATTGTGGTTTGGAATGTAATCGTCGAAAGGGTTTTATGGTGAGGTCGTGTCCAGTTGAGGCGATTACCCAGGTAGCTCCTTTGTTGCTGGTGATAATGAGAGAGGAGTGAGAGGAGAAAGACCCTGCTTGTGATGGATTGTGCACACAAATCGTTGCGGTTGTTGGTGGAGAGTTTCCAATCCAAAACTGAAAAGAGCAAAAAGAAGAAATACAGGTCAAAGAGTCGAAACGCGAGACTAAAACGTCTGCGACATGAAAGGACTAGAAAGAAGATCAGGTGTCGACTTTGAAGAAAGGGACGATGCGATGCATATGGTGTCTCAAATGTGGAGGGAGAAGTGGGCGACCTGAGTGCTATAGCGCAGGTAGCGTAGGTAGTAGGTACCAGGGAAAAAGGGACCGGGACCCTGGACTTCACTGCAGGTATCGACGTAAAAACTCCACTGAATTAACCCGGCTAGGCATAGAGTAGGCTAGGCTAAACTTGAGTTGAGTTGCAGGCTGATCCTTGTGCTTGTGGTTTTGCGCTTTTGCCCTTGTTGGCTGATAAGTTAACAAGTCCGTAGTGCAGAGAATGAGAGAGGCCCCTGGTTTGGTTGGTACAGGAATATGAACACGGCTCGCAAAGGGACGAGTTTACGGTGGGCGCGGTGTGGAATAAGTAATAACACGGGGCACCACTTGAGTCCGGAGCAACTGGAGCGTCTTTTTCCACTCAAAGGTAATTGATTTGCTGATGAGAGCTTTTCTTTGAATGCTCCATCTCATTCGGTGCGCAAAGATGGCATCTATCTTTTCCGTCTATAGCGACAGCACTTCTGCTTCCGTCTCCCTGTCATGTCATTGTCTTGCCTTGTATGCCTATTGTCTCCAACTACATGGTAACTCACATTCCAGGAAACTTTGTGTAACTAACTGTCAATAGTAGATCTCCTTCTTCCCTGGAGCTTCTGGGCCACGATGACGTCCAGCTAAAAGGTGAAAGGTGAGACATGGTTTGCACGCGATGAATCCAATTGTCAATATTGAGGGAGACAGAAAACGGGGACTAAGATCGACAGCATTCCTCATCTGACTTTGTCTCGCTTCCCGATCAGCTTATTCCCAGTCATGTGTAATATGTAGAGAAACAATGTCTTTGTTCGGACTGCCGGCTGCCCAAGTTTGCCTGCATTTAGATGGGACCGATTCAGAGGATTTCTTTAAAGTCTAATTTTGTAGACGATTGGTCCTTGGTAGATTCAATGTATGACTGACTGCGTTCATCTTGTTTTCTTTTCTGGCCCGTCAGTGTAAGTATTCTGGATGCCGGTGAGTGGCCTCAAGGTTAGTACCTCAAGATCAACTCATTAAACAGTTCCCACAACGATCTAAAAAGAACAGCCATAGAAACAGGCCAGGTCAGGTCCGGGCTCTTCCGGGTCAGTCATGAGAAGACGCCACAGAAGGTTAGAATGTTCTCTAGCTAATTGATGCCATCCATGGTCATGGTTAATACTCCCTCTTGTTCATGGATAATGACAAAATAGAAATGATCCACTCCAAATCGTCGACAACCTACCCTACTCGGGTACCTTGCAGCAAGCTCTGTCCAACCAAGGGGTTCATCTGCAAGCACTAGCCCAACTATGGAAAGACCCTTGACCAGAAGGAGATCTGCTTCATTTAACATGCCTCTTGTGGGTGTCAAGGTCCGCCTCTCAACGTCTGGAACAGTTTTTGGTTATCGCGAGGAAAGAAACGTTAATTAAGTGATTATCTGGCTCTGCCAGTCATTTGGGTGTCTCGTGGATCCCTTCAATACTACCATTAATACGATATTCTTTCGAAGCTGGTCTAGTTGGCTGTTCTGATTAGGTAGTCTGGGTTGAGTTCATTTAGAGATAAACCCGCAACCAGACAATTATTTCATGCGATCAATGTGACTGGACCATCCATTGGACGCAGTCGTGATAGGTGATAATAGACCCTAGTCTCTGGGTCCTATAGAGTGACATGTACCTTTTACTTACCTGTCCTCATTCGGCTGTTACGCCGTGGGGGGAGACAATGATAGATCTTCGTGGAACAGCCCAAAAACAGCAGGTTCCATCTTGTATGTGTAGTGCTGTAGAGCCGTCAATGCGAGGCATCCTTTACACGCTTATCGAGGGTTCTATACGGCGCATGTCCTTGTTCATCTAGCATCGTGTCTTGTGGTCACTTCCTCAATTGCTAAGAAAAGATCTGCGAGTCCAGGTTCGCCAAGCAATAACTGGAGCCGGATACAAACGATCCACTGTCTCAGGTCTCTAGAGGATCGGGAGATCAGAGTCCGTTTTAAGTCAGTCAATCAAGGCAAAGCAGAGAGTCCAACTAATTGAACTCAATGGCATTCATTAAATCGGCTTTGCCGGTGACCAGAAACGCCACAATTCGACAGCATCGTATAGGGGTTAGCTTATTTTTCACTTTGATTTCCCCTGGCGACCGTAGTTGATAAGAGGGCAAGTTTTCCCTGGGTGTTTACTTAGGACGTTGTGTGTCTCCGATGATGATGATGATGATGATATTGCAGAGATATGGGTAGTACGGATACTGTTAGCACCTCTTATTATGACCAAGGGGTCAATAATTGTTGTTTATCAATTGACACATTTCAAGTACCCACGCGACTCGTGACACAGGTGCGTCGACTTTCCACTCGAAAAGCTAGCGTCAGAAGTTGACATAAGCCTCTCAAGCTACCAGGTCAGTTGGTTCCCCATCAACCGTTTGATGACCTCAGGTTCAATACATGATGCCAGATATAATTTATTGCTAGTGTTCGTACTAGCTAGTCATGATTACCTACCCTGAGAAAGATTTCCCCATGGCTTCAGCGCTGAGGGCACGCCATTCGTCGCGTGGGATATTGCGAATGATTTACTATCTCAACTAGTACAGACATGATTTGCAATAACTTACCGTATTATACCTACTCTATGATAGCGGTGACTGTATTGCAAGCTGTGATCGACGATCGGCTATCTGGTATACGTGACCAGCGTCGGACACATGGGGTAGTAGATAAATGCCGTTGACAGTCGACACTTTGACTATGATTGCGACAATAGTAACGGTTTCGAAGTCTAAACCCTGGGTCTGAGACGCATACCTAAGCATGAAAGATCTGATATCGACTGGTCTTGGTGATTCAGAAAAGAATACTCATGGCAGCCGCGTTCAAAACCGTGTTTCGCTCAGGTCAGGCTTGAAGACACTGTCAGATGTCAAATCAATGCGTTGTTTGAGTAATGTTTCTTGTTTTTGTCGACTCCGGGGTCGGAGGTTGCTAAACTATTAAGAGAAAATCACTTCGAGTCAAGAATTGAGGCTCCCGTTAAGCGATCATTATGAGATGTTTCGGCTTTTGAAGCAGAACCTCGTGCATTAGATTGTCGACGGTTAGACGGTGAGGGCGGATGTGGTAGACGCTAGGATTTTCTGGCAGATGATCTCACCACATTGTAGGTGGATCTTCGGTTTAACCAATATCCCATACGGCTGAGGTACTTTCCTGTGACACTTCCGGTTACATGTGAATGGGGCTTTTTCCCAGAACATTAAACTACAAAGACATAAGTGCAATGAAAGCACCATTTCCCAATAGACCAACTTACCTAACTATACAATAGAACCGACTGGTGCTTACGCGATATCAAGGTACTCGGTTAGCGTTGGCTGTAGTTGATCGGCTAGACAAAAGCCGGAAGATCAACTACATCAATAACACATATAATAGCGGCAAGCTGCAGCGATAAGATGAAAGGCCAGTAGTTTTCGAGGCTCAAAATACCCGGTCGATGCAAGTATACGTGTTTGATAGGAGTTTGTCCAGTGAGTTGCTATCAACAGCTAAGATCGTCTACCCGCGTCTTGGTTTTCAGTCACCGCTGTAGGAGAATAATGGGTTCTCTGGTCTCTGACGACGCGGAAACAAATAATCTCAAACGTGTTTGTCCTCTAAATGAGGTTTACCATCGAAACACTCCGTTGAAACAAAACAAAACGTAGACTGTTTGATATCCTAATGTCGAGAAATTGTATATGCTATTCTTTCGCCAGCGTTTCCTTGTGTCTTTTCCTCTATACTGTAACCAAGTGGTGTAATATCAAAGCCATCCACGGCTAAAATCTACAGTAAAGTATTGCACAAGACTTTTTACCCGTCCAGGGTCCTTCCTAGCCTGTTGCTCAAGATTCCAACAAACACAGGGATAGAATTGCATGCTCAACAGAGGTTCCGAGCAGGGCTAAGCCAAGCCAATCAAGGAGGTTGGCATCGACAGCGTAGGACATATCAATTGGCTGCCTGCACGAGCTAAACTAACCTAGGGTTTCGGTCGAAATGACCAAGAGAAGACTGTGGTCATTTTGGATAAACAGTCGGATGTTGACAACGCCAGGGGCTCAAGCCAATGGTTCTCAATGTAGCTTCTGTACACGACAGGGGGTATCAAGGTGCATGAGGATGTGATGATCTTTGTTGAACAACCCCAGCAGGATCTACAAATCCAATATAAACAAAGTCGTTCGTTTTGTTTTTACACCGAGTTCAGGTCAAGGGTAGGACAATGGACCGACCTGAGGGTCCCCCGCCAGAAGAAAGGAACCCCAGGTAATTTGATAAAACTCATGGGGTCGGTTTGTTGGAAATTGTGGGAGAAAATGCGGGAAAAAAGAGACAGAAAAGCTGGAGGACACGGAAGCTCGCTTGTTCGCGTCCATCCTCATATCAGGTGTCCACAAACATACATGGAAAACCTACAGTAGCTTTACAGTAGCTCACTCTTGATGCTTCCGAGCTGTCCGCCTCCCCAGCCGCTAGAATACTAATGACCCCACTAACAACGCGTTGTGGTCCTCACCGCCCGAATGTCTACGACAGCCAAGCTGTGAGTACCTGAAGCCAGGCTCGGCAACCTACCGAAAAGCCATGTACACTGGCGTACCTACGTACGTCTCTTACCCGAGCTGGACAGGTAGGGACGACTCTTCCATATTTGAACCCTCCCCAGCCCCAAAGCAATTCTCCCTCCTCTCTCTCTTCTGCTTCACCCACAATCTTCGTCAACTTACAATCAGCTAAAGAAATCAATAATTTCAAAACCTCTCTTCTTCTTTTAACTAAACCTTCCTCACTTTGACATCTGTCTGCCCCGCTACCCCGCCAAAACCCCTCCATAACTCTATCAATCTTATCATAACGACCAAGGCATAGACCTTTGGTCACTACAGTCGTCAAGACGTTTTCCAATCTCCTTAACTCGTATGTTGATCAAGATAAACCCAGCTCAAAATTGCTTGTATAAACAAAATTCTAACTCCTCACAGGACGCATCACCCGTTTGCAGGAGCCCGCTGCTCAGCCGATTCCGGAGGCTCAGCGGACTCGACCTTTGAACAGTAAAGGTCTACTCACAGAAAGAAACCCGTCCAATCTCCATAAACCGTAAACTTCCACGTCAAAGCCAATTCAAGCACCATGGCTCCTCACGCGGAAGTCGGCACGGGCTCCTCAAACGGGTCGGTATACAACGGCCAAGGCTCCTCCGCTACCCAGGATCTCTTCACCGTCAACTCACCCAACGTCACCTACACGGATGCGGAAATCCGTTCTCGATACACCTACCGCACCACGAAGGTTGAAGTTGATGCCAGCGGCAAATATGTTGCTACTCCTAACGAGACTCTCTACGACTTCAAGGTCGACCGCAAGATTCCCAAGGTCGGTATGATGCTGGTCGGTCTAGGAGGCAACAACGGCACCACCGTTACCGCTGGCATCCTCGCCAACCGCCGTCAGCTCGCCTGGGACACCAAAGAAGGTCCTCGCGAGTCCAACTACTACGGCTCCGTTGTCATGGGCTCAACCCTCAAGCTCGGCCATGACGCCAAGACTCACCAGGAGGTCAACATCCCCTTCCACAACATCCTTCCCATGGTCCACCCCAATGACTTGGTCATCGGCGGTTGGGACATCAGCAAGATGAACCTGGCACAGGCCATGGACCGCGCTCAGGTTCTTGAGCCCACTCTTAAGGCCCAGGTCAAGAAGGAGATGGCGGAAATGGTTCCCCTCCCCTCCATCTACTACCCTGACTTCATTGCTGCCAACCAGGAGGATCGTGCCGACAACGTCCTTGAGGGAACCAAGGCCCGCTGGGAGCATGTTGAGAAGATCCGTCAGGATATTCGTGACTTCAAAGCCAAGAATAGTCTTGACAAGGTCATCATCATGTGGACTGCCAACACTGAGCGATACGCCGACTTGATCAAGGGTGTCAACGATACTGCCGACAACCTTCTCAAGGCCATTGAGCAGGGACATGAGGAGGTTTCCCCTTCTACTGTCTTTGCCGTCGCTTGTATCCTTGAACAGGCCCCTTTCATCAATGGCTCTCCCCAGAATACCTTCGTCCCTGGTGCCATTGAGCTTGCTGAGAAGCACAACGCCTTCATTGGCGGCGACGACTTCAAGTCTGGCCAGACTAAGATGAAGTCTGCCCTTGTTGACTTCCTCATCAACGCCGGTATCAAGTTGACTTCAATTGCTAGCTACAACCATCTTGGCAACAACGACGGCAAGAACCTGAGTTCCCAGAAGCAGTTCCGCTCCAAGGAGATCTCCAAGTCTAACGTCGTTGATGACATGGTCGAGGCCAACCACGTCCTTTACAAGAAGGGCGAGCACCCCGATCACTGCGTTGTGATCAAGTACATGCCTGCCGTCGCAGACAACAAGCGTGCCCTTGATGAGTACTACGCCGAGATTTTCATGGGTGGTCACCAGACCATTTCGTAAGTTGATGTAACGTTTCTGAAAATGAGAGTAACAGCTAACAATCCTCAGGCTCTTCAACATCTGTGAAGACTCTCTCCTCGCTTCTCCCCTGATCATTGACTTGGTCATCATTGCCGAAATGATGTCTCGTATCCAGTGGAAGGCCGTGTCTTCCGACGGCACTGCTACTACCGAATACAAAAGTTTCCACAGTGTCCTGAGTGTCCTTAGCTACATGCTCAAGGCCCCCCTGACCCCCCCTGGCACTCCCGTTGTCAATGCTCTTGCCAAGCAGCGCGCTGCCTTGACCAACATCTTCCGGGCTTGCGTCGGTCTTGAGCCTGAGTCTGACATGACTCTTGAGCACAAGCTTTTTTAGGCGCTGAGGTCAGTTCTCAACGTTGCTGAGGGTATTTTGAAAGAGGAGGATACTGCGGACAGTCTTTACCGGATGCTCAAATTAAGTACTTCGAAAACTATAAAATTATTAAAGTAGAGGAGAGACGAAGTAGCTTCACATTCATAGATTAACGAATTAAATGTGCCGTTCTTCTCGACATGAGCCTTTATAATAACCTGTCAGTGATCTTTCGGGTATTGGATTTGAAATTGATTGACAGACCAATGATGTAAGTTTGTAGTTAAAGTCTAATTGCCCCATCGAGATCGTCACTACAAGGGTCGAGTGTTTAATTGAATTTTACATGGTGGGTAGCAACTTTACACGGAACTGATGCGTTGCTACGCGTTTCTCCACGCCAACGCCTACAATGGCCCGCGCGTCGCGTAATTGAAGCTCCCCACTACGAAGTTACAGATGCCTTTTCCACCCCAGTTCAATGTATTTCCACATTAGCATCCTTTCACTTCATTCAAGTTTTGGTTTTTGAAGCGTCAATAAACTTGTTGTTAATTTATACTCCTTTGATTCGTTACAGCATATAATTCATACAACATCATTGCTCTCGCAATGGCTACTCCCTTCCGAGCCTCTACCCCCGTATCATCGGGCGGATTTCCCGAACAACTCTCACCACGATCAAGAATGCAAGCTGAACTCGCGGCTATCGAGAGTAGCGATGACGAAGAATCACCCTCAAAAAAGACTACAAAAGATGTGTCGCTAAAACGCCTCGACCTACCACAACGGCCAACACAGGATGAAGACGCGTCCTATGAGTCGGAGAAGGAGATGACCAGACCTCGAGGAAAGCTTGCGGCCAGAATGCAAGGCATCGCTCAACCAGCACAACTGGAAGAAGACAACTCTAACCAAAATACCACCGCTCGAGATCGTGTAAAGAAGAGATTCGAGCAAGACGAGAAAGAGGTCAGGCAAGCAGGGGAAGAACACAATGTCGGCATGCCTGATGCTTCATCAGAAGACGGCACTCCTGTGGCACGCCGAAGACCAACCCGCAAGGCTCCTTCATCACCAGCTGCCAGAAACACTTTTCGAAGCCCCAGTCCAGGATTATTCCTCGTAGAGTCATCGCCTGTTCGCCCTTCACCGTCGAAGTCAACACAAGATAACTCGGATTCTGATGAGGGCTTACCTGCAACCAAATTCGCCAGAATGGCAGCACTTCTTGAGCGCCAAAGGCAAAAGAAAAGTGCCGAAGAATCAGCCAAAGAGGCGGAGCACGCAGAAAAGCGTATGAAGCGAGAGAAACTCCCTCAAGAGATTGAGCAGATGGAATCTGATGACGATGATTCTGGCATAACTGACGATGAAGGTGGAATCCGCCTGACACAAACCGGGCGACCCAGTGCCCGGAAAGCAAGCAAGAAAGCCATCGAGGAGATGAACAGAGAGACTCAGAGAATGTCAAGAAACATGCAATTGAAGCATCAGGCAAAGACAAGAAAGAAGATCTCAAAAAATAGCTTGTTTGAACGATTCAACTTCAGACCAGCAGGTGGAATAGATCCCAAAGTTGCCAGCTCCAGTAGGGGACCAACGCCTCACAGCGATGTCGAAATGCAAGATGCGGACACACCACCCAGCTCCCCCCCTGTGTCCAAGGAAACTGTTCAGCCCACCGAACCTGTTGCTCAAGACGACAAATTCGATTTGCCAACCATTGACGAACTCGCCAAGACAACCAAACCCAAGCTAGATAAGGGCAAAGGAAAAGTCATCGAGACAACAACCGAACATGCACAGCCGACCCAAAAGCCTAAACGTCAATTTCGGGTCAAACTCCTACCTGTCAGAGCCAACGTGACCTTGGTAGACTCCGATGACGAATTGGAAATTACGACAACGACAAAAGATAGAATTCGAGCTGTGTTCGACATGGCGCCCACCAAGAAAGCTCAAGAACCCAACTCGATCCAGACACTGCGCGCCCTTGCACAGGTTAAATCTCCAGGCAAGGAGACCAGACGAAAGAACGAAAACCATGGTATGACGCCAAGCGAGCTGCAGATGTACCTTCAGCAAAAGGCTCGACAACAGGCCAAGGTGGAGCGTGACCGCAGACTGGATATGCTCAAAGCCCAAGGTGTAGTTATCCAGACCGCTGAAGAGCGCGAGCGCGAGATGCAGCAGGTCGACGACATCGTCGCCAAGCACAGGGAAGAGGCACAGAGGATCATGCAGGAGGAGCGGGCTGCCGCCAAGGAGAAGCGAGAGAACGGTGAAGTTGATCCTCTGGCGTGGGATGACAGCGACGACGAAGAGTATCAGGCTTCTGCTGACGAGGCTGATGCCGAAGCATCTGCGGTCGAATTATCTGGATCAGAGGACGAGGATGACGAAGCAGACGGTAACTCTATGATTGAAGGAGAGGCTGAAGACGGAGAGTCCGAGGCTTCTACTGGCGAGGAGGAGGAGGATGCAACCCCTGTCGCTAGTCAAGATGTTCATGATGACGCCGATGAACTCCCAGTGGCGAGCAAGCGACGAATTCGCAAACCTATCGTTCTTACTGATGATGAAGAAGAGAACTTGGTTGAGATGACACCCAAATCGAAGCCACAAACCACCCTGCACACCTCCCCCACAGTCCCAAACACTCAATCCCCTACAGCGCCCAGATCTGTACTGCGTTCAGCTAAAAAGAACTTTATCCCTGGCCTCCCTGTACAGGGAGCAGCTGGTCTTGGGCTTACTCAGATCTTTGCTGGTACCATGGACGACAGCCAGGTGGATGCAGAGAACGGTCCAACTCAGTCCATGATGCCTGACTTCGACCACTTTCCCGACTCCAACTTTTCTGCGACCATGGACGAGCCCATGGAAGACATGGTCATGGACAGCCAGAAGGACGACACACAAAAGACAACTCAAGGCGTTCATCTCAACTTTTCTCAGTCTCAAATGCGAAGTCTTGATAGCCTGCTGCGGGAGGAGAGCACACAAATCTCTGACATGATCGACTTCACTCAGGATGAGGGTCTCCAACACCAAACGCCCCTGAAAAACAGATTTGTCGAGGCGCCAGATTCCACCGTGGAGACAATGGTGGTTGATCAAGAGGACCCAATACAAGCCTCGCCGTTAGTCCGCCGTGGTCGCCTTCGTCGCAGAATGGACACGTCTGAGCGAATTGAGGAGACACCTGAGCCCGTGGCTGCAGAGAAGTCTGACACTGCCTTTCATATGTTGAAGGAGGGAGCCAAGCAAGAAAAGAAGAAACAGGCTCAAGCAAAGTTTGATCATAAGAAAAGCAAAGCCAAGGAGATGGTTCAGGATCAGGCCGAGGAATCCGAGGATGAGTACGCTGGCCTGGGTGGTGTAGACGGCGAGGATAGTGATAACGAATCCGTTGCCTCGCTTAAAGAGATTATCGACGATGCTGCCGGTAATGATGTTGACGAAGCTAAGCTCGCTGCTTTCTATGCGTAAGTTTCTACTTATTTGCCACTATTAACATGACTCTAATATTTTGCAGCGATCGAGAGCGTGCGGACGATGAGAAGCAAGTTGAGAAACTTTTCAAGGACATCACAACTGGCATGCTTCGTCGCAAGCGCGGCGCGGGATACGATCTCGACGACTCTGACGATGATGGCGAAGCTCGTCGAAGGATGAAGCGTCGACAATTCGCCAAGATGCAACAGGCTTTGTTCGCTGATGAACGGGTCAAGAAGATTGCCGAAAATCCGGGTAACCAAGCTTTCCTCAAAACCATCGAGGACAGAGGTAGCGACGATGAGATGGACTTTTTGGATGCACCTGAAGAAGCCAACAAGTCATCCCAGTCCCAGTCCCAGTCCCAGGATGATGAAGGCAGCAAGACAAGAACTGTTCCCGATAGCCAACCTCAAAGGATTCTTGGCCCTGCGGATAATCGGGCACCTGCCTATCTGCGTAGAACCAAGGATGGCAAGAAGCCTTCCAACATCGGCGAAGTGCGCGAGACCTTATCGGACTTGCTAGAGGAGCCCCATGGCTCTATCATTCCCGCCACAGAAGTAGGATCAGACAGTGAGGGCGAAGAGGAGGCTCACGGACAAGCTCGTAGTGACAAGGAGAACGATGAATCTAGCCCTCGCCGTGGCAGTGTTGCAGTTGTTGATCGCATTAGCCTAAAGCGCAACAGCTCTTCCAACGCCAGCACCAGCCGTCTTGCCTTCGCAACAGCATCGAGCTCCTCTTTCAAGGTGCCGGCGCTTCTACGTCGTGCGACAGCCAACTCATTTGTCTCTGGTACGGCCTCCACATCAAGTTCTGGTACCTCAACGCCAGCCAGTGGATTCGGCGAAGAGGCCAAAATCAAGAAGGGAGCCAGCAAGAAGAGCGGCGTGCATGCCTTTGCGCGAGACAGTGAGAGACGAGCGAAGCTCGTACAAAATGAGCGAAAGAGAGAAGAGAGGAAGGTCAAGGGGGCTGAAAAGAGAATTGGAGTCGTGGGTGGTTTGTTGGGTAAGGGGTCGTTTGATTAAGCTGGTATGGAATGGAGTTTGGGTTTATGTGAATGGAATATCCTGAGGATCAAATATCCCGGTATGGCGTATGGTTTGGACAAAGGCATTGGAGAAGTTATGACATAGGCGTTGTACCTGTATTCCTTTATCAATGTTACTTCGTTATGTAATGGCACTTACTAGACCCAACATCACTGCGTAGACTATGTTTTCTTCGAGCAACACCTTGAGAGAATCATATATTGTTTGTTTGACTAACTCTGCAGATTGCACATAAAGACATTCTACGGTCATATTTTGGAACGACCACTTCCTATCCACGCTGTTACTAAGGGGCAAAAATGTGAACCAAGACATCTCACCATCTTGATATGACCACGATTAAGATAGACAAAAGGGGGCCGAGTTTGTCCTGATAGTATTCATTAGTTATGAAATTGAGATGAAACTATCAGGTAAGACGAGAACTGTCTTTGCGTGTCCACAAGAACCCCCGAAGAAGTCGGAAATCATTCTCATTCAACGATGAGTTGAAAAACGTCAAGTTTTGTCGAGGAGAGAGATCTTCGTTGAAAGATCCTTGATCGAGGTCTATGCTGCTCGATAATTTCTCAAACAGTTCCCGAGTTCCGGGTTTCCTTCGTAAACCGATTAGCCCCTGAAATCATAACTACCTACTGGGAAACCATAAGAGAGAAACATTGGGCACGATATAGTAGTTTACTTTTATTGTCTTCAATTGCCCAGGCTAGCAGATTATGTACGCTCTATATCAATATGTCTTCTAACTCATTATTATCACTTTTGGAACGCCGCTCCTGAGAACTCTCCACTACCCAGACCCAGCATTCTCTTTGTAAACAACCACAACTCAAAAGCCTCCAGCTTGATTTCTACACGCATGAATCCGACCCATGCAGCGACCACTCGTACAGCGTTAAGAGGCCACAAAAGGGATCCGGTTTGGCTAATCTCTTCAAGCTTCTCGTGGAAAACGGTTTTTGTGCAGTATCGTGCTAGAATCATGAAGGAACGGATGGGGCCTTGGCGAGTTTGGAGGTTCTCGTCCAGGCTGCGGGTCAAGTCGTTTGTCTTGAGGATCAAAAGGATGATTCGAGGGACACGGCTGAGGAGTTGAACGAGATCGACGATCAGTCCCTCCTGCAGAGCACCACTCATTGTCTTCTGCTCGTCGGCTGTTCGGTTCTCGAGAATAGATCCAGACTTGCTGACGATACTGTAGTCCCGACCAGTAATTGCCGAGGCGAAAAGAGGAAAGTCCTTGTCCTCAATACCAGCAACTTCGTGAGCATACTTCTTCATACGGTCCATATCACCATCGATAACCGCGAGCCACATCTTGGCGTACGATCTTCGCATAGGAAGTTCAATATCGCGATACAGTCCATGGTCGTACAGTATGACATCAAAGTTTGGCCCACGGCCGAGACCTCGACGACTGGTGTTCTTGCGGATCGCGATGTTGCCACCATGAGGATCGCAGTGTAATGGTGCGCCATCGCCAAAAATCATTTCGTTGAAAATGCGGGACAAGGTGGCCGAGACTTCGTCGCGATCAATTCCGTTTTTGTCCAGGTACTCAAGATCGTCAAGCCGACTTCCAGCTTCACAAGCCATAACGATAATCCTTTGCTTGGCCCAGATGACCTCGGGAATAATCAGCGGCAACTGTGGAATCTTCGCAAAGTGCTCCTTCATACGACGGGCATTGTTAGCCTCTTCTTGGAAGTCCAACTCCTTAGGAAGGGAAACGTCCATCTCGGAAGAGAGCCATTCGAGGTCGTACTCAGGGAAAAATCGTTTCAAAGTCGAAAAAGTATACCGAGTCAGAGCGAGATCCAAGGGTGCCCAGCCTTGAAGTTCTGGATGCTGCACCTTGACTGCAACCTTCTGGTCCGACCCCTTGATAGTTGCTAAATGTACCTGTGCAAGGGAGGCAGCACCGATTGGCTCGGGAGAGAAGTCGGAGAAGTAATCCCAAAGCTCCTCTCCAGTATCCTGTCGGAACATGTCTTCAATCGACTCAAGTGAGGACACAGGGCATTTGTCTTGCAGCGGTATAAACGTGTTGGTCCACTCAGAAGGTAAAAGGTAGTTCATGGCGCTCTACAAGATTGTTAGCATGTCTAACGCTCTCCGAGTCTTTACGTTGAGGTGGATCCTTACGAGATGTTGGCCAAGTTTGATGAAAATGCCTCCATTCTTTTCCAATACGATCAGGGTTCGTTCGGCGCATCGTTGATGGCATGCTTTTAGCATGTTTTCTTGTTCGTCATGATCCTCGGTCGTTTCTCTCGCATTCAAGGTTGTTCGATAACTATTCAGACTGTCAGACTTATTTGCTTTATGCCAAATACCAGGTGGCAACATACTCGTTGATACAAACAGCGAGTGCAGCCGCAACTCTGCCTGTACGTTCCGCTGCTTCATAACTATTCTTGATGTCGTCGCCCAATGCAAATGCGGTTGCGCCTATAGTCCCAACACTGGCCGAGGCATATAACAAAGGTCGTCTGGGACCTGATTTTTGGCCATTGTTCCCCCTCGAGCCTTTCCCGGAAGCAAAATTTCGAGAAGTGATGTAGCGTAAAGGCTTGCCCCGGAGCAATTGACCTCTACAAGTCGAGCACGTCCATGGTCGAGCGGCGATACGGGTCGCAAAGGCCGAGACAGAAAAGGTGTTCATCTGGCCGCTGAGGGGCTTTAATAGGGTAGAATATTAATGAGTAAGATGTAGTTACTCATTCTAAAACAGAAACGTCCAACGAAAAAAAGGAGTGAACAGCGAACATGAATCTGCACTGTAGAGTTAAGACCGGGCTTAATTTTGGATCATGTCGTCAACCACGATCAAGGCATAGCAATCAATCAACAGTTTTTTTGCTTGGGTGTGCCGATTCCGATAAACCTCCGTCCGTCCACCCAGGCCAATCGCTCGGTTTGGGCCGGGTGCGATACTCGGGGAGGCGAATTGGCCACCCGCCCGATAGCAAAGATTAGCACCCTGTACTCCAAGATCTAGTCTCCGCGTGTTATCACGTGATTGCGCGACCGCGACCCGTGATCGCGTCTATTGTTAAACCTATTTACACGACCACGCCACTCTACGAGTCTTATACCATACAAGTTACCTCCACGACTTTTCCTCAATATTGTGTATCCGCAATTCTATGCAACAGACAACCCACAAGAAAACAGCCGAAAACATGCTGTCTTTTGCTCCCACCCCCATCTTCACCGGCAATTGGGACCATCGCCCGGTCATCTCATCGCCTCTGTCTTCCTCACCTGTTCGCGCGTTATCGCCAATCGACCGGAACGCGCATTCTCAGCGGCAAATTCAATCTTCTCCCATTAAACCTCCCAAGTTTAAGTTTGCTTCTCGCCCGACGCGGCCCAATCCCCTTAACCGCAAGCGAGAGGAGGTGCAAGACAGCAGGCGAAAACAGTTTCTTCAGAATGTCAAGCAAAGCCGTGAAGACAAGGCTTGGCAACGAAGAGACATTGAGGGACAGGTAAGATAAGAGCTTGCAGTTTTCATACCATTGTAACTGACTTGGGCCACAGTTTTTGAAAACAAATTACCTGGCCGACAGAGGACAGCTATTACATGATGCTCCAGAAGTTACCGAAGCGGATATTGAAGAGGCCATGACCTTTTACCAAGAACACCCTCCAATCCCTGAGGAGGATGAGATGATGATGGACGAGGAAGAGCAGCTCGAGGCTATGTTGGCATCTTATGAAGAACAGCAGATGACTTCCTCTCAGCGACCATTATCACCTACCCTATCAGAAGAAGACTATGACGATGTTTTTGCTGAACTTATTGCACAAGAGCAAGCACAACAGAGCATGCAAATGCAACCACAGGACCAAATGGACACTTCTGGGGATGTTGAGATGCAATAACGAGCTTGCCTTTTGTGTTTTCATTTCTTATTGCTTAACGTTTCATCACGCACGGAGTTAGGGTTAATTGGAACTTGAAGAAGGGCATGGCGTTTGGGAAATACCGTGAACATATCACCGAGCGTGTATAACCATTATTTTGGTAAAGGGTATTTAGATGGCTTGGAGGGGCACCCGGGCTTGGTATCTATTGAGGATTGCAGGCTTCATCTCCTGGGTTGAGGGCATCTTGAGCCGACTGCATGTCTCCAACAAGATCAGGGGGTGGCGATCCTGCTGCTTGCATCTGGTCGAGATGTTAGTATCAATAAAATCATAGAGGAGAAAATCCGAGATGAACATACCTTTTGCATTTTGTCCACGATAAACTCACGATCCGTCGCGTTGGAATCCGAGTATGTCTTCTCTTCGAACTTGGCCACTATCTGACGCACAATGGACTGTTGTTCTTCATACCGCTTCAAATCATCTTTGGGTGTCGCGTCACGGTTCTTGATCAGCCACTCGGGGAACTTCTCATCAAGCTCCTTCATAGGCTCGTAGAGGATTTCCTTGTTAGTGAGCTGCTCCATCATACCCATGAGCATTTTGGAGAACTCCTCTTCGCTGCCCTCACCTCCTAGATCGCCAAGGTCACCTGAGGATAATTGCTTAAGCATCTCGGACATGAAATCATCGCCGGACCCCGAGGCAGCAGCAGCCGTGGCTTGATCCCCTGACGCCTGCATCCTCTCCATTGTCCGCTTAATGGTATCTTGGAAAGATGCATCCTCAGGTGGTCCTTGAGATGCTGGCCCCTTTGCAGAGCTTGGAGGTGGCGCATCGCCAGCGCCTTCCGCCGCAGCGATATGCTTAAATATGTCCTCAAATTGAGCTTGCATATCAGGCTGGAAAAGTATTAGCACTTACAATAAGTAATATGTTTATGGTGGATAAAACTTACGGACTGCTCAAGCTCGCCTAAGAGATCGGCCATACCAGCCTGTAACTGTTTGGCAAACTCTTCTTCTAAAAACGCATCCTCAACTTCAGGCTGCTTGCCAGAGGGAGCTGCGTCTTTTGGAGCTTCTGCTTTAATAGCAGAAGGAGCTTCGACAGACTTGGTTTGGTCGATCTTGACTGCTGAGAACTCGTCCAACATATCTAGGAACAATTAGCGGATACGCCCATGGCCCTGTTTTCTTGTAACACACCGTCCAGGTCGTCCAGGTCATCTTCGTCTGGGTCTGGGACATCCTCAAAGTCGTCGAGAGGCTTCGCAGTTTCAACTGCAGGCGTCGAAAGACTGGTAGCCTTCTCAACCACTGCCTCCGTGGCAACTGCCGCGGTCACTACCGCTGCGGAAGTGAGCACAGCAGCTGCTTCTTGAGGAGCATCCTCTTGGATAGCAGGTTTCTTCTGATCGCTCTCCTTGGTGGCGTCGCTTTGGGGACTGATTTCTTTGGATGCGGGTTCATTGGATCCGGCTTCTTCAGTAGTAGTGTGCTGGGTTGTGATCTCTTTGGAAGGCGTGTCTTGAGAGGCGGTGTCTTGCACAGCAGCTCCAGAGGTCTCTTGAGAAACCGTCTCCTTTTGGGAAGCTTCCTGAGGAACCACCTTGGTTGGCTCTGCCTCTGGAGCAGGAGTATCTGCTAAGGGAGAAGACGTCGGGGGATCAACAATCAGGGCATCGGGCATAGGAGCGCCAGCTGAGGCGGGAGTAGCGACATCCTCAGCCTTGAGATTACTGATGTCCTCATGCTGGTCCTCCTTGGGCTCGTCTTTGATATCCTCCTTGACACCTTCCTTTAGCTCCTCCTTAACCTCTTCCTTCAAGGTAGCTTCTGCGTCCTTGTCCGCACTCATGATGCTAGTCTGTCTGACTGAATATCCAACACAACTCACTCACACACCCCCACTTGTGTCAACGAACGTCGGTGAAGTGAGACGAATGAGCTGGCGGTTGTGGAGAGATTTGCGTGGCAGACTTCTTCACATGAAGCTCTGCGCTGTAGAAGCCAAGGGAGTGGTATGTAAAGGAGAATTATCGTTTACTACTCGACGATACGTGGGAAAGGAACTTTGAGGTGAGCGGATGTATGCCCGCTTCTAACTTGACTGTGCCGAGGTGACCTATGATTGTGACCCAACCGGCGCTAGGTCGCACGCAGGTGATTGCTACAGGTACCAGGAGGTAATCGGTCAGGGTCGTGGCACCTAGTAGCACCTAGATAGGTAGGTATTTCTAGCACACTTATGGGAAGGTTGCTAGGCCTCTTAAACTGGTCTGAAAAAATTAAGCAAGTAAGAAACTATCTGTTTATAGAGACGAAAGCTGAAGTTAATTTCATCCTTTGCACTCTCTGCATCTATCAAGTTACTGAATAATTGATAGGTACACCAGGCTGCCCGACCAACCTATGGATTAGTTAGGGGCTTACCCCACCATAACAGCACTGTCTCGTCCACTGAGAGAGCCTACCAGCCTACCAACTTAACTGCTCGCTCATATAACAGGCAACCGACCACTAACTCCAGTAGCGGGGTCTCCCGAAAAAGGGTGGACGTGCTTCTCAACCAACGACGATGAGTATTGGCCTGTGCATCGAATCATCAACAAAGACGTCGTTTGGTGAATTGCACTGCACTGCGCAAACAGCACCAGCTTTGGCTTCGATTTCCTTCCCTTTCTCCATCAGCCTTCCCTCTCGGATCCTTTCCTTTCTCCCAAAAGTCTAGTCCCCGTACAAAACGAAGGCCTGCGTACCTTACTACTTACTTACTTGAACTTGCTTGGCTTAGCAACCTTTCGTCGCTGTCATAATATTCGCTGCGCCTCAGCTCTTCGACTTCGTGCAGCCCTCGATCCTCAAACCTTGACAATTTCGTGCCCATAGTCACGACCACAACCCCCATCTCATCGCAGCCAGGATCTTCACAGGAAGAAATCATGGCGCTGTGTCAAAACAGATTGCAAGAGGAAAGGTGAGACTGTGCAGCTTGTGTTGACCTCGGACCATACTGAGACCCAAGTAGGAAGCAGTGGCGACGAGACCATCCTTTCGGTTTCTATGCCAAGCCTCAGCGCACCAAAGAAGGTATTCTCGATGTCAAGAACTGGGAATGCGGAATACCTGGAAAGGACAATACGATTTGGTCTGGTGGTCTTTTCAAGCTGACCATGGTTTTTCCTGATGGTGAGACCCAACACAACCACTTGCGATGCTCTTGCGATATGTGCTAATTTGTACTAGAATATCCCACAAAGCCTCCCAAATGTGAGAAGTCGAGTTTTAGACATGGCCGGAGAGGGAGTTGATGCTGATATATCCCAGGCAAATTTGTTCCCCCGCTGTTCCACCCGAACGTCTACCCGTCAGGTACTGTGTGTTTGTCCATTCTGAACGAAGAGGAGGCATGGAAGCCTGCCATCACCATCAAGCAAATCCTGCTTGGTATCCAAGACCTCCTCAACGACCCTAATCCCGAGTCTCCTGCTCAGGCGGAGGCGTACAACTTATTCAAGAAGGATCGCGCCGAGTACGAGAAGCGAGTTCGTCGAATAGTCCGCGAAAACCCCACTCCTTGAGCATGCTTTTCGAAGCTTCAGGTACAGAGGCTATTTAGACGAGAAATTTCTTTGCGAGAAACCCCGGGTCACGGCGTTAAAGGAAATACCAGGGCGGGAAGTCACCTGGAACCTGTAAGAGGGAATTCAGGGACCATGGGGGCACACGTATGTGATACAGCATGATACGAGGACAACGAAGGATCGGGTACTTGGCAAAGGGTTTGTACTGCACGCTGGGTCGCTGAACAGGGATATAAGCCAGAGCCAACAGGAGCGCAGTTTTTTAAAGATTAAACAGAGTCTTTTTCCGTCAATATGTTACATTATACCGGCAGTTTGTCGGTCCACGCATCCTGCGATGTTGGCCGGCGAGTGATTCACTTTGCGGCTGCGTTTGTGGGAACGCCCCACAGGTTCAGTTCAGTCCTCTTCGTCGGAGCGGATATGATCATGTGAGAGAAAGCAACAGTCTACAATGAACGGTATCCATGTTGATCAATCATCGTATGAACGGCGGTTGTGGTTTTGTGAAACAGCAGCAACATGCCATGAATACGTATACCCGCTGTATTTCCCTTATCAAACACCCATCACAAAGTTTATGTAATTTGTCCAATAACATCCAAGTTTCGGGGCTCATTACTGCTTGGCTGCCAATGAAGTCTGCCGATTTACAAGCCGAAGTCGGCCATCTTGTTTACTCACACCTCCCAAAAGTTTTTGGCTAGGCCTTGTTCGATAACCCATTATCTATCAACGGACGGGTTCTTCCATGGGTGTAGAGTAAAGCAATAGAGGCTTTGACGTGAAGTACAAGAGAATACAATCAGAAATACTGTGGCAATCTGTAGTACTGCTTAGTTGGTTTAGCGACTTACTCAATGGTTGCCAGTCACCATCACAGTGGAGAGAGATATGCCCATCGTTTCCGCAGCGGAGCATCTTGTGGATAACCTTAACGAGAAAAGGTGTCACTGAGTGCATTGGATCTGAGAATAACCGCTAATAACCTTACGCCTCCCGGGCCGGTACTGTAGATGTTAGGCAGGTACCTTGGGGATGGAAGACGGGAAGTAGTCACTTATCGCCTGTCGCCTGTGCCGGCGGAAAGAGGGAGGGTGGAGTTTTTGCTATGACTCCTCTTTTTCTCTCTCCTCGGGCTACTGCTAAATATTAATCTTGCTTGTCCCGTTCCTTTCCCTCCCTCATACCATCCTCTATTCAACACTTCTCTATTACACACTTCTGCAACCGCAATCATGTGTGGAATTTTCGCCTGTCACCGGTACGCTCTCACCCCTTGCGAATGAACATGGATCTCTCTCTGGTGGTTTTGGAGGGCACCATGACCCCGCCATGAATTGAATTGAATTGAGATCACCCCGCGGTCGGAAGGGAAAAGTTATCATGGCGCGACTAACATTTTGCCATTTTACAGTCATCCCGACGTGGAAAAGTTCAAGCCTACGGCTCTGAAGCTCGCAAAGCAGTAAGTATGCCAGCCCATGATCGAAAACATCGAGACTAACTTATCGGCGCAGAATTCGTCACCGTGGCCCCGACTGGAGTACGTGAAAATAATGGCCGGATCGTTACACTCATAGCATGTACTAAAGTCGCGTTTTTAGGTGGAAGCGTTATTTCCAACCACACCAGTATGTCAATTGGCTTTTAGGGGACTTAAGTTTTCGTCTCTAACCCTTGTATTAGTTCTCTGCCATGAGCGTCTCAGTATTGTCGGTGTTGGTAAGTTGCAAGCTCTTGACATCTGGAAGCCCTCACAACTGACAATCTTTTCATAGAGTCCGGAGCCCAGCCCCTGACCAACGCCGACGACAGCATTGTTCTCGCCGTCAACGGTGAGATCTACAACCATCGTCATATTCGAAAGCACCTCAAGGAGCGATACCACTTCAAGACCACTTCTGACTGTGAGGTCATCATCCCCTTGGTAAGAGAATGTCCCGTTTATGACTGCGGAGGAAGCACCAATCTTACAACAGATATTTTCTAGTACACCGAATTTGATACCGATGCCCCTAACCACCTCGATGGTATGTTCTCCTTTGTCCTCTACGACAAGAAGCAAGACCGCACAATTGCCGCCCGCGACCCTATCGGTATTACAACCTTTTACCAGGGCTGGTCCTCCTCTGAGCCTGGAACCGTCTACTTCGCCTCCGAGTTGAAGTGCTTGCACAGCGTTTGCGACAAGATTGTCGCTTTCCCTCCAGGTCATGTCTACGACTCTAAGACTGGTGAGACCACTCGCTACTTCAACCCTTCTTGGTGGGACCCCAAGAAGGTTCCCAGCAACCCTGTTGACTACAAGGTCCTTCGACAGGCTCTTGAGAAGTCCGTCCGAAAGCGACTCATGGCCGAGGTGCCCTTTGGTGTTCTGCTTTCCGGTGGCCTTGATTCGAGTTTGACTGCCTCCATCGCCCAGCGTGAGGTGACTCGACTCCGAAAACAGGCTCTCGAAGCCAACGGCAACGTTCTCCCCGTCGAGGACCCTGACACTGGTGAAGGTCTTGTTGGTGTTGACGATGACGACCACCTCGACACTCTTACCTACCTTCCCCAGCTCAACTCTTTCTCTATTGGTCTTCCAGGCTCTCCCGACAACAAGGCCGCTCTCGAGGTCGCCAAGTTCCTCGGAACCAAGCACCACGTCATGACCTTCACCATTGAGGACGGTCTTAACGCCCTTTCTGACGTTATCTTCCACCTTGAGACTTACGATGTCACCACCATCCGAGCCTCTACCCCCATGTACCTCTTATCGAGAAAGATCAAGGCCATGGGTATCAAGATGGTTCTGAGTGGCGAGGGTAGCGATGAGATCTTTGGCGGTTACCTGTACTTCCACGCTGCACCCGATAAGGAGTCTTTCCACGAGGAAACTGTGCGACGTGTTAAGAACTTGCATCTATCTGATTGTCTGCGAGCTAACAAGTCTACATCTGCTTGGGGTCTTGAGGCTCGTGTTCCTTTCCTTGACAAGGAGGTAAGCTGATTTTCTCAAGGGTGACCAGGCAGAGCGCACAATGCTAACAGTTTAAACAGTTCCTTGAGTACTCCATGAACATTGACCCCCAGGACAAGATGATCACCAAGGAGAAGCTCGAAAAGTACATCGTCCGCAAGGCCTTCGATACTTCAGATGAGCCCGATGAGCAGCCTTATCTTCCCGATAACATCCTCTGGCGACAGAAAGAACAATTCTCTGATGGTGTCGGCTACGGATGGATCGATGCCCTCAAGGACACCGCTGAGAAGCAGGTCACTGACGAGATGATGAAGAACCCCAAGCCTGAGTGGGGCAACGATATCCCTGATACCAAGGAGGCATACTGGTACCGATGCATGTTTGACGAGCACTTCCCCCCTCACTGCGCGTCAACTGTCATGCGCTGGACTCCCACCTGGTCCAAGCAGAGTGACCCTAGTGGCCGGTAAGTCACATCCCTGTAAACGAAAAAGGAAAGAAAGAAAAGTGGTTACTAATATCGATCGTTACAGAGCCATTGCTACCCACAACGCCAAATACGACAACGCGGCTTAATGACATAGCGAATCGAGTAAAACACCAAGTAGAGAAAACTTGGTCCACTCATTGTAACTTATACTATCTGAGGTATCTGTCATGAACCTGATCTAAGGAGCAACTCTGGGTGTCGTTTCTTGGAGGTAGAGAAAAAGGCGTCTGGGATTTGCTTAGCTACCTTGGAATGCTGATGACTGTAAAAAGGGACGGATGATATGGGCAGGAACATGGGAATAAAGAATAAAGACAAAAGTTCTAGAAAGAAAGAATTGCATGGATTACATGTTAATGCGAGTGTCGGTGAACGTCAAACATATTGCTAGTTAACTCTAGTGCTTGATATTGTACTGTTTGACTTGCTCATGCATGAAGGGTCTTGACGATGAAGCAGCCTATTACATATGTGTGTGGTGAGCTGGCCAATAGGTAGGTGACACTCCTCGACGTGGGTTGGTTGATCAGATTCGTCAATGCAGCGAGGTGTTAATTAACTCTGATACTGAGTTGGGCTAGACAAGACTCGTCTGGCTTAGGGTAGTGGTCAGTTAATGATGGAGTCAGATGAGTTGTTAGTGTCTGAGCTGTTCATGCGTCGAAGAAATGCAAGCTAAAGGTGGAATCGAGGCCTGCATGGATAACAACTCTTGTTGGGCAGCGAGTCGTGTTAGTAGACGAGATGTTGATACATAGCCCGAGTTTTGAGAGAAAATGACGGATAAATACTATGACAATCAACACATGGTAACCGAGTATTCTCTTAATGCGGCGGGTGTTTCTTACGTCTAACCAGGCGGTTGCTCAAGATGTTGACCAATACCTTGTTTTTGATTTCTCAACTTTACTTAGATGACCTAAGTATCCAGGTCGCAGGAATTGTCCGTTACCCCTCCACGTGGGCCTTAGGTAGTTTCTGGGGGACTTATAAAATCACCAAATTAGACTGGTGAATTACATGATCGTCGGCTATATAGTACAAAAGGATTGTTGGTGTTTGAGGTCAAGAGTGGTCACCCGCGACTGGCCAAGCGACAAGGTGATACAGTCCCGATATCAGCCGACTTGGGTGATGCATGTGCCAATTCCCTGCTCCGAGACCTGTCTGGTAGCCGAGTCTGTACAAATCTCAGAGCTTGGGCCCTGTGGAGCTTAGCTACTGTGCCTGGGCAACCCTGGCTACAGCGGGGTCCCCCAACAATTAAACCCTGTGTAGAAGGATGCCCTGTGTAAATCCATGCCTGGGGAGCCAGAGTCAGAGCCAGAGCCAGAGCTAGAGACAGCCCAAGCATCCATTATTTTCTGCCAGGCTCTTCCCATTGTCTCCCGCTCTCCTCCCCCGTTTCTCTCTCACATCCCCATCTTCATCTTCGTCAAAGACTCATAATCTTCAAGATACCAAACACCGCAATCATGTCTGTCCCCGCCTTCTCCGACATTGCCAAGCCGGCCAACGATGTATGCCTCTTCTGATCTCCCCCAACGTCGTCTTTACTTCTGTTTTGGTTCTTCTGGCTGTGACTACACCACCGCTGCGAGAGATGTGTTTTTCTACTCTTTTGGATCACATACCAAGGAGTGGAACTGGCCATACAGCTCTGGGACGTCAATTGCCTCGATATTGGATCCAAACACCTTTGCTATGCCTGCAACATGATTATCTATGAGCTCCGCTGACTTTTGCGCCTCGTTTTTGCGCCGTTTTATAGCTCCTCAACAAGGATTTCTACCACCTCTCTGCCACCACCTTCGAGTTCAAGGACACCGCCCCCAACGGCGTTGCCTTTAAGGTCACTGGCAAGTCCAGCCACGAGAAGGCCACCTCTGCTGCTGTGAGTATTCCATTGCAAACAAAGCCAATGGCAGGCCATTATGTTGTTTTTCGTTCGGGGGTTCGGAGGCTAGTGCTCGGTCAACCGCGGCTTTCGGCGCCGTTGTCAAACTAGCTCTCTACAACTTCAACGAGAAACAAAATGGCCTCCTGTTTTGCAACATAGTACTGACCTAACCCTTACAGATTGAGGGAAAATACACCGACAAGCCTACCGGTACGATACCACCGTCTTTTTCTTCAACACCGTCACTTTCACAATCTCCATCTCCGTCCCCACCACCCGTATCTAACCCCCGCCGAAAACAAAATCTCCCCTCTCTCAGTGTCTCGCGAATCCTTGGGCCAAAATCGGGATGGCCGATCGGATTCGCAGCGCTTCTTCAACCTGGCTTCGCTCAACTGCTAATGTTCTACTCCCGTACAGGCCTGACCCTCACCCAGACCTGGAACACCGCCAACGCTCTCGACACCAAGATCGAGGTCGCCGACTCCCTCGCCAAGGGCCTCAAGCTCGAGGGTCTCTTCAACTTCCTCCCTGCCACCGCCGCTAAGGGTGCCAAGTTCAACCTCCACTTCAAGCAGCCCGGTTTCCACGGCCGTGCTTTCTTCGATCTCCTCAAGGGCCCCGTCGCCAACGTTGATGCTGTTGTCGGCCACGAGGGTTTCCTCGCTGGTGCTTCCGCTGGCTACGATGCCAACAAGGCTGCCCTGACTGCTTACAGCGCCGCTGTTGGCTACGCTGCTCCCCAGTACAGCGCTGCTATCACCGCTTCTGACAACCTCAGCGTCTTCGCCGCTTCTTACTACCACAAGGTCAACTCTCAGGTTGAGGCTGGTGCCAAGGCTACCTGGAACTCCAAGACCGGCAACGCTGTCGGTCTTGAGGTCGCCAGCAAGTACCGCATCGACCCCGTCTCTTTCACCAAGGTTCGTACAATCAAGCTTACAAGAATGGGGGCATATGACTGACTCATGATCCGAAATATAGGTCAAGATCAACGACCGCGGTATTGCTGCCCTTGCCTACAACGTCCTCCTCCGTGAGGGTGTCACCCTGGGTCTCGGTGGCTCTTTCGACACCCAGAAGCTCGACCAGGCTACCCACAAGCTCGGTGCCAGCTTCACCTTCGAGGGTTAAACTGATTCTAAAAAATATCTCTATTCAGCTTCTAGCATAAAATCTGCGCTAGAATATTCCGCTCTAGAGTTGTTCCACCCTCAACAGCTCATGTACCTTACAGGCTTGCATTGCGGTGGTCCTTAAGGATGTAGATTATCTCAAATAAAAAATCTCGAAGATCTTGATATGTCCTGATGCCCCTTCATGTGTATGAAGCCTCTTATTGGATATTCGTGCAGGGAGCCCATTCTGTTTATCAAGAATCCATCTTCTACCTATAGCCGTAAAACTCCAATATGGCCGTCAATATATCGTGCATACCGTACGTCCTTGCTACACGTGCTCTAAAGAGAATAATTAGATTCCGACTCTTTCTCCCCTTTCATCTAACCTCTCTCCTTCTTCTGCTGTCCAATGCTCATGAATTGAATATAGATGAGAGGAGCCAATAATGTCGTTGCAAGAATGCCCGATATTATGATGAAATGCCCAGTGATGGACGTTTGTGGCTCAAATTCAATATCGTCGTCACCCATGGCCCGCTTCTGCCATCGTTCTTTACGTCGCTCGTCCTCTCGTCGATGTGTTCGCGTATGACCTTCTTTGTCAAAGTGGGGGACATTGTTCTGGTGCCCAAAAGGATCGTCGCCTGGTCCCATGCCTCCATGAGAAGAGGTCTCGTGGGGTTTAAAAGGGTCACCCCAGGGGCTCTGATGACGACTGTGTGATGTTCCTTGTTCTTGCGACGATGCGCCGCCACCACCAGTACTTTCTTCATGCGCCTTGCGACGCTTGTCCGCCTGGTCTCCCCAGCCTCCACTCCGGTAGAAACTAGGCGGCGGGCCGCGAAAGGTACCTCTCCTGCGACTTAAGCCTGAAGGTGCGCGTCCACCAGCCTGGTGGGAATGGTAAGAACCACGTTGAGCGGCTGTTTGCGGTGGATGATGGTGCAGACGTAGGACATCTCGATCGTAGGCTGAGCGGCGAGACTTATCAGACAAGACAGTGTATGACTCGGAGATTAGGGAGAACGTAGATGATGCGTTTGGATCTGAACGATTGGCGTCGGGATGGTGTGTCTTGGAAAGCGAATAGAAGGACCTGGGAAATGTCAGTTAGTTGCATATCATCATGGGCGTTGCGGGCAACGGCCATACTTTTTTATTTCTGCCGGTGTAGCGTCATGGCGCACGTTCAGTCGCTCATAATGATTCTTCTTGGCGGCCTCATCATGCCGCCCTCTTCGTTGCTGAGCTTGCAGTCCATATAAGTTAATAGCAGGTATCGGACACCGGAGCAGTCTAGCGCTGCAAGCTGGAGGAATTGGCGCAGGGCGCAGGCTACAGAGGAAAGAGGGACGCAGCGGCATGCCGCATTACGGCCGTGGTAGGAAAGAATAAGGAGACTGGTGAGTTATTTCCAGGATGAAGCGGTGGTATAAGTGAATGTGGAACATGGGTTAGTTATGATGATACATTATTTTTGGTGGTGATGTAATCTATGACTGGGGGTGAAGACATATGCGCGAGGCGGGGCGATGCGAGTAGCGGGATCGGTAGTATTAACCATAGGTAAGGTACACTTAGCAGAATTTATGACATCGATGCTGTATAAATTTCGTTGCGAATAAGTAATTAGTTTTAAGAGTATTGATACCGTTTCCTACGTTAGCTCGTGTCAGGCTGTTGCGCGTAGGTGTCAGTGTTCATTCAGGTCAAGTTGCCTTTCATACTTTCGTGTATTAACGATTAATGTGGTCTAATCATTCCTATGGGTTCAATCATATATAACCAAGGCACTATGCTTCCGTGTTGCTAACCCATTAAAAAACCAATTGAAAAAGAAATCGCTGGTAGCTCGTAGCTTAATGGCCGAATTTCCACCAAGATGTCTTCTTCTTAGGAGCCTCAGGCTCCTCGCCCTTGGGACGCTTAAGGGGGTGTGCCTCAGTGTTGAGCACCCATTCGTCCAAGTTGATAACGTTGGGATCCTCAAAGGTGAGGTAGAAGTACTTGATCGTTTCGGACATCCAAAAGGTCTAGCATATTGTCAGCTTTGATCTGGGAAGTTGAAAGACTGAGAAACTTACCTCCATGCTATCGCGCTTGTCGCTACCCTTTCTGTTGACATCAGTGATTGTAGCAAAGGCCTCCTGAGTCTCAGTCTGTTTGATGATGTTGTCCCACATACGCCAAGCAGCGGCGCGCCAAACATCGTCGCCTGTGATACGCCACATGTAGAAGACGCTCTCAATAGCCTCGGGGCGCAGTCTGTATTCTGAGTTGCGGACTCGGACAAAACCCTCGGGCAGCTTGTCCTTTTTCTCCACAGGCTTGTCCCTCCAGTGGCATTTGCTGGTAATAGACTCGCATGCTTCAAGCTCGGCAATCTCGGGCATGATATTCGTGGGGAAAGCATCGTATGCCCAGACACAGCCAGCTGTTAGGCGAGAACCGAGGTCGACAAGATCAGTTCGTGAAAGAAGCTTACCAGCCAAAGCATAAGTCCCGCCGATAAAGCATGTCAAGTGCTGCATTTCAGCGGTAAGCTTGGGCTTGGTACCATCATCGCCTGGCACTGCGTTGCCTGACATCAGTATATTCAGATCACTGGGGTTACGAGGTTTGAAGAGCAGATGCTTAGTGGCGGTATCAAGAGCCTTGGTGGTCATCTCAACATATTCAGAATCTAGGCCACCTAACAAAGCGTGCATCTTGGGCAGGTATTCGTATAGTGAATCTGCGCCAGCTCCAAGGGTGAAGCGATCGTCTTCGACGTTTTCCTCCCGGTAGTTCATGACATGTGGCCACAAACCGGGGATTTTAGTATTGTCTTGATTGCGGTAAAAGAACTGCTTAATGCGCTCGGTGGCATCATAGTACTTGGGGTTGCCAGTAATCTGGGACAGACGAGTGAACTCAAGGCACATTGAGCCACCTGCAGCACCAGACATTTCCTCATCGGCTTGCTGTTCTCCGTTCTTGGCAGACTTGAAGTAAAGCCAGTGGGATGGCAGACGGTTGGGGGTGTCAAATGCGGCATAGAGCATCTCGCCTAACTCAATGGCCTTGCCAAGCAAGACAGCTTCGTCAGAGAGCTCATAGGCAGAGAGGAGGCCACCAAGGTGACGAATAGCTACCTCAAACAGGTTGAGGTAGCTATCACCAGTGCGTGCCCAATCGATCATGGCAACAATCTGGACAGCTTCTTTAAACTCATCCTTCATGTCAAGAATCCAGAGAGTATCGAGAGCATCAACAATCTGGGCGGCCCAGCCAGAAAAGGTGGTCTTGCCCTTAAGGGAGACTGGTGCTAGCTCATCCCAGCCCCACGCATGCTTCTTATAAGCCTCCCAGCTCTTGGTGAAGGCCTGCTTGATGGCCGCCTTTCTAGCAGTCGTCTCGCCGTCTTCGGCGTAGCCGTTCGGGCGTTCTTTTTGAATCTTGGGCAGTAGCTTAAATGTGCCGTTTGGAGGACTCTTGATGTTGTCGACGGGGTGGAAGATCTGCTGCTTGCTCCAATCGTAGCTACTGGGAAGGTAGTTGTACGTGCCTATTCTGACGGTACGGTAACGTTCATAGGGACGAAAGTTGTGGACAAGAAACCATGTGATGGCGATGAAAAGAAAAAGGCTAATGTAGCGACGACCCGGTCGCCCTTGGAAAGTGGCCAACATTATGATGTTATATGCGCATTGCGCGTCAAAAATGCGAGAGGCAAAGTGTGGTGAGGTTCACCGAGGGAGATATCAAACAATTGATTGAATCTAAGGAGCGACGTGAAGAGCCAAGCACGAAAGAAGATAACGAAAAATGCAAGAAGAGAAGAATCAGCGCTGCACAAGTAGGGAAGGGACAAGCTACTATCTATGAAAGGTAAGCCTGACAAGGTAGTGTGTATGCACATGTGTACCTGCTTTAGTAGGTGTGCGGCGTGGAGATCAGAGACAAAAATCAGGGAGAGACAGTGGCCCAATGGCGGAAGCCAAGCCAGGGAGGGAGGGATTGATATGCAACTTCCAGGGGGAGGCTTGAGTAGGTATAGTACTTGAACACCTCAAAAGTGGTAGAAGATACCTACGGCTGCAACAGGTAGAGAGTGCTTAGCTTGTTATGGTAAGGTGCGCCAGAGTACCCTAAATTCTTCTGTTTCCTTTTTCCGCTGTACACGGTAAGACCCTTACTTACCTGTCAAGTAAGCAGTTTGGATGCTGGATAGTATTCATTCAGCCGCATCATTTCAATCATTGGCATGACGACAACTGCCTACATGCCCTGTACCTAGGATGGCTCGGGCCATGCCCATACCTAGGTATATGCCTAGGGATGTAACCCATTAACTAACCCCACAGTCTGAGGGGCACGGATACCATGAAACAGTAAACTACTCTCTACACAGGTAAGCCAACCGAGTTCAACATGACCGTTCCATGGCTCATTCATGATCAGAGCTATGAAATAAATTAGCCAACCAGATTTCCACCCTGATTCTACAAGATACTGAAACTGCCAACCCCTGACAGATACATTTCTCCCTTACCTGTGGCCCTGTTGTCTTATATAGGTACCTGCTGTCCTGTCTTTCTAGCAAGGGTTTGCGCAATCCATACAGAGCCAATTAGTTACTATGTAGTCACTTTGTCCATGTTTGTAGGTGCTTTTAAACATTCCTCTGGTTCCCCTTGCTTCGGTCAAAAACTCGCCTTATATGGTCTACCAGGAATTCCCGCGTGGGCTTTGATCAATCAAAAGAACGACTTAAGCTTGTTTTCTATCTAGTAATGACTGACTATGGTCAACTCGAAAAATCAAAGTAGGGTGCCAAAGCACCAAACAAGTGAGTGGCCCGCAAATCCTCCAGTATGTTTTGAGCCATCGTGTTGTACGAGTTCGCTCCATCATCTTGTCTTGCACGACTACATAGTCAGACTGTATGTCGTTGCCGGCCACTTCTCACTGACTCTTCTCCTCACCTCGTTCCTCATAACTCGACCCCTCCGCTACCGTAATGTTTTCTTTTCAAAGATCAAGACAATCTGCACCTGCCGGGCCTGCTACGACCCTATATGAGGCCGTCGTAGGTCGAGCCGCTGGCAACGCAACTCCCATGTCTCTGTCCTGGCTTGTAATTTAGCCGGGCGTCGTCCAACGGTTAGGACACGGCACGGTTTCCGCAAAGAGGGGGGCGGGACTTGACCGTGTAGGCCTTGCTAAAAGGCTTCCGAAGGGAACGACGATTTGCCCTCCGCTGGTAGCGGCAAAACGTGCAGCAGAGCCCGTGGGATGCAAAATTGGAATCATCTACCCATAGCGCTCATTTATCCCTTCAGTCGTAACCTCCTCCAATCTGGCTGTGGAATGCCGTGCTGACACTCTTCTCATCGTCATCAAAGCGTCGCCCGTAGCCGTTACCGGGAACCATGCGTCCACTGCTTTCGACGTACTGCTTGAGGCGGTCGCTTTGACTGTAGGAGACTGGTCGCATGCCCGTGACGGCATCATGAAGTCCTGCCCCAAGACTGACACCGCCCTGCCCTACTCCCTTGCCGCCAATAACACTTGAAGATGCATCCGTATACTCGGAGTTGGCCACACTCTCGCCTGCGACGCTTTCCGTGGCACGACCACGGCTCTTGCCTCCTCGGCCAGGAGCAGCTACACCTGGTAAACCAGGCCATTGATCGGGAGTGAAGCTCGAGAACATAGGAGGGAAGGCGCTGTTGAGAGAAGCGCCGCCAAACGCAGAACCATGAACGGAAGATACATCGTCGGGAATATACGACACCGTGGAGCCTGAATCGAAGTCCCGGCCTGAGGGGGGCGGGTTGAAACGCCCTCCGTTGGAGTAGCTCCCTGCTCCGAACTGCGGCTGTTGGTTCTTCTGTCGGAAACTAACTTTGGGGCGACTGAACTGGAGCAGACATGCCTGGAGGTTGGTCAAGGGACCTTCGACGAAGCACTTGCGATCCTTGAAATGGACAAGCAAGTTGTGCCAGAGCTCGTGCTTGGACAGGACCTTGGGGTTGCCAAGAATGACAAGACCGTATTTGGCTCGAGTTAAGGCCACGTTCAAACGGCGGGGGTCGGACAAGAAACCAATGCCTTGGTTGTCGTTGGATCGGACACAGGAGAGGACAATAAAATCCTTCTCACGGCCCTGGAAAGCATCAACCGAAGCGACCTCGACCTCCTTGTAGTACTCCTTCTTATAAGTTCCCGAGTTTTGCATAGTAGTCACAATGTAGCTTCGCTGGCCTTCGTATGGGGTAATGACACCAATATCAGCAGGCTTCACCCCGGCCTTGAAGAAGCGAGTGACTGCTTTCTCGACGTTGGATGCTTCCGTGCGGTTGAGATACGATGTTCCCGA